CCCCACGAACTTGTCGAGGCAGTCGTCTCCGTCGCACTCCCCCCTCCTGCCCCACCAAAGCTGCCCCCCCAGGAGAAAGTCCCGCTTTCGATCGAAGCAGAGGGGGCGAAACTCGCCTTTAATGCCGGCGTTTCGGGGGGTTTGGGAGTTTCGACCTCAGGTTGGGTGGGGGAAGTGACGTCAGAGGGAAGGTGTTCTAGGGCTTGAAGTTGGAGTCCCGCTCTGTCGTAGGCATATGCCGCGCGCACGGTCGCCCGCTTGACAATCTCGGCGGCTTCCTTTGCGTGGGGGCCTTGTTGAAGCCCGGGTTTGCCTAAGAAGAACAAGAAAGGTTGACTAACGTGGGCGAAACAGGGCCTTGCTATTGGATTTCTACACAGAGGCAGAAGTGAAAACAACTGAATCCGACTTTAGGCGCGGGCCTAGGTCTACAGGACTCAAGATCAATGACGTGGAAGGAGATGGGAGAAGGTGCGAATAAATCCTCACTCCCGGACACGGCCAACTTTCGGTAATTACAATAAGGCAGCACGCCGAACGGCAGCACGCCGTGAGACCTGCGTGTTTCACACAAACCGATGCCCGCTTTACACAGGCTGCAAACCCAAAGAAAACTTTCAGCCGGTAACGGTAATCAACAGGAGAAACTTACCGGCCAGCAGCGCGCAGTAGTCCCCGACTTCCGGGTCTAGGATCGGCGCGGAGCGTGGCTCGCCCTCGGTAGGAGTCCCCGATCCCGCAACCTCCCGCAAAGCCTCGATCTTGTTGCCCAGCGACCACAGCAGCAGGCTCGCGAGCCACGCGTCGCCCGACTCTCTTGCAGAGGGAAGGATCTGCGGGGCAGTACAGGAAGATTATATGTATATCTGTTGTTCAGAATCCTCAGACGATAAGCTGCTTTAAGCGAGAGCCAAACGTCGCCTAACTCCCTTGCGGCAGGAAGAGCTTCCATCGGAGACGATCTTCGTGAGACTGTAATGAGCATGGAAGGGGCTTTATAGATTAAAAGCAAGCGAGCTTTGACGGATCTACCCACTGTATCGACCGAATTGACGTCCATAGCTACTCGACTTTTTCAAACAGGCGGGAACAACCAAAATTCTATCAGAGCTAAAACCAAGGAGACCTCCAAACCGAGTCCACTCATTGAACACCGAAGAAAGAGACAGAACTCAAAAATCCAAAAAGCCAATGCTCAAACCCCAAAGCCGACCGGCAAAGCGTCACGCCTAAGGCAACAAGCGCAAGGCAAACCGGTAAGGCAAGAAATAAAAGCTAGGACTTGTAGGTTTTAGTGCTTTGTTTCAAGGAATATACAACATCCCCTCACCTCCCGCTTGAGAATGTCCCGCCCGACCGGCCCATCGGCCCCCTCCCGCAGCCGGCAGACCAGCAGCGCCAGCTGGGGGTCCTTCAGATTCTTGCAGCACACCCCGGCCGCCTCGTCGAGGGATCCCCCCAGCAGGAAAAACGCCGCCGCTAGTTCGTGCCGGTGCTGGCCCATCAACACGTACGAGTTCTTGAGCGCGGCGGCCCGGTGGGCGGGCTGTGTGAAATCCCGCCCCAGGAACTCGTACAGCTTCTTGTCCCTCTCGTCGCGGCTCAGCTTGAAGAGACCCGTCAGCACGGTCTGCAAGAGAGTGGTTACGTTGATAAAAACTAGCTTACTGATTCTGTAATTAGGCCCCTCCGAAGCATGGTTTGAATAAGGGTCAACTCTACGACCCAAGCATTAGCTGATTGACGAGTCAGGTTGACCCTCGACATCGAAAACGGCCAAACCTCCGACCATTTTGCCAAAGTTGTTCATGACAAGGTAAGAGCGGCTTTGCAACTGTGTTGAGGACACAACCTAAGGCGACCTAAGCTACACACTTGTCTTCCCTGGAGGCGCCGCACCGATACAACAGGGCGAGTGATTGAAACACACAGTGAAATAACAACGGCAGAAAAGCTTCTTGAAGGATGTTTCCACAGTCCCTTCACTTTTTTCCTGTGAAGAGCAAACAACAAAAGCTGCCAACAAAAGCCACGCAACTCAAATATCAAGCCTCAAAAAAGGACTGCTCAACCGCTCTCCAGAACGCCCTTCTTGAGATCGTTAAGCCGCCGAACGAATACGAACAAGCTCACCTTTCTGTCGAGCGCCAAGTAGAGCAGCGCGCAGTCCTTGGGGTCCTTCTTCTCCATGAATTGTGCGCGGGCCGCCTTCTCAACGCGCGCACGTAGGTCCGTCACGTTGGTGTGCCAGAACCCGGCGCCGAGCGCGCGCATCGCGGGCCACGTGGGGGGATCCGGCAGACACGCGTCCAACAGGGCCTCCTTGGTATCCGAATGAAGGACCCACGCCATCTGCGAACAATACGGACAAAATGATCAGTTCGGCGGTTGGCGCGAAAGCAGACCAAGCGCCGTGTTGCAATTGTCAGCAGGTTGAGCCATGCTTCAGAAGTTTTGACTGGGTGACAAAAGAAAACGCTGTGTCAAATAGCGTAGATTCGTGGTAGAATGTTATCGTAGTTTGTTCTTGCCATACCCGGTGGCTCTCCAGATCTTCAAGAGTGATTAGCTTTGAATTCTGACGTATCACAGTACATCAAGTGGCAGTGCCTCGAGCAACTGTGGTGTCGACAACTCTGAGGGGTCTTCCAGCAGACACGTGTAACCATTACAAAGCCCACTTGCGGTTGTAATACACCCGCAAACGGGAGCTCGAGCATTTCAATTGATTGGATACTCGGACGTCTTGTACAAACGATCCAGTAACCTTTGCAGGGGTCCAAAACTTGCTCCGCACCAACTTCGACTCAGGCAACCCTCTGATTCTACCAGATCTACTTCGAAAAGCACGCACCAACCCACCTGCATCGAGGGAAGAGTTATGTCCGCCGTCCCCGCCGTGCGCCCCCGTTTCCGTGACGCCGCTAGTGTGCTGGCACGTGTCGCCATCCGGAAGCGCTCCGCGGGTGCGTCGAGCGCGAGCCGGGGCGTGCCGCTGCCGCCGTCCAGCTCAGCCAGAGCGTCGATGATTGCCAGCAGCTGCAAAACAGGTTTTTGGTTTTGAAATTTGGGTATCGTGGTTTCAAGATGTTTTAGGCTTTGAAATTTGGGCATCGGGGTTTCAAGATCCCAGGGTTTCTCCAAAGGAAAGCGTTGTTCCTGAAAAGGCATTCTGAGCGAGGAATCAAGCGCGCCTTTCAATCTGTGAGTAATAAACACGCAGGAAATCAGACATTCCCTTGTATATTAACATTCCCAAGCAAAACAGTTTATTAAATATTTCATTCGTGTTCCCTTGAATTCGTATAATCAGCGAAGAAATCTTATCAGTTGCCGAGTCTTGCAGCAGCAGCAAGAGATTCGCTTTCGCTCTCTTGCCTGCACCCGCTCGTCTGACGTCAGCCCCTGCACATCCACACTTGTTGCAAGCGCTTCTGCCAGAGCCTCCGCCTCCGCTTTCGTAAAGAGCTCGCCCGCGTCTTTCCTCACGAACTCGCCCGCTTTTGCCGCGTGGACGTCACCCTCCCCGCCGGGCTCCTCGTCCACCCAGGAACTCGACATCAGCGACGCGTACTTGTCTCCGGCTTTTGCGCTAGAGCTCCCAACCGCGGATCCACGCCTGGAGGGAAGCCTAGACGTTTCTGTCGGCTCGTCCAAGCTCACGAGCTCCGACAAATGCATGCGCCCGAAGTGCCGCGAGCTTCCAGAACTTTCGGCGCCCTTTGCTGACGTGGCGTGCAGCCCTGCAGCCAAGTGTCGCAAGCATGCGCGCGCCTTTCTCTTGTTCCCCTCAAACATGAAGTGGAACAAGACCCGGGGGTGGTAATCTTCCAGGGGCGCTCCGACCCCCCCAGCAGCGTCAAAAAGCGTGATGACGTCAGCACCGGAGGTGGTTTTCAGTGGTAGTTTCTGTTCTGCGCCCGAAAGGGACCCGTAGGAAGAGGAAGGGGTTAGGAGGGAAGTAAGTGAGGGGACGGAACTAGAGTGGAGTCCTAGCTGAGGGAGAGAGCTGGTAGACGCAGAGGGGGCCAGCGACAACTGGGAATAGCTCCCCCCCTTGTAGGTCATTTTCGACAGAGGCGCGTTTACGGGCGCTGCCGTTTCGGGCGGCGGAAGGGGCAGCACGGAAACGGAGGGCTTCCCGGTCAGCCACGGTCCGAAAAGGTGGAGGTTCGGACCGGCGCCAGCAATGAGCGACATTTGCGGACCCCACGCCAAACCCCGGAACCGCTCGAACGGAGACTCCGCTTCGGCGAGACACGTCCAGCCCCCCGTTTTCAGTTGCAGGTCGCTGTTCGGCGTTCCCGATTCGGGGTCCCTTCGTGGGCTGTGTCCCTGGACGAACACGTGGAGCTTCTCTCCGCCGGCGACCGCCAGTAATAGCTGGCCGTTGTGCGCGTCGCCCCAGGCCACCTCCGGGGTGTTCCCACTGGCAGGGTGTTCCAGCTCGCCCTCCAGTGTGAACGCACCCCCCACGCCGAAGCAGCTCTCGCCCTCCCAAATCTGCACCCGCTCTACTGACGTGTCATTGGGCTTCGTTCTGCTCTTGATGACGACAGCAATCCGGCCTTTCCCGGGGGCGACTCTGACCGACTTCAGGCCCCCCTGTTCCGAAACTTGCGTCCAACCCGCTACGCGCCAGCTGGCGTCCGACGACTGGTCCGCTGCCTCTGCGACGTCCCAGAAGCGAACGCTCCCGTCTTCATGAGCTGTCGCAAATACGAACGGCCCACTATGCTCTCCGTCGAACAGTTCCTTCCCCTTGCCGCCTCTTTCCGTTTTCCGTTCCGAAGGCCACTCGCTCATCTCCGAATCCAGATCCACCACTGCCTCTGTCTCCCCGAAGTTTCGCGAACCAAGGAAGCACACTTCGACAGCTGTCCTTTCCTCTTCCGCTCCGGAATGGCCGTTCGACTCACTTTCTTCCGAGCCGAACCACCAGCTTGCCGCAACCCCTCTTGACGAACCTGCCGGATCCCGGATATCCAACCGCCAGCCAAGAAGCAACCGTCCCGAGTTGCCCGTTGCTAAAACTCGAAAAGTCACTGCGGATGCCGAACCCAAAGCGCAATCGTTGGAATCAGCCAAACCAGGAACGATGCAAAAGTTGTCCAGACTCGGAGTCCCCTCCTCCTCAGGGGGAACGAGCGAAGATAACAGCGACAGCTTGGCATCTTTCAGCCCGCTCCCGCTTCTTGCGATCTCCCACAGATCCACAGCCCCACTGCGGAGACTCAGAAGCCACTGTTTTGACGCGGGCTGAGCCGTAGCTCCTCCCAACCAGCGAACAACCGAGTACCTGCGCTCTTTTCTGCCAGAATCTCCACCAATCTCCTCGAGGCTCAGGCAAGCCCGAATAGCCGAGCCCATAATCGCAAACGGCCCCGTCACTGCAGGAACCGCCACCGAATCCGTCCCGGGGGCCCCCGTCTCCCACAAAACGACCCCCCCATCCGAATCAACGGTCGCCAGCAGTGCGGCTGCCGGGCTTGGGTGCACTGCCACCTGTTTCACCCCCCTGCCGAGCCCCAAAACGCGGACGTCCTCCATCGACACTCCCCAGCTTTTCCTCCCCCCCGTTCTAGGGGCCCCGTTGCCCCCCACCATGTGGCCCCCCCCACCGCCAATCGCCAAAACGGGGGGCCAGATCCGCGCCCACCGGAACCCCCAAGCAGAGACGCGCTCGCAGAGCTCGACTGCAGTGGGGGGGCCGCCCTGGCCCCCATCCGGCCGCTGGATTGCGCACGATAGCACCGACGGCTGCCACCTGGCGCCCTCTGAAGGCGCCACCTCCCCTTGCGACAGGAGCCCTGGTGATTCGTCCCACTTTGAAATGCGCGGCGTTCTCGGAGGGTGCAAGTCGTCCAGGCAGTGAACCGCCCAAAGCCCGACCGTTCCGTCCGCCCGAACTCCGACCAGCCACTCACAGCCCGCCACGTCAGCAGCCTGCCCCGGTTTTGCGCCCCGGGGGGAGTTCTCTTCCGCCCAGTAAACGCATCCCCGCATAGAAGGCGCAGAGCTAGGACCCGGAAACGGCTCGAAAATTGCCCCAACATAGAAGCGGGGGGGCGCCCGGGTGGACGGAGAATCGGAGCCCGCCACCTGGCGGCCCCTGCGCACCTCTACCTCGAGCCACAGCCGGACAATCCCGTCCTCGCATGATGTCAGCAGGGCCTGTCGCCTCGGGCCGAGACCCCGCAGTCCTTGCTGGGGGCGCCACTGCAAGCTTAGAATGGCCCCTGGGTGCGGTAAGACGATCGCATGAAGCTCCTGATTCGGGTCGAAGTCCGGGTCGTCAAGTGGCTGCTGCTGGCTCGATCCCGCTCCGCTGACCTCAGCACTCGCGTGAGCCCCATTCGCAACAGCCAGTCGTGAGTGTTTCGGACCTCCTGGCAAGCTCTCCTGCGGCTTGGCTTTCTTCGCAGCGGAACCATCGGTGCTGACGTCAGCGGGTTTCGCGCAGTGCCACCAGACTGTCGCGTGACCGGTCTCCGTAGCCCTCCCCCACGCGGGGCGCTTGCGCCGCCCCGGGGTACCCGCAACCGACTCCGACCCATTTTGTGCGTGCCCTTGTGCAGTCGCCACTAAGCTCTCCACCGTCTGCGTGGTTGCGGTCTGCACTTGGGGGCCGTCCGTGGGGGTCCCACTCCAGATTCGCTGCCAGGTGGCTGGGGTGCCAGGTGGCGTCTTCGTAGGGCGCCACATGGCGACCTCTGCACCCGCGGAGAGGAGGCCGTCCCCAGAGTGGGTCCAAGCCACAGCGTGAACGGGGGAGGGGTGGTGTAAACGAGCGATGGGGCGCCAGAACAGGGGCAAATCTGTATCCAGAAAGACAGCTGTCAGTGTCAGCGTTCGTCAAAAGGTGTCAGAAAGTAGTCAGAGACAGATCTGAAATTGCCCTTTTCCCAAAGTCACTAAGTTCCCGTGATTCTCTTGACGAAGTTTTTTGTTTAGTTATATAGTGGACTTTACTGTGCATGAAACATCTACATATGTCAGCTACTATGTCTCGAGGTGCAAAGTGCACCTGAAGCCCTGCCAAATCATCCTGAGGCAGACCATGTTTGATTGAACTTCTTTCTATGTGAGCGCTTGTCCAATGCTGACAGCTATAAATTGGGGGAATTAAGCGATCAAAGGAAGTCAAGAGCTGACATTTCGCCACCCCATGGTGAAGAGCGGTTTCTGAGAAACCATCTTTCAACTTGGTTTGGTTCTATTGTTCATTGATTTGTCAAGCACACAGACACGAATGGAGGTACACTTCTGCTTTTTAAACACCACCCTGCCAGTTTCTCCGTCTTTCCACAGTAACAATCCCTGAAGATATGCGCATACTGTTCAATTTCAACAATGAGCACACCCCCAAATGAGCACCTGTTGGGCTGGAGCCCTGATCATTTTGCGGCGCCAGAATGTGCACAGCGTCCCCGCACACTGCCGCCAGCGCGCCCTGCTGCTCCGCACCCTGCGGCGCCCATGCCACGCACTCCACGTTGCTTTCATCTCCCCCATCTAGTTTCCCTGCACCACCTTGGCCCCTAACCACATTCTCACCCGGTGCTTGTCCATTTAAACCCCCTTCTGGAATGCATCTAGAACCCCTGGTCAAGCTGATAACCTGCTGGAAAAACGAGCTGGCGGAGTTATCCCCCCCTGCAGAGGGTGAGGGAGCGGAGCGAATGACGACACTCCCCCCGGCCCCATAAGCGAGCCAGCTGGACCCAGCAAAGGTGGGCAGCCAAGCGGCGGCGCCCGGGCCGGCGTTGGGAAGGGCGGGAATTGTCTGCTGCAGCAAGAGCTGCTTCACACTCGCTTCCCCCTCCATTCTTGGCCCAAACGTCAACCCAAGAAGCCTATGCGAATGAAGGTCATTTTGTCAACAGCCAAGCCGACCTGGCGCCATGTTCGAAAGCTCTTGTCAGATTCCATTACAGGCCCCTCGTGAGCGCCCTCGTGAGCGCTGAGCAGCACTTCTACTCAGGCTACTCTCATGCAGTCTGCATGTCAACTTGGACTCTTGTGTAGCTGCTGTGGCGAATTTTGCATGACATGCAAGCACCCCCTTGCAAGGAGGAAGGCAAGTGCAGAAAGCGCAGGGTCCTTGTACCGACCACTTTTCACTTCTTCTAGCCTCAGAATGCCGCGGGCGGGGCCGCTCCCCGGGCACGAGATGCTCGAGAAGGGGGATCACTTCGAAAGCACCGTCAGCTGAAAGCGGAACCCTAATTCTGCACCTTGCTTCTCTCCTTGCTTAGCCTTCAGGTTCCGTCCAGGTATTCTGAACATTCATAAACGCTTCACTTTCAATGCTTTTTCACCAAATTGTGGTCTTCAATGCAAGCGGATCTATTAGCACATTGAATACGGGAGAGGGCAAGACTCCGAGCTGAGCCAGTGAAGCTGAGAGCTGGAGGTTTCTGAAAGCACGATTCGGGAGTGAGGAGGGTGCCAACGAGAGATTGCAGAGACATCGACATCAGCAAGCATAAGCATGGTGCGGCAGGCGTCGTTTCTTCCGCTCTCTCGTCTTCTTTTGAAAGCTCTGTTAGCCTGCTCCCATTGATTGGCGTAAAATGGACAAGCACATCTAGTGTTCAGCTGAGCACTTCCGCGTGAATCAAGTGCAGGATCTTTACCTCCAAGCTTTTTCTTGTGATTTTAGTTGGTGTCTAAGAGCTGCCAATCGTGCTCAGCTTTTGTTCTCTTGATGAAAGCCTGTATCTAACCTGGTGTTATTTGGTCCAAACAGCAAGATGAGTCCTTGGCTGAATATCTACTATGTTGCGCCTCTTTGGCTGCTGATTCCTCTCACAAAACAATCTCGATAAGAGCCAGCATTCTTGGAAAGTATACCCCTTCCCCAGTGACTTCTTGCAGCTCAATGACCTGAGGGACAGCCACTGTGGACCTCAATGCACCACTCCTGGCTCTTCCAAGAGCTGTATTTTGCCTGAGACCTGAGTCATCCCCACTCTCTTGACAATCACAAGCTCCTGTCTGCACTTGACCAGCTTCAGTGGATCGACATCTGTCCTTGTAGAAAGGGGCTCCACACCAAGCTCGCTGAATTGCAGTCTATTCCTCTCTCTCTCTCTGCAGGTGGATTCAAACATGGACCATTTGGCCTTTATAGTCCACTGGTTGGATGTCCAGGCTGGAGTGACCTGGAAGTACCAGCTGACATACCATGCCAGTGACAAAAGCCTAGAAATGGTGAGACACACCTTCCTAAGCCAGCTTTCCCGAGAAGCTAGAATGGAATGGACTCCACTACTGTCCTACTCTAAGTCTACGCTTTCTTGGCAATACACAGCTTGAATCGACTAGGCCAAAAAAATAAAGATACATTTGTTGCTCTGCTTCGTCCGAGATACTTGCCAGGGAGGGAATTGCCTCTGGAGAATGTGAGCCGGCATCGCTTCAAAAGACCGAGGCAAGGTGGCCAGCTCTTCTCTGACTTCTGAGGAACTTGAACGGCATAATGCGTCGGATACTACTGCTCTTTCAGTTGGTTGCTGTACGGCCATATTGAGATATTCAATCTACCTCCTAATTCTAATACTTCAGAGTGACAGTAAAGGAACGCGACAGGACACATTGTTTTTGGAGGAAAGAGATTGGAACTTGCAGAGATAGCTGGCAGTCACACACACATTAATACATGCCCATGCCCCAAAGCCTTTAGCTTGCTCTACTCAAAGATCCAACATTATCGTTACGGAAGTTGCAGTGGTATTGCACTACATCGTGCGAGGATAGAGCTTCTTGAATCAACATATACCCTTACCCAGACACTTCTCTGCATTCTGTTATTCGAACAAACTGACATGTGCAGCTGATTAGGTCACACCTGTCAATGAGTACTCGCCTCACTTATGACCCTGCTCTTTTCTGCAGTACGACATTAAGAACCGGCGCACCTTCCTCAAGCGCACAGAGTATCCGTCGGTGAAGCCAGAACACCTGTACATCGGATCTATAATCACAGTGTACTCTAGGCAATTGCATCTTATGGACTATGCCGACGAGCACACTCGCAAGAAGCTGGACCAGAAACGAGAAACGTGAGCACTTTTTCATTTGCCGGCATGTTTTGTTTTTTTCCGGGTGTACAGCCATCCAGATTTGGTTAGACATGACTTGGAGTTTTGATCGAAAGTCGACAGAAAACTCCTAAGGGCAGATTGCCCAATGAGCACGGCAGCTGACGTAGAAGCTTGACGAAAGCGACAAGAACTTCCAACTCTTTCCCTGTCTCTCTGTTCTCCTTTCGTAGCTTCAGACTTCAGTGGTCGTTTTTCGGGCTTTTTGTTCTCCAGTCACTTACAGTAGATGCGCACCCAGTGCGACAACTCCGCTGTCCGGCCCAACTTCACCTGATTAGCAGCTTGTAGAAAGTACACTTCGAATGCAAACATCGACGGAGATTCTACGTGTCTTGATGCGACCAAAACGCGTGTGCTCGCTGCAGGACTCTGGCGATGATTAAGCCAGACGCAATTGAGCACATTGGGAAGATCCTGAACGCCATCTACGGCAGCGGTTTTCTGATCAAACGGATGAAGATGTGCCACCTGTCGCTCACGGAGGCACAGCAGTTCTACGCAGTGCACCAAGCACGGCCGTTCTTCAGGTGAGCTTTATCGGTTACCATCTTATCTTTCGACCTTTGTTAAGGAGCATTCCGTCCTCTCGAGAATGGATTCCGCCCCCAGCACTGACTGGTCATTCTCGAGACTTCTGCATCTTCCATGCGAGTAGCTTGCTACGATCATCAAATTGTCATAATACATGAAACAGGAAATTCATAAGCCAAGCTAATGATGAGCTCCGACTAAAACTAAAAGGCCTAATCCAAAATGATACTCGCTCCGCCCCCATACCCGCCCTTATCAGCAACCTAACATACCGGTCCCAGCGCGGTTACCTTATCGTTATTCCGGATAATCATTACTCTTGTTGAGTTCGATTCGTGAGACTACAGTCCTTTGTGATCAAGGTGCTGTGAAGGCTCTTCATCGTTGTTTCAGTGTGCATTCTTGAACCCCTCAGCTTCCAGTGGTTTTCTTCCAACCTGCTCAAGTCTCTGCCGTTCCTCGCAAGACCCCAGGATCAATTCTACGTTTCCAGTTGATTGATTGTTAGAGGCTACCCGTCGGTTCTAGTTCGTATACAAAGTCTTCTCTCCGGAGCCTTGCTGGCAAGAGATAGGTGCAGCTACTTGTGTGGAACACTACAGCTCTTTTCAAGCAACCGCCGAATTTGGATGGAGGGGGAAGCTTCAGAAGTTGGTCGAGTTAGTTGTCGCTATAGGGTCGCAGACTCGACTAACTTAGTCATCCAACTCTCTAGGCTTCCGTTTCTGATATCTTCGGCAGGCTGCTCGCGAAAAGCTGTGAAAGGGGCCGAGGGCAAAATAAATTTGTTGGCGATCTTGGCAGACGACGAACGTTCTCGTTTTCGCCTGCAGAACTTTGACGGAGTTCATGTCATCAGGGCGGGTGTTCGCAATGGAGCTCGTGACAGAAAACGCGATCGCCAAGTGGCGCAAGCTCATAGGTGAGTGACATCCCTTGCGTCTTGGCACGTCGTGCAGTGCCTCGACTTCTGTCAGATTCGATGCGGTTTTTGCTGTCCTGCTGTTGTGAGAGTGCGTGTAGCTTTAGAGTCAGGTTGCTAGTCGACGCTTCGTTTACGTCTGGGTCCGTGGACGACGTCGCTTGCAATGCAAGCAAATAAACTGGCTTGCAATATCGTAAGCCCTTTGACAATCTCATCCTCCCCGTCGCGCGTTGCTTTGTTACACACATTACCATTAGGGTGCGCGTCGACCGGAAACGTACTTGGCCTCCATTGTCGCCTTTCCAGTACCGACGGGTAAATGGTACAGTACTCTTCAGGCCATATTACTCCTCTGGTACGTACCTTTGACGACCACGTGGATCTGACAAGCCATCCGATTGGCTAGATTCTGGAAAGGCTTTTGCAGCTTTTCGGTAACGTGAAGCCTCACTTGCACTAGCCGAAGCTTCCGAGTTCCGAAGCCCTCAGTCCTCAGTAGTACCCTCAGTAGTCCTCAAAAGTTCTCAGAACGAAAATATGTTGTCGAGCATATCTATTTAATTTTGTATATTTGCTCCTAATTGAATATGAATCCTCAAATGCAGGTCCTACAAACTCAGATACGGCCCGGGCGGAAGACCCCGACTCGCTGCGCGCCAACTTCGGTACGGACAACACCATGAACGCTTGCCACGGTTCGGACGCCCCAGAGACGGCGAAGCAGGTACGCACTGCTCAACCTTTTCGGATGGTCAGATTTCGCCCTTTGACTGGTTGCAGGGACCGAATTCACTGTCTGAGGCTAATGTAAAAGGTGTCTTATGGTTTGTTGCGTGCAAACATTGTGTTGCCATACTGAAAAATTGAGTGCTGGAAGAAAAGCATCATTCTCATTCGTTTACCAAACGAGCTAAAGAATGCTGTTCAACCGAACGGTTCCTGCTTCCAGGCTGTGCCGCATGATGTGGAACCCTCTTGCAGACAAGCTAATCCTCACAGCTTGTCAATATGAGCAGCATTTTCATAACTTTAATCTGCTTTTCACCGCGCCGCCTCAGCACATCAATCGGGATACTTATTGGTCCGAACCAACGGAATAGTTCAAACGGAGGTCTCAATGAAAGCTTGTTGATGAGAGCCGTTTTGCATTCTTCAGGAGGTCAGCTTCTTCTTCGACCGGGCGGACGTTGGCCGATGCGCGCAGCTCCGAGACTGCAGCCTGGCCATCGTCAAACCGCACGCAGTCACCGCGGGTAGGTGTTCTTCTCTTTGATTTCGCTCGAGTCGTTAGCTGAGAGCAAGATCGTTGAGCAGTACATTCAATCAAAGAACGAAAAGGGAACAAACTCGCTGTCCTTTTTGGGCTGGAACCATCTTGATCAAGTTGCGGAGAGCCTTCCTTCCCAGCAACAGTACAAAATATGTTTAAGGGCTCATGTGTCGAGTTTGCTGGACAAAGACTCCGCGTGACACAAAAAATGGCACAGAATGCAAGGTTGGGTTTTCGCTGAATCGCTCATATTGTGGGCTTCGTTACACGGCACGTCACTGGGGAAGTCGAATCGTGAACGTCAGTCATTATGAGCAGCGCTGCATGCTCCAAGAATAAAACCCAGGAGACGCACTTCTCGGCGACACAAGAGCAGGGGGCCGCGCTCTGCAGTCGCCCTGTGGCGTTTAGGATGTCTCGGACAGTGACCGGATGCCCGAAGATTCACCTTCGCAGTCGCTCGTGAGAGTGGCTCAATTTTGCAGCGACATGCAGTCCATGACCGTGACTTGTGTGTCACCGCAAGCCAGGCAGGGCTTTTGGAAACCCCGTGTCTTTGATCACAAAACAGGGCAGGCGAGCGCCATTTCTAATGAGAGGGCGGCGCACGTTTGAGATGACCGCGCTGTGCAGTCACCAGATGGCGTCCTCTTTTTTAACTCCGTGTTCCTACGCTTGCTGACGCTATTATCGACCAGGTCACGGCGGTTTTTGCCAGGGAAACTGCGCTTTGAAGTGGCCCTGTAACGTATGCACATGGCGTCTGCATACGTCCTCCTTTTAGCTCCGTGTCATTAACCTTGCTGCAGGGTAGGCGGGCGCTATCATCGACCAGATCGCGGCGTGTTCTGACCTCAGCCCCTGAGCGGAGCATCGGCTAAACTGTCGCTTGATAGGACCGGTCCTCCGACGCCCTTTTCCTGAACCCCGCATATCTGCTTTGGCTGCAGGGCACGCGGGCGCCATCATCGACCAGATCGCGGCGCACTTTGAGATGATCGCGCTGTGCAGTCGCCCTGTGACGTCATGCAGATCCGTCTTTGTGAAACCTCTTCCTAAATCCCGCACGTTTACTCTTGCTGCAGGGCACGCGGGCGCCATCATCGACCAGATCGCGGCGCACTTTGAGATCACTGCGCTGCAGCAGCACATTCTCGACCAGGCCAACGCGGTGGAGTTCCTAGAGGTGTACAAGGGCGTCGTACCGGAATACAACGTGAGTGCCGGCTATCGTTTTTCATACTTTGAAAATTTGGGTTTCATAAGGCATGAGGAGCTCGACGAGGACGAAACTTCCAGAAAAACTTCCAGAAACTTGAGTTGTGGGCTACCCGAGCTTAGGCTGTAAACAGTAGCTTTGTGCGTGGATGCTGGTATAGGCGTCTGCTTGCGAAGCGCTCTTTGGCGCCACGAGTGCAACCTCAGTAAGGAACCTACCGCGAAAGGTGGACTGCAATGCTCCTGTTTAGACCTTTCTTGGAGCTCGCAACGGTGGTCGCAACCCATGTATCTGCTGGTCTTCTTCGCAGATTCTTCCCACGTCCGTTGCCTGAATCGAAGCCCACGTAAAGTACTCGGAATCTTTCTTGACCCGATCGTCGCGGCTTCCCTTCAGGGACTCGTCGACGAGCTCAAGTCGGGGCCCCTCATCGCCCTGGAGGTGACGTCACGGGACGGTTCGCCTGACGTGGTCCAGGAGTTGCGGGAATTCTGCGGGCCCGCAGATCCGGAGATCGGGAAGGTGCTCCGGCCGCAGTCGCTCAGAGCGCAGTTTGGGATCGACAAGGTGAGACGATTTTCCTGGCGTGCCACGTGTCGGACATACATTGGTTGGCCAGCTCTTTCAGAGGGGCAGCCTTTGGTGTATTCCTCGTCTCTCGTGACAATTCGTAAGAGGTACGCAGAGGGTGGTGGTAGTAGCAAGGATTCAATAACCGGCAGTGCGGCGGATCGCAGTGGTCCGTTGGCCGTCTGCGCAGTCCACGTTTAGGTGGAGATGTTCCGAGTTTCATCTGTGAATGCTTTATTGCAGCAACACTTTCTCCTTTGAAGGATGCAGTCTCAGCTTTGAAGCGAATTCTGATGGGCTTTAGGACATGCGGGTATTACGCAGACGCAACACTACGACAGCAGATCGTCAAATGCGCAGTTCCGCGACCCTCAAGCAACTACTAAGAGATTGTATTGCTGTACCAGGTCAAGAACGCGGTCCATTGCACGGACCTCCCAGAAGACGGGCCACTGGAGTCCAACTTCTTCTTTGACATCTTGCTGAGTTAATTTAAAGGCCACACAATGGCGTATTTATGAGCCAGTCCTGACGGACGCACGAGGGAGAGAGCTTCGACGTTTGGAGTAGCTCTTTAAACTTTGATCCTGCGCGCCTTCTAATTATTACGCCTAAAGGTGAAGGATGAAAAAGAAAGTAGCCGAGCGGCAGATACCGCTGACCCGTTCATCTTCATGAGGGACCGTCTTAATCTGCACAAAACGACATCTTTCTCAACCGCATGCAACAAGTCGTTGCGTTGCGTCCGCTTGGGATGGTCGCACAAAAACCGAATGTTACTTTCTTCAATCAAGTCATCCTGCCCGCCAGCAGAAGGCAGACCCGGTCACTCTGCGTGACTTAAGGCATTCCTCGGTACCGATCGACTATAACTGTCGCTGCATGCCAGAACGTATGCTAGTCAGACGTTTATTTAGACAGCTGCGTACGGAAATTAAAAGCAAGATCCGATCTGCGCATATCTTACTTTGTGCAGTTCAACCGTGAAAAGAACGTGAAAAGACGTTCCAGCACATGTGCAAAGCTCAAATGCCGCGCACCCCATGATAGATGTGCCAGTGAGATCCAAGTCACTTGAACACTGACGTGTGCACATGGTGATTCCATACCCGGCCACATCGAAAGCATAGCAGACGGTTGTACGGCTGTTGCATGCTTATGCCTTTTCACGGTCGATCGGATGCAGCTGGCACAGGCTCCGCCGTTGATGGCCAACTTTGGTAACATTTCTTGCGAGCGGATTTTGTGCTGTCAGCTTGTTTATACGTATTGGTATATACATCCGACAAGCTCTGGATATGTAGTTCTAGATTGTATAGATTATGTATGTATGATACGACTACATCTCACTCTACTAGAGGTCGCAGCTCTTCGAAAGCCGGGCTGAAAGTGAGTTCAAGTTCCTATGCTTCAAGCCGCCGCGCCCAATAGGTGGTTCGGTTAGCATGTTAGCACGGCCACAGCAATAACCTGGAAAAAGATGTGTGTGCTAATTGCTGAATGATATTCAAACAAGAGAAAGCGCTTCAGTGATCTGAAAGGCCGATATGTTGTCCTACTAAAGGTCCGGTCCGATCGCCGTACAGGTAGAAAGCCTTTTAAGTTCGTCGGAAAGAGCTGTATCATGGTTTTTGTTTGATACAAGCATAAGTTATATCCTACGTTACTGGATACAGACCTGTACAATCCTAGCAAGCGACGTGCCTTGACGACATGATACAGCTCTTTGAGGATCAAACAGAAGAGGTCGTTTACTCGCGCCTCTGATCAAGCTTGGTCGCTTACTAATTCGCTTAGCTGTCGTACAAGACCGAGCTGCGGTGACTCATCCGATTGTAGGACCGAAAGTAGTCATGACTGAGTACCACAGAGGACGCTGTCCTATCGCTAGCAGGCTCGTAAAGCCAACGTCTTTTTCTGTACATCGTTGCGATGGTCAGAACAGCTTGTTAGTATTGTACACGCGGGGAGATCTACTCTGATATTCAGTCCGATGTACAGTCTAAAGCACAGGCGCAGACGACCCGCAAGAACCATCTGAGGCGCACTTGACGGCGGGTTTCTCAAACGGGGAGTCGCGCCAGGTTTCTAGCTCATCCAATCCGGCAATGCTCGGGAGGTCCTCTTTGAAGAAGTCACAGAAGACGGGCAGCTCGAGGGCGGGGTTATGCGCGGCGGGGGACGTCACGTGCGCAGAACTACCTGGAATAAAAGTCGAACTTCCGCGCCGAGCTTATAAGCCAGAGGTTTGGGCATCTGTAGTTAGTTTCTAAGGTGTGAATTGATGCAGATAATATGAATGCAAACGGGCGGCCTCTATAAATCCGACTCTGATCTTGTCGCCGACCTTGAAAGGGTTTTTGTCAGCAGAAAGTCGTCCTAACGGATTGTATGGATTGTAAATGTATTACAGATTTTGCTGGGTTCTCGTTGCGCGCTGACATATTGGAACAGCCTGTCAGTTCGTTCTGTTTGCAGTGTCTTCTGAAGGTTCCCATCTATAAGCAAAGGTTTACAAGGAAGAACTCGAGATTCTGTAGAATCATCTATCTTCAAAAATCATGAAGCAAAGACTTTGTAAGACCAACAATATATGCCCACAGCATCCAAGGCCTCTAAGGAGTACTGAGTTCGTCAGTCATGATGTTCCTCACCTTCAAACTGGAGTGTTACGTCTTGAACCGTTTCGTCCATAACGCCCTCCTTCCTCTCGCTCTCCTCCTCAAGTCCCTCGAGAAGGATGTCATGAAAGGTCCCTGCCAGCCCCGTTTCGGAGGGCCCCTCCGAGCTCAGGGAACTGCTGTTTCTGCGCCCCCCCTCCCGGTTTGCCTCTTCCGTTTCCGCCCGCGTTTTCAGGGGGCCGGAAATCTGCGGGGTCGTTTCCTCTCCCAAGGGGATACTTGGAAGCGTATTTACACCGCTGACTCCAGGTTTTCCGTCGAAGGACCCAAAGACGGGGCTCTGTACGGCGAGAGGGAGGCTCTGACTGCTCTTGACGCTGGAGGGGATAACGTCGAAGGCGTCCAGGGCCGGGAACAAGCTGCCGAGGTTCGACGCGTGGAGTGATTCGACCGGCGGCTCGGTGAGGCTGACGTCCATCGCCTGCTCCAGAGAATGCGTCTCCCAGCCGGACTGGCACGGCCCCGGCGCTTCCACCGATTCTAAAGCGAGCAATCGGTCCCTCTCTTTGCTGAGAGGCGTCTCCAAACCGGTCTCGTACTGCTGATACGTCGAACTCAGAGAGTCGATCAAATGCGCCGAGACGAGATCAACTCCGTTCTGGTAATTTGCTTGCAGCGGCTCAATCGGTTCTGCAGTCCCCTCATCCCCCGTCTCCATTTCGGCTGCTGTCCCCTCATCCTCCAGATCCATCTCTCCCGGGAAAGCCAATCTGTCGGCTTCGCTGTCTAACCCGGCCGCGGCTTGGCGCGGCGGGTCGTCGGGGGGGTTCCGGAGTTCGAGCCAAAGCTGCCGCGGTGTCATATCATGTTCTGGAAGGTCAGAAGGCGCGGACGAGAAGAGTTGGATGGAGCTTTCACTTGGCACGCGCGCGAGCGGGTCGTGGCCGCCCGCAAAAGCGCGCGCATGGGCCTCGTAGCCGCCCGCAGAGGGGTCCGCGAGCGCCTCATCGTAGCCGGCCGCTTGGGGATGCGCGAGCGTCTCGTAGACCGCAGCCGGTGCGCGCACGAGCGCGCCATAGCTGGCCGCGCGAGAGAGCGCGTGTGGATGATAGCCTGCTTCGGGCGCGCGCGCGTACGGCAGGTCATGAAAGTCGATGCCAGGCGAGCTCACAGAGCGCGCCAAGCCGCGGCGAAGAGGTGCCGCCGGGGGGCTCGATACACCTGGACCAAAGTAAAGCGAGATTCTGAGTATGAAGAAGGGTGCTTCGAAATCTTCACAGTTTGTCTAAGGTCCTCGCATGTTCGGATCACTTGCAAGCAATGCAATGACGAATAGAATCAACGCTGCGACGTATTGAGGAGCTGACAACAACGCCGAAGTTGCGGTTGCGACTTGCTCAGATCTTGAAAGTGTCGCATCGCTTTGTGCTTCAACTGGATCTGGACGAACCCTGTCCTTTGAGTGCTCTCAGAAGGGTTAAAAGAGATGTATATCTGTGCACATGTTTCCCTGTCCTTCGCAAAAGGATTAAAGGTTTTCATGAGTGCAACGAAGTTCTGGGCACATATTCTGAGACAGGAGTTTCTACTGAGCTCTTAAATCCCGCTAAATTTATCATCTGAGAATCTTGTTTCTCGTGATCGGATGGATTACTTCAAAGATATTAGCATACCTGTTGGAACGCGCGTCCTGATCGGAGGGAGGTTCCTGATGCTGAGTGGAGTTCCTCCCGAAGACTCATACTGCGCCCGTCTTTCCTGCCCCCAGGCCTCGTAAGCGCCGTCCGTATGGACATACTGAAAGGCTGGTGCGTACAGAGCCTGGCCTTCAGGAACAAGAACCGTCTCCCCTGAGCTGGACACGCCTCTGACCCAAGCCATGGTCCTCGGAGTCCAAGTCTCGTACCGGAACCGTTTGGCTTCAGACCCAGTTGCAATCCCCGGTCTCTTGTTGCTTGCGGGATAGAAGTGGACGTCAGCCGGGGGACTCGACCGGGGTAACGGCGGCCAGGCAGAAGGCACCTGTAGTGCACAAGGAGGACCGTCACAGAAGAGAGAGAGGATTCAAGCCACAAATATACTATGTTTCAAGTCATCATCTGTGAAGTTAGTAGAATAGTTTCTACACGCCGGTGGCAGGCATTGTCATATTGATCATGTTTAGCACCTGCTAAGATCAGCGGCGAGAAGAACTATGGTTGAGGAGTTTTGCTGCTAATCTGCCCGTAACGAAATCCACAGATTCTCTCAAAATGGCACGATCTGAAGGCTTATTGTAACCAGCCAATAAAGATTCTGAGACAATCAAAGCATTGTTAGATTTTAAAGAAAGCAGAATATGAGTATCTGCAGGCCGTTTGACTGCTTCTACATGCATCTTTTGCTTGTCTATGGCAACTGAGGAAACAACTGTGTGAGCTTTCTCTTTTCCAAAAGGTAGAAGTAGCAATACCCCTGACCTGACGAGAGTACGTTCTGGATTGTACGCGGGTTCTGAGGTGATTCTCAAAGCGCAGCCTGCAGCTGTTTGGAGAGCGTTGGAGTCCTGTTTGGTTGACATCGCGCCAGCTTCGATCTCCATATTTCTGGAAGCAAAATAGCAGGCAGAACTTCTTACGAGGAAGGGGTAGGATTTGAATCCTTCTGAGTTGGAAAACTGTGTGGACCTCAGCAAACAAACTGCTCGTGGTGAAGATGGGACCTTAGACGACGTCCCTAGGAAGAATTCTCCGAAACCGATTCTCCGCAAACAAAGTGCAGCTATGGTTGATAGCCCCGGACTCGATCGATCCGCATTGGGAAGAGAGCAGTAAGTGTACTGCTATGTTAACTTCAATAGAGAAGAAGTAAGAAGCTTCGAAGTAGATTCAAGGCTTATAATGCTGAAGACTTTTTCTGAAGGCTTGCGAAGTTGCTGACCTTTTCCAAGCCACAAACTCTCGAAAGGTAGATCTCAACTATGTGGCTTCAGATTTCATCAGTCCAATCTGAATCGTCCAAATCAGGATATATTCCAATTATCAAACGCATGGCAATACCGTTTCATTGAACGATTCTCCTGAGCAATGCAAAAAGGAATTGTGAAAATCCATTCACGTGAGTGGAGATTTTTTTTTTCTTAATTTTCAAAAAGTGGCTCACCTTTACGTAGTCAATGAGCAAGCTATCCTCCTCTTCGTTCCACCTTCTGCTACTCAGCTTCAATTCCCGCATGTTCAGCCTTCTCGGGACCGTTCTATCCTTTCCCATGCTGTCTTCTCCTGCAATGTGGCTCTCTTCAACGCGTGCAACGGAGCTCCTGGCTCTGCCAACTGCATCGTCAATGAGCAAGCTGCTTTGGGAACCACCGTGTCTATTCCCTTCCCCCGCGGACCTTGGCGATGCATTCACAACTGCCTTTTTCACAAACGCGACTCTGGAAGTCCCCTCCTCACAAGATCCTTCGCGAGATCTTCTCAACCCTTCAAAAGCCTGTTCCTCTTCCGTAGCCTCCAATTCCCCCCCTCTTCTCACCCTCCCCAATCCTGGATCGACCCTTGCCCTACTCATTTGGCTGCCTTCAGCAGGTTCGTGGCTAGAACATCCCTCCCCAACAGCTGATCCTCCGGTAATCCCACCATCTGCAGGCTCGCTACGCGAGCCAAGAGAGGGTTGCCGGGCTAGCTTCTTCAGATCTTTTATCCTGGTAGTTGGCGATCCAAATTGAGAGATGCTGCTCTCGTTGAAAGATCTGGATCTTGTTAGCGCATTATCGCCTGACACAGAACCTTCCTGGGTTGGCAAATTGAGACCGGAGTAACTTCTGCTCAACGCAAGAGCTGCCAGCTCTCGCATCCTTCTTCCCATGTTTCTGTTGGTCTCCTGATCTTCTTCTGTCCCTTCCCTTGACTGACTCTTGGCCCGCAAAACGGCGGAAGTCAGCTTTTGGAACACATGTGACACCGTTTTTGTAGTTCAGCACTTAGCGCAGTATTTATAGCCCGGGGCAGGAAGTTTGTCGGCTAAATTAAGCACGAGTAAAAGGTCCTTCTTCTTTGTTTTGGGGGTGAAACAAAGCCCTGCTGAGTAGTTCTCTGATGTGAGGGACGTCAGAAAGGTCAAATGTGCCAAGCTTTGTTAGTCAGGAGCTCGCACAAAAGCTTTGCATCTTGTAAGAAGCAGGTTCTTGAAGATAGCTGTTCTACTTTGAGCAGCTAAGCAACGAGCTGGTTCCAGGCATCCGGCACCAACCCCACTTTGTGAAGCTTCTCCCTCGCCTCGTCATCGCAAGTGCTCATCATCATCCTGCATTGGAAGCCGCTCTGATTCGCTGCATTGATGTTCCCATTGGAGTCCGTTTGTCGTTTCCTAGTTAAAATTCTAGAAGCCTTCCAGAGGAATGATCGACAGGATGGTTCGAGCAAGAAGCATTCAGCCCCTTGAGGCAGTCAGGAGGGAAAAGCAAGAGGTCGAATGGGTCCTCTTACATGTGGAAAGGAAGCACGTGGTGACACACCTGTGCGTTTATTGGAGGAACAAACCGGCACGCTCGAGGGGCGCGGGCACCTCCGTCCCTTCTTCGCTATGATGTTTATCTCATGGCATGCTCACATAGCCCTCGTTTTGCATCGAACTGCACGACTGTCGGATGATTTTTTGATCTGGTTCAGACAGTTGCTTGAGAACCAGTGGTTAAAGAACAGGCCCTGGGATACGCTGCTTTCATTGGATCACATCTGGATATCCCATTGGCTATTGCCATGAACATCGACGCTTCGTGATAACCTAGCACCCGTCAGGAAACAGATCGACGATGGGACAAAGTACACAGGAAGATCCCTTGTGTGCAAAAAACGGTTCTTTTACCGCAATTTTGGAAGGTCGTCGAAACGTGTCGGAATTTCACGCTGTACTTCACAGGAGGCAAAAAGTCAAAAGCCCCTTAGGGATCAGTTGGACTTCGCATTTCTCTGGTTTCACAAGTTGGATGCATCAAAACGGAGGATAGGGACCGACTTGGACGTAACGCTTTTCCACAAGTAGCTGTCACTTCCTGGCTAGATCGCCGCATCTTTATGACCGCTTAATAGAGCAGAACAGATATGAATCAGATCTAGCAGGTCCGGAAGGAGTATATTATCCTGCTTTCCTCTGCTTATGTGCACTGCCCCTCTTTCTCTTCACCTGCGTGTAGCGTGAGACTTATGCCTCAACCACCCCACATCCAGGCTATTTTTCTCTTCTTGATTGACTTCGATTCGCATCCCCTGATTTCGCTGATGTACTTTGATGTCCGTGAACTACGATACTTATACTCAAGGTCTAAGATACTTATACTCAAGGCCTAAGATCAGAAAGTAACCCCGAGGGACCATCATTGAACGGGCCCTCAGCCTGCCAGTAACAAATACCTTCCTCAATTCAGGCGCACCGGCAGGCTTGTAGCATTAGGGGCGCCAACGAGAAGCAGATTTAATATCCTTACCCTCGCTCCGCGTACCATCAAGATCATACATCTGAGATGTGGGCCGGCATACAACGAACGTTGCGCAAGCTGTCCAGTCAGTAGATTCTTTGGTGTCACGTCCTCATGTACATGAGCAGGTCAATCCCACAGCTGTCCGACTGCATGCGAGTACGTGGTCAGATTCAATGATGCACACGTCACCCACCACGTTATGCACACGCATCTGAGTCTGCTTGTATGCGTCGAGTCTTCGGCGCATGCTAACCGACTCATGATGAGCAGAACTTTGGAAATGATACACAGGTCCGAGAGCTAGACACGTTGAGATCGACGTTTCAAGGATCGCCAAATCTACATTAGTGTGGCGTACGCAAGACCACTGCGACCACTTTGATTGAGCCATGCATATAGTAATCAGTGGAACTTGGCAAACCTTCTCTTGAACGACATCGGCCCGCGACTTATGCTAACCCAGCGGCGGCTGGTTGCTATTAAGCAGCGGGCGCCCGCTTTTGGAGCGATGATAAAGCGCTAATTGGCCTTGCACGCACATGCCAGCCAAATTGCATCAAGAACCGGACACTGAGGTCCAATACATGTAAAGGCTCAAGGAGACACGCAGAGGTGAAACGTTTACAGTCATGGGAATGAAAAGACCCCTCACAATCTCAACGGAGTGCAGACTCACTGAAACCAAAGAGTCACTTTGACGACGCTGCACGTAGCGCGTGCATTCTGTTCGTCAATTCTTGCACCTTCGTCCGTGCTGCATTCCTGACACCTCCTCCCACCTCTACGACCTCTCCCCACCTTCGTTTCGCCCGCTCCTGCAAGCTTTCCGTTTCCATTTCCTCCACCAAGCCCAGCAGCCAGCGGAACTCCGCTTGGCCTCGCTCATCCAACGGCTCCAGCAGCTCGCTTCTATCCAACACCTCGAGCCTCGGCAACTGCCCACTAGTAACCCCTTTCTCAAATGGCCCCTTCCCGACGCCCGACACTTGCGCACTAACCGCCATCCTAGGCGCGTATAACCCGTTGAACCTCGCCCTCCCCTCGTTGCTCTCGGCCGGCCCGGTGCTCGCCCCCGCGCCGCTCTGACGTCTCTCTGACGTCACATCCCCGTCGTCCCGGTTCGCAATCGCCATCCTCCAGTCGCCTCCGTTCGCTGACGCTAGCTGGGCTTGTAGGGGTAAGCCCGGGACGGGCGACTCCGGAAAGGGGGGGAGGATGAGCGGGGAGAGGCCCAGCTTCTCGGCCCCCAGGCCCTTGGCCCGGTCGGGCTGGAGGCAATAGTCGAGCCACTGCTGGCTCACAGGGGTCAGCTCGCTGCCAGAGGGAACCCCCTGCAAGCGAAAGAGCGAAGCTGTTTTAGGACTGGTTCAACTGAGGCGTCGGGCAAAACAGAGGTCTTCCGGCGACGAGTCTGTAAGTGCCCTTTGAAGGAGACGTATGCACGTGCACTGCCACACGTCGGAAAAGCTTGCGGAGAGGCTGGGTACGTGTATGGAATGGACAAATGGGGCGAAGCAGGAGCAATCTGTCCAGTAGAACGCGTTGGTGAGGGCCATCTCTGTCCGCTTCTTAGCATCCGAAGTGTCACGATTCCCTCTAGAATCGATCGGCCAGAATGTCAGCCGTCCTTATCGATGGAGAGATCAGCAAAGGAGTATGATCTCACCCAGAAGTCCGCCCAGAGGAGCGTGCCGGACGCAGGCGTGACCGTTTTGACGGCCGACATGCGTGCCGCAATAGGGAGGAAGTTCTCGGCCCATCCGACGGCTGCCAGGACGTCGCCGTTACGCAGCGCCGGCGCGAATTGAACATCTCCAAACACGCGGACCTGAAGGAAGATTAGAGGTCAGAGCGATGTCAAGAACCCAGGATTCAGCAATCTCACGCTGCAAAGCAGATTTTTGATTTTGCTTCCGTGCTCGAGCGGGTTTGGTTTCCTAGTCTCAGTTGATCTCTACATTAAGATGAGCAACAGCTTCCACCGGAGAAAATCGGCTTCCTGCAGTAACCGCACCAAAAATCCGGGACAGTGCAGATGCAAAGCACGGCCGATTCACTCCGACGTCCCCGGTAAAGTTCCCAATGGGGCCCACACATCAACCCGCTGCCTCACCTGCTTTCGCAACTGTATGTAGCGTTCTACTAATGCTTGCCGCCCCCCCGGGACATCTCGATCGAAGTTGCGCGCGTTTGCCGAGGCGCCGAGGGACTTGAGCACAATTCCTACCACCTGCAAGGACCAATATTTGAACATACTTAAGACTGAGCAAAAAAGTAGCATATCAAGGGCTCTGTCCGGGAAACAGACAACAAGCGTCGGAGATGTAAAGGTTACTCCAATTGTTCGATTCTTCGTCCATTTCCGCCCTTTCGTCAAGTGCTTTAAATCCAGTGCCTATGCGTCAACCCTCTTTCCAGATGTCCAGTACTTTCAATCTGAAAATGATGCTCTGCTTCACCAGGTACACAGGTTCTGCAACGGCGAATCAATAAATGACTGATCGGGCCTGATCAAGTTGTGTGGCCCAGACTGGTCACACCTTCTTCTGTGGCGGTCTGCAGGAGACTACAAGACGTCCAGAAGTCCTCAAATGCCCATGCCCGTAGAGTCCAGTTTCTATGACCCGAGAAGCGACATAGATGTATCTCCTTAGGTTCGAACACCAACACGGACAACATTCGGTAGGGGCCGGCAGCATTTCGACAAAAAGCTTCCCCAAAAATTCTCCTCACCCACGACATTGACTGGCCTCGTTCGGAAGCTTTTCAAATCAATGCTTCTTGCTCCGGGTCTCACCTCTTGCGGAGCCCCCAGCATGGCGACCTGTCCCTTGAGCTGGGGGCGGAAGAGGTCGCCCCAATCCTCGATAGGCCCGCCAATTACATCTATCTGCAAGCTCGACACGGAAACTGCTCCTTCAGCACCCCAATCGGCTTACAGAGGCGACGATCGATCATCACAGGCGAGGCGGCTTCTTTACCGAAAGTGACTTCTTTAGTAGCAAAGGTTGGTTAACCAGTTATCCGGCCACATCTGTTCCAGGTCTGTCGAGGACAAATGTTGTCTTACATCCGCTTACGAAGCTCAGAATCTGTGCTGTTCACGGGCGAGGGTTCAGAATGAGGAACATAGAGTAGTGTGGGGACCTCACCATATCTGCTCGGTATGCAACAACTATCTGGCCAAAACGATAGGGTACTGCGTACACGCTACCTTTGCTGTCCAGGTCCCCTGCACACAACATGCCCGACTTGTTCAAACGATGCGCTGGAAGCTGAAGCGTTTCTATTAAGAACGGACAACGGACTTACGCGGCATAGAAAAATCTTCTGGATTTCATGTTGACTAAGAGCATGTTGACTAAGGACAGTGCGCGGGGACAAAAGCAAATCAAAAACCTAAACCTACAATTGACACGCTCCGCACCCGTACCCACCCTAACCCCCAAACTAACCCTACCCGTCCCCCGGGCGCCCTCCTTAGTCAACATGGCCCTTGGTCAACATGAGATCGAGACGAGTGCACAGAAACGCCAAGTTCAACCCCACGGGTGATTGCTCGAGCCAGCTTGCAGAAGAAACAATGGATCCGTGAGCGAGTCACGGACTGGAGTTTCGTTCCAGCTTTGCAGATTCATGGAGAGGACCCCAGGGCCAGGTTTAGGACGGCAGAGCGTTCGTACTTTCTGGAATCTTGCCATTAATGAAAGGCCAACTAGCATTGAAGGAAATGTGAACAGAAACGAGGCAGTGAGTCTCACCATCAGCATTTCGGGTCACGAAGCGCCTCCATTTCGGGCCTAGCCTCTCCCACCACTCCGACTGCTGGGCGAACGGGAGTGGTGTCAAGAGGCCTTGCTGCACGGCAGGCTTCAGCCAGGCGCCCCCGACTGACACTATCTCGTGGGACAGCAACCCACCCTTGGTGGGCTTCTTGGCAGCCTTCTCTTTCGCGAGCTGCACGAAGATCAGGCGCGTAAGGTCGAAGCAGGTTTGAGAGTCTGGATTATGAGGGTCAGAACGTCCGTCAATACACCAGAGAGAAGGAAAAAGACCCATGCATCCGGTTGCGATTTTTGTGAGTCAAGCACTTTCTTTACTAGAGCTCAAGCCAGTGATCCTCGGCATCTTTAGCATTGACCTCTTTGACCGACAAAACGGAAAAGAGGGAGAGAGAGAACGAAAAGCAAGACAAACGAAAAGAGTGAGAAGGATGCAAACAAGGTACAACCTGACAGAAAAGAAGGTTAGAACAAGCAGCGCAAAAGATTGACGACTGTCATCTCATTATGCACTACGAGAGACCATTGAGAACCCACCTTCTTCAGCAGATCAGCATGATTTGCGATCACTTTCCGTGTGAGCACGACGTGCTTCCCCTGCGTAAGCGAAAACATCTTGACCCACTCGACTGGGTGGCTATCACGGACCGCCGCAATTCGGAGCTGCCAGGGCACCACACGCGCCCTCGTCTTTTTTGTCCTCTCCGCCTCCGCTTTGATCTCCTTCAGCTGCCTATCATAAGCGGACAGGTCCCCATCCCAGTGGTGCCCCGTCTCTGAACCTGCACATAAGGGACGCTCAATTGTACTTGATCGACTCCATAGACGCACCTGGTGGAACGGCTGAATGAAGCCAAAAGAAGGGCTGGTTATTGGTCAATCTCTTGTTAGTCAAATCTTTTATAAGTCAATCTTTACTAGCATCGATACTTCTTGGGAGTGAAAGCTTGGGGACAGATAGTTTTCTATTTCTTGTCCTGAGACTTGGGCCCCATGAGCCGAGCGTTTTCTCTTCGCTTTTCTTGGGTGTTAGTACGCCCTTTTCGAGGAGAAACTTCAATGTTACAGAGAAAACAGATTTCCGCACCTGCAGCCCCATTGCCTTGTACTCCTGAACCACTGTTTCCCATTTGACTCCCCTTTGTATTGCCAGCTTCCGACCAGTCTTCGTCTGAGTCGCTGGTTTCCGCAGTTTCAAATGCTTTGTCTATCTGACTGTCCCGAACGTCATGCTCGAGCAAGTCGCTCTGAAGGCCCTCCCTCTCCTCCAGAGGCCAGTCCTCCTCATCAGGTAGCGATCGGCCCCAGTCTATCGGTGCGTCGCTTTCTTTGCTCTGTGCTGGTGGTAAAATAGAGGATTGCTGTGCAACAGTAGAAGAAGGCGGCAGCGGGGCTTGACTTCTCCCGGCGGCCCTTGCCGTTCCTGTGCTGATGAAGAGAGCGACTGCGGCTGCTAGCAGTGAGTAGGCGAAGGTCTTCAACAACAATCGAAACCTCAACTCTAGCTGAGAAAGGATGATATGCACACGGTCCACGAATGCATCTTCAAGGCCGGTCCATCCTGGCCACTTAGCCCATTCATTTCCTGCGTTTTTGCTAGCGGCCCTCTGCTCGAAGGGCTCTTGATTGTGCTCCTCAGGGGTCAAAGATTCCCTTGCGTTACTGCTCCTGATTCTTGTCCTCCTCTTTCTTCCCCAACCGACTCTGCATTGGTCCAACGATCTGTTGCCGCTTTCGTGTGCTGAAAATGCTCCGTCGCACCGCCGTCGTTGAGCAGACTTGCCGATAAGCTCAACTGGCGCCTGAGTACGTGCATTGCCCGACCTTCGGGAGCTCGAGAATGCAGAGAAATCAAGCAGCTCAGTTGCTGATTGGAGCTTTGAACACGCCATGGCGCAGGGCCCTTCTGCGCGAATCGGATGTCTGCTGCAGCACAACTGCTATAAGCCTACACCACGCACGGCTTCTCCTGAGCCTGAGGCTGAGGCTGCGCAAGGAGAGCAGACAAGCGGCATTCCGGCGGAACCTTTGGTCGACAACCGTAACGCCGCACCAGCGCCACAAGTAAAACCCTAGCTTCTCGAACCCTAAAAGCCCAGCGCAAGCGTTGAAAGGGCCTTACGTTAACAGCTGGTTCTCTCATCCCCCTCCCCCTACGTCAGCTGCAAAGAGAGATTGAATCCTCTGTTCATAGCGTGTTGACATCAAGAAGGTACGATGTCAATGACATACATTGACGTCCAGCTGCTTGAGGGACCGAATGAGGCAGCCATTGTTGTGCAAGCCTTCTAGATTCTACAGCATCGGGCTCGGCCACATTGCAATTAATGTCAACAGAGTAAAAGGGCGGTCGCTTTGTCAAAAGGCTTTTGAAAACAACCAGCAGATACAAATCAATTCTGCCCTCCAATTGCTGAATTGCTCACCCGTTACGCCAGTCACCGAGCAGAATGAAAGCCTACGTTCTGAAGCAGTATGGAGCCCCCGACGACGCCCTTGAGCTCAGAGAGATTGAAAAGCCCATCCCAAAAGATGACCAAGTTCTGATACGGGTCCGCGCGGCAGGCCTCAATGCTGCTGACTGGCACCTTATGAGGGGCGACCCGTACCTTGTCCGGCTCATGTTGGGGGTAAGAAAGCCCAAAGCGGGCATTGTTCTGGGGGGCGCTCTGTCGGGAGTGGTTGAGGCGGCTGGGAAGACGGTGACGTTGTTCCGCAAGGGGGACGAGGTGTTTGCAGAGAATGACGTCAGTCTGCTGGGGGCATTTGGAGAGTAAGAATCCAAAACAATTGAAAGAACTTCACTTTCTTCTACTTTACGGTTGGCATTGCGCATCTTAGATCCTTCTTCATCACTGGCTGTAGCGTGTCACAGAATTGAACACCTGGGGACATGTCTCTTACTTCAGCACTCGGAAGCACAAAGAACATAGTTTCAAACGAATGGTCAGTAATATACTGGGCAAGTACTATGCAGTCTTTGGACTCTTTACCTCCTGAGTTGGGCTATCTCAAGTGGGCAACGATCTGGATGCTTTCCTTCTCTGACTTGGCATCAAAGGGAAGACTTCCATTGTCTCAGCCAAAACAACAAGATACCTCTGCATTTTACACTTTCCTTTGGACAGGCAGAATTGGCAATTGCCTGTACAAATGGGGCTGACCTGTCAATTGCTACAAGAAGGGAAGGAAGGCAGCAACTTTTGTAGTTTTCCCATAACTCTGTAGCCCCAAGCCATGAAACAATTAGAAACCCGTTTTCTCAAATATGGGTCGGCGAACACTAATACAAGTCCTCCTCTCACAGGTATGTCTGCGTCCCCGAGAAGCTTCTGTGCACAAAGCCTTCCAACATGACGTTTGAACAAGCAGCAGCTGTCCCCGTCTCTGCCCCAACTGCCCTCCAAGGGATCCGTGACACTGCAAAGGTGCTTCCTGGTCAAAAAGTTCTCATCAACGGCGCCTCGGGAGGCGTTGGAACGGCCGCGGTGCAGATTGCCAAAGCAATGGGAGCGGAGGTCACTGCCGTGTGCAGCACAAAAAACTTGGAGCTTGTTCAGTCACTGGGAGCCGACCATGCGATTGACTATACCGTTGAGGACTTCACCAAGTCTGACAAGAAGTACGATGTGGTCATGGACATCGTGACAACGCACCCCATTGCAGCCTGCTGTCAAGTCTTGACTCCAAAAGGCATCTACGTTGGAGCTGGGGGTCTCGGAAGGGGGGTCTGGATAGGGAAAACGTGGGACCATCTCATGGCTAAGTTGAATCCGTTCAACCGCCGAAGGATTGCCATAATCATCAACTTGGCATCCAGCAAGTACCTCAACGACTTGAAAGACCTCATTGAGGCTGAGAAGTTTGTGTCTCCCATCGAGAAGAGCTACACATTCGACCAGGTCCCAGCTGCTCTCAAGTACCTAGAAGAGGGGCATGTTCGAGGTAAAGTGGTAGTGACCATCTGACCTTGACTTGTAAGTGTTTAGTATAAAGCCTGATTGTCAAATAAAGCTGAAGATTGTTTGAAAAAGCTAGCGGCATTGACTGACATTACTGATTTGAGCGATCAGTCGTCAAAAAGACGAGTCACTGAATTCAAACCTATAGACGCACTTTCAATGCAGGGTGGACACCGAAATCAGAGGAATAAGTCGACATCAGTTGGGATTGGTTGGGATTGATCACTGCATAAACGGTTGAGTTGTTCACAGTTGGGTCAATTAGGCAAAGTCAACATTGTACGGTTCTGAAAGCAAAGCGATTGCTTGAAGCGTATCCATATTATGTTCGTCGAGTACGCAGCACAGCTAGAATGTGTTATACACTGTGTCACTGAGCCATGCCATGTGCTCATGGTGAGCCAATCATTGGTAAAATCGCTAATTGAGTCAATTTATCGAGACGCAAATATCATGCCAGAACTGGCAGCCCTGCGCATGCTGATTGTGTCGTGAATGATGCAATCGGCCGCCATGCATGCGCGCGCGCGGCGGCGCAGCTTCAAATGATCGCCGCGAGGCAGAAATAACATGCCGGCCACGCAATCCGGTCGTGCATGATGCAATATTAGCATGCCGCGTGTGCGTAATCCGCAGCGCAATCAAGTATACATAGTCGACATGCCAGATCCTTGAATTAATCTGACCTTGTGCCTACTGTGCTTCCGCCCGCCGCAATTGGAACGTACGATGATGATGATTGGATCATTCTTCTATCGTGATGAATTAGCAGTAATGTATGATAGCGCCGCGTAGGCTTTTGCGCCCTGCAGTCAAAAGGCCAGTGTGCACACCGCGCCGATCAAAGGAGGCGTGAGTCGAAACGTTCCTCCGCTCAGAGCACAAACATATCTCTTGTAGACAACGTACTTAGACTTTACTTCTGTGGAATCCACATTCCATCTGCCAGACAATCCGAGACACGGCAATCAACTATGCATACAAGTCCTTGTACGACGTCGTTACCATGAATTGATGATGTAAAGACTCAAGCAATCATTACATTAGCGAGCGTCCTCAGCATTCAACGAGCATCATTTATGTACATAAAAAGCGGTTTTCATTCGAAATATCGCTTCCCCCCTATTGATATGATCTGCCATCGGGTCGGACCTGCCCCTGGATAGTGACACAAAGCTTCCTCGGCCCCCCATAGTTCCTGTGCTCGTTCAGATAGATTCCCTGCGCAAACGAACAGTCCGTGACAATAAACACATTCCATAATCTGATTGTGAGGTTGTAAGAGCCTCCCAGATTGTTTGAACTAAGCGTCGATGGCTAGGGGGCTGGCGGCAATCACGACGGGTAGTCAATCAGCAGCTCGTCACACTGACCGGAGCATAGCTACCACAATACGGACAAAGCATCCTGACCACCTCGAAAACTGAAAACTGACTGTATCACGAGCAATCTCTTTTTCGGCCTCAGACACCAACAGCACGGCTGGACTTGGCTCGTTGTCAGTCTCTGGAATCCTAGCAAAAGTTCCAGAATCGACGTAGGAACTGGTGCCTCCTAAAAAGATGTGCATTCGTTGGACATGGCCAATCGGGGCTCGAGCACCTACCTGCCACGTGCCCATGTTCAGTCGTCCGCTCGTGATGGGTATCGTCACCGAAAAGCCCATGAGGGATCCCTTGACGTGCGCTGGACACGAGAAACAGCGGTTGAGAAGCCTCCTCTTCCAATGATATTCCGGCAATGGTGAGAGAGTCACGCGACGATCCCTTCTCAGAATATTTACTGCTTTGTGTGATTTTGTAAAGGCGGTTGGCCTTGAGAAAGGTGGCTCCGTGGGGCCTAGCTTACTGAAAGAACCTGCAAAAGTAGGACCAGTCTAAGCTGCATCCTTCACGCTCAAAAGGTTGCCCCCCTCTTGTTACCGGACACATCTGTGGCTGTCGCCTTGCTGATTGGAGGCAGGACATGGTTGTCCAACTAGCAGGAAACCTGGATCCTAAAGACCCCGTCAATAACTTGGGACGTTTGATCAATCCCTTATCTATCCGACAACAGAAGTTGCTTGCAGCCTATGTCACTCGAAGATGGACAGGAATAGAAAAGCGTGAAAACGAAGCCTTCATTCAGCCAAATTTTTGATCTCACAAGCTCCTGGTTGGCCATTTCAAGAACATGACAGTTGTGGTGTCTCAGTCAATGTCGGTTAGCGAAGGCTACAAGATCACGTGAGATCGGGCGACCCAGATGCTGTCCTGATTCGAGGAGTGAGTGAAAAGACGGTGCCTCTTTATGAGTAAACGAAGATTCGCTTGGTCCTGCTTCGAGACACGTTTCCTGCCAGTGGCAACTGCAGAAAGTAGGCACGAAGCTCCTTGTCCCATCCCGTACCCGGTACCGATGCTCATTCTTAAAAATAGCGGGTTTCCCAGCAGGCTCAATTTGACCATCCAGGAGAGGGGAACATTCTCACCCGGCATATCGTCCATCCCCTCGTCTAGATGTCGATAATGATGCCCCTGCAACAGAGCGGATCCCCACTTATGTCAATCACCTTTGAAAATGGTTCACGACTGGTTCGTCAATGCGGAAGACAATCAACAGACAACAACTCAGGCATAGAAACGTGTATTTAGAAACGGGTTCACCCCGTCGGGAAACCTTAGCAGGGTTGCCGTATGAGCACGAAGGATCAGCAATAGAGTCACGTTGGCCGCCCCACACAAACCCGTCTTTCAGTCTGAACGATCCCGGCTCGACAATCGTTTTCAGTCCGTTCATGTACCCCTTGGGCGAGACCAGTCCTGATAGAATGGGTCAAAGAACAAATTTGCCTCTGGCAACCGGACGATGAATCTGAGATAACGACAGAGGTGAACCAGCCAAGTTATGCAGACGGTGCTCCGTTTTGAAGTAGCTGGAACACACAGAATCTCGACCATCTCTCAACGGCCAACGGCGACCATGTCCCAACAAGTTCGCTCGACCTTCAATTGTACACACATACATCAGACAGGTGCACCAGCTCACTATGTGCTTCACCCGGTTCGAGCGCCTGACAGATACAGGCGTCCAATGACAGGCATCGACCTCGGCATGGACCAAATGCGTTCACTTGGGCCATCTATTGCTCTCGAAATTAGGCGGGCCGATTTCGGCCTGATGCAGCAGTGACAGCAATGAACTTGAATATATACAACTTGTGAACCGTACTACGAGTCCCGTACCTCCGGAACAATCCTGTCAAGCGAGTCGGCCATGTCGAGCGGGACGTCGGGACTGGCGTTTTCGTTGATGGTCAGGCTGGCTGACGTGTGCATGACTGCAAGCAGAGGACGAGAGGATACATACACCAATTGTGCACTTTTGAATATAAGCAGCCAAAGTCGAGAGCATTCACAGATTGTTCAAAGAAGTTTCTGGCCCAACAACATATGCTTCATACCAAAGCGGGGACGCCAAAAGAATCACTTCCAGAAGCCATATGCCGCAAACCCAATTTTTATGTTCCATGACCAGATCTCAAGGCGCAATAAACAAAGCTTGAGCCACTGACGGCTTTACGAAGGATGGATCGGGATGGCAGTTTTCCGTGACTTGCACTGGATAATTGACACTCACTGAACAAATGTGCCAACCCAACGGTAAATCGTGACATTTCCGCCCCCAACGCATTGCGGATCTCCCCCGTGACTACGTGGCACCCCCTGCAGTCCACAACATGCTCTCCGTCAACAGCTGAGATGCAGTACTTGCAGCAGCCAATCAGCGAGGTGCCTTCTGTCCAGAATCGCCGACATGCTCTTCTCAACATCTTTTTTCGCATTGAAAAAAGTAAGTAAACTCTTTAGCCCATGGTCCCCACTCCTCTCCACGTCTAAGGGCTCTTCAAAACGGTGACCGTCCTAGCTTGTGCCTCCAGTCTTCCCAAATCCAGCACAAAGGTATCAATGAACATTTTAAGCGTCAGGAGGGCAAAGCCAGACAACTGAACGTGCAAGTGCAAAGCAGTATGGGAAGACTTTGGAACCTGTACAAACTGCACAGGACCTGATTTGTGCCATGAGCCCCACCTCGGCCTCGGCTTCAACGTGATGGTTTTCTGGACCCACTCCGTGGGTGCCACCTGTGTTGCAGTGGCAGCCTCGCCGGCTGCGCAGATTGGGCGGCAAGTACTCTGCCGGCTGGGTGTTCTCTTCCCCAGGTCCTGTATCTCAAAAGAAGTCAGGCTTCTTCTGGAATCAGAAAAGCAATCAATATAAACATACGCGTTGTGAGGCGTTTTGATTGATCCGCAAGCCTCATTCTGAGGCTTTGGGATTTGAATGTGGTAGCTGCTGTTCTTTCGCAGATGTAAGACTTTATATATCAGAGATACTGCAGTGCCAGTATCAGAAGAGAGGCCGAAACGCTTGCATGGAGTGTCACTTGCTGCCCCCGTATCTTGGGGCTTGCTTTTGTGTCTATATATGAAGAGAAATTACACAGAGCCAGAGGGCTGCAGGCAAGCTCGGTGCAGAGACTGACTGAGCAAGCCCCTAGTCCAATACTTTTGAGATGGATCCGCAATCTTTTGTGATCCAATTTTCTCTGCCAAGGTCGCATGCCAGACTAGATGTCGTTCAGATTCCACCGGGTCACCTCTCTACAGCATTGCACAAACGCACATCGCCGTCTCTACTGGCAGCTCGTTGAGCTCTGACGCAGCCTATCTGAGATATATCCAATTGGCAGCTTACCTTGTGCCGCCTGAGCAAACCGTCCGTTGACAGAGCGAAATTTGCAATGCTAGAAGAGGGGTTGGTATGCGCAACACGCCTTCCAAGGAAAGTTTGAGCTCCTGCAACGCCAACCCCACATTCTATGCATGCATCACCCCTCAGACCTTGCTGAAGCACTGGACCCCTTGCAAATCCCCTTCTGACAAGGTTGGCACTTGCTGCAGCTGCCATGTTTGCGGCAGAATGGAAGGACGGTGAGCAGGAGAAAAGGACGCTATTTAAAACTCACAGCTAGGAAACTTTTTCCGGAGCCTCCACCTAGAAGAACGGAAACGGAACTGCCAGTAAGCGGAAATTTTGCGGGATCCCGCGAACAAATCACGACCGACGTGGTTTGCATAGGCTTTGAGTCGGACAGAACATTGAACCGTCCGATGAGACAAATCACATTCGAATCGATCTGATTCATTCAAAGTGGCGCGAGGCAAATTTGAGGGATCAATATCGGCCGTCCAGTTTGCAAGTATTCCATCGGATGGCTAGCTCGAGCTCTCCTGAGCACCGCCGCGGTTCGGGCGGCAGTTGCTGTACCCTAGCTGAGGATCTGATTCGGAGCAGCTCTTTGCCCTTGACATGCAGAGCTCTGGCATGGCGTCGCTCGAAGTGTTGTCTTCTCCCACTGTACCTGGAGATAGCACGCGGCATGCTGCATATCCATTTTGTGGAAAACGATCTTTTAAGGGTGCTGAGGAGCCAAGCAGGATTGTTGCAACTGATGTAGCAGGGAACGTTTTGAGCAGCCAATCGGGGTTCGACACTGCGTTGCTGGTTTGAAGTTGGACTGGTGTTTGAAGGTCGTGGAGTAAGAGGGCCAAGGTAAGTCAAGTATTAGAGCCGATTGTCCTCTCTTCCTTAACGGGTGATGTCAGCGACTTGTCTCCCACTTCGCTGCTAATCTGATCATGATCGTTAGTTTGGTGTCAGTTTACAGCGCTAGGAGAGCAGATTAGGTTTTGCATACTGAACTTTACAGGTTGCTTCTCTCTATACTGCAAAGGACATGCTTACAGATATAGCGACAAGTGATACACAGCTGGGAGTCCGCGCTTGGGTACTCTCTTCATGTTTCGAAGGTTTTCCTGAGGCAGATAGAAGGCAAGACGTGCAAGCTGACATTTTAGTCACTCAGAGGTGTTCATGCATTTGGGGGCGCACGCAGAAACAGGAGGAAGTTGGTTTTGCTGGGCCCTTGATGCTGGTCTTGTTTAAAGCTGCCCTGTGATCTGTGAAAGGCAAGCTACAATTGAACTTTGCAGACAGAGTCCGCAGCTGCCCTCAGGTTAGTGCTGGGGTCATTATTGAGTTAAGCAAGCTAACCCCCTCGTTGTTTCAAATCATCAGCCCAGGAGAAGTCTGGAATCTCAGCTGGGGATGCGGGTTAACAAGCTGGTCAGATTGTCAAACAAAAGTCCTACACTGATCTTGTGAGAGGACAAGGTCACATAAGTCCTGAATCAAGTCAGAGACCTCAACCTGATGCAAAAGTTGTCTCGAGTAGAACGCCGTCCAGGGGTTGCTTTGCCTGCAGCGGCAAGTTCTAGAAGCACGGCAGGAGGTTGCCTAGTCAGGAGGAGGCCTTGTTCAATGACTTTCACTTTTAGGAAAGTCCGCTGAACAAATGAGGGCACATGAAGGTTTGAAAGCCCTCGCCTATTCTGGATGATTCGTTGCAGTCAATTGACGATCTTTTGCACGGCTGCTGCTTATTTTGTGGCGGTCACCTTCAAGATTGATCACCTTCACATCAACAGGTGTCTCAACCACTTCAACTCTTCTCTACTGCAGATGTTGACCACACGCCTCCGCTCTGCCGTTCGCGCAGCGAGCGGGACCTTAAGCCACATTCGAGCTGCCACACTCTGCCCCTGTGAAGATGCTATTCCCAGTACTTCAGACAGCGCCCCCGTCGGTTCGGCAGAAGGCTTCCGATTGTACAGTGGGACTGCGCCGCTGTTCATGAGGGCGGGGGGGCGGCTCGACGTGAGCGCTGTTGCTGCGGCGATTGAGGATGCGGATGGGTTGGCCAGTATACGCAGTGAGGACTTGGTGGTGAACAGAACTACCACGCCCAAGGTGGGAGCACTCATCTTGTTAGGCTGGGCGAGTTGGCTTCAGGCAATCAATCACCGAACTTTCTGGACTCAACTGGTCGAAGTTGTCATATCAGAGCTGACGCCAAGTCCAACTAATCAGACGCTGTCTTGTATTTGTGTGAAGGGACTTGCAAGACTCCAGTACTTCGTTGACTGAATGAACTCTCTGTGGAGAGGTTTCGTGACTGTGACAGAGCTGACAAGTTTGTCTCTACATTGTTCGACAAAGACTCCTTGTCAAATTGTCTAGCCCAGTGTGACAGAGCAGGCATTTCTAATGTGCAGCCAAAACCGGCCCTCTCAGAGCTGCTGTTCGGGCGGATTATGACGGACCACATGCTCCAGGCAGCGTGGAACGTAAACACGGGCTGGAGTGCACCGTCGATTGACCCGCTCGCCCCGCTGCAGCTGCACCCCGCGGCGCAGGTTCTGCACTATGGCATCGAGTGTTTCGAAGGAATGAAGGTGGGACCTGTAGGCTGGTGCTCGAATGCCCAAGTGACGCTGGGGAGTCGGTCGATGGGTCGGAGCTGTTGCAAAGCGATTTGCAACGACATTTAGACCAGTAATAAGTGGTCCTGGTGAAAAGGAGAGAAGGACGATCGATCGACTCGATTATGATGGTGCAAAACGTGGTGTCCTGCGTTTTGGCGTGAAGTGGGCCCCAGGTTTTTCCATCGACATAAGAGGCATCGCATGCTTGAAGCAAGCGGATTGGGGACATAATTTCCCGCAGCTTCCACGAAGATTTTGGTCATAAGGTGTGGGGCTCGATCCAGGTTCGCGTTTTTCAGATTGCTGTGAATCACTTTCAATGGCACGTCTACTCCTTCCGCATCATCAGTTCACAGCCGCCTTTAACCAGGTGACGGCTCTTCAACTCCGGTCGACTTGGTTCCTTTTACACATGCACGCTCGCAGTGCACGATGTCACACTCGAAGGTGGCAGATCCAGGTCACGGCGCTAGCTGATGAGTAATATATTTGATTTACGCAGGCTTACATGGGCGTTGATGGGCGGATCAGAATGTTCCGGCCTGACAAGAACATGGACCGGTTGGCACGGTCAGCTCAACGGTTGAACCTGCCCGACTTTGAGAAGGTAAACGCTCGATCTCTTTGGAACGGTTCGGTTGACTTGTCTCACTGGCTTCTTTCTTTCGGCCGTCCGTCATCAGTGAACCTATATTTTATGCGAGCGAGAAAGCACACTGCTCGTTGGGAGTTCATTAGCCGAGTTTTGTACAGACCGTTTGCTTCCCACATCCCGCTGTTTGGCTTCATCTAAGCGCATTTTGATTACCCGATTTTGTATTGGCGTCCTGATTCCCTCAATGACTTGTGCCAAAGATAACGAAAGGGGGAAGCCCAGGTTTGCTGATCTGCCTCAAGACGAGATTCCGGGTCGACGACAGCCTTTCGAGCCGGGCACGGTTCATTCAAATCATCATGGCGCAGAGAAAGTGCTCGTAGGTCCACAAATCGACGAAGCAGTAATTAGTTGCAGATTGCATTGTGTTGAGATGCAATGTCGCACGGACTGTGGATCCTTGGAACCCTCACTGTCAGCCGTCCCGACAGATTCCGGGACTTATTTCAATGCAGGTTGAATATCTGGAGTGCATAAAGGAGCTACTCCGAGTGGAGCGGGACTGGCTGCCGGACAAAGAAGGCTTTTCCTTGTGAGTTTGTCGAGAGTTCTGGGCTGACGGTTCCGTGAATCTTTGAAGTCGTGAAAATTGCGCCGTGGGGCTGTGATTCTAGGATGTGAAGGGGGACGCATATCCAACCGCCACGTCACACTATCTTATGGAGCTAACTCCGTTCTTCATTCCGTTGAGTCGGCGAAATATCTTCGCTGGCAGCTCGGAATCTCTATCCTTCTTCTTTACATCGAAGAGGGTTCCCAGCTGCAGTTTAAAGCGAGCCAGAACGGATCAGGCTTGACGTGTTGGAATGCCCGCTCATAAGTCGTACTGGACAGCGACCACTCGACAATGTCCTGCTCGAGCGCTCCTCTCTTCCCCCCCTAAGATTCCAGACAATTCCTTCTTCTTCGTTCGTTCGATGTGATTCTACGCTACGAGCGAGAACCTAAAAGCTAGTCGCTTCTTCCTCCCACCAAGGACTTCTCAGTCGCTGCATCTGATTACTTCTACCCCAACACTTGGGTTTTTTCTGTGGTGACCAAATGAATCCACCTTTTGATAGTTTTACGCTTCTCCCTTGCGGTCCTCCTCCTGCGACCAAATACCAGCGCAGCTCCTTGACCTTCATGGACTCCTGAATATGCAACCAGGCATCGACACGTTCTCGCAAGTTCCTGTTAATACAACAGAGACAACTTATCAACCCTGTTTCACTAGCACTTGAAAGCTTTCTTTCCCTCCCCCTTGTCTTCCTCACTCAGACACTCATGTCTCTCCCTTTTCCTTCTAGTCAGAACCTTAAACCCCCGGTTCTTTCCCCCAGGTACCTCCGCGCCACGTGTATCTTCCAGTCACATCCTACTTCTCCCCCAGATTTTTGTCCAAGCACTTCGCCCTACGTATATCTTTCAGTCAGAGTCTCCTTTACCCCCGGTTCCCGTTCCCCAGGTACTTCTGCTCACGTATGTCTTCCAGTCAGATTCTTCTTTCCCCCCGTTTCCTTCCCCCAAGTACCTCCGCCCCCACGTATATTTTCCAGTCAAACTCTACGTTTCCCCCGCTCCTTCCTTTCAGGTACCTCCGCCCCATGTGTATCTTCCAGTTGGAATCTTATTTCCCCCGGTTCCCTCCCCCAGGTTCCTTCGCCCCACGTGTATCCTCCAGTCAGACTCTCATCTTCCCTTGGTTCCTTCCGCCAGGTACCTCCGCCCCACGTATATCCTTTCAGTCAGATTCTATTATCTTCACTAGGTTACTTCCTTCGGGTACCTCCACCACACGTATATCCTCATCCTCCGCTCAGACTCTCATTTTCCCCCGGTTCTTTCCCCCAGGTACCTCCGCCCCACGGCGGAAAAAGGAAACTGGAAATCAAAAGAAAGTTTTGAATGTCATTTGCTGTACGAGTTTTTCCGTCAGGTTCTTATCCTCCCCCCGGTTCCTTCCCCCAGGTACCTCCGTCCCACGTACATCGCCACAACCCCCACCCTGGGCATCGCCCCACCCTCCGCCGCCCTTCTCTACACCATCATCTCCCCGGTCGGTCCGTACTTCCCGACCGGTGTCAAGCCGATCAAGCTTTTCGTCGACACGCGGCATGCGCGCGCGTGGCCCGGGGGAGTGGGCGATTGCAAAGTGGGGGGGAACTACGCCAGCACGATCCGCCCCCAGGTGCAGGCGGCGGCGCTCGGGTGCCAGCAGGTGCTGTACGTGCTGGACAACGGGGCGGAAGGTGAGCTGGTGTCAAAGTTTAGTGACTAGAACTGTGTTTTGTGGGCATTGACGCCGAACTGGATTCCGTTGGTGGCGGTCTGCCAGCAGGTGCTGGACAACGGGGCGGAAGGTGGGCTGGCGTTGAACTCTGGTGACTGAGATTGCGTGGCGTGGACTTCGATACCGCCTTATGCTCTGTTGCTGATGTCAGGGCTGTGCGGGTTCTTTGTTGTTGGTCTCGAACGGCGCGCTTCGTTGCTTTCTGTAAGGTTGGCTTCTGGTTTCGACGTGGGGGCTGAATCCATTACAAATGTGACCTCGGACTCAAACCTGCCGTGGCACCGCCCTAGACCTTGAGGTTGCGTTCTTCGACGAGGCTTCGCGTCCCGTCCGTCTGGTCGATCATCAGATCTAGAAAAATCATATAGAAGCTCCCAAAAGCGCGTTTTCAGCTCAAGCTCAAGCTCAAGCCCTAGAGGTTCTCATTCCTACTGGGTTCTGTCTTCAATGAAGTTCTGTTGCCTCCTGACTCCATCAGATTGTCGGCTAAATGGAGTCCGTTTTCTCTGTTGGTCAGGTGACGGCATCGTGGGCGAGTCTGGCGCGATGAACGTCTTTTTCCTGTGGCGGAGAAAGGACGGCAAAAAGGAACTGGTGACGCCCCCGCTGGACGGCATGATACTGCCGGGAGTGACGAGAGACACGGTGAGGTTCTCAGATTGCATCGTTGCTTCAGCATTTTGGGTGGAAATTCTCCATGCTCGTTACAACTGTATCTGGCTTCCTTCGGTGGAGAGGCAGCTAGGCACGTGGATTGGCTCCCGCTGTGTTGTATTAACGGCTCAGTGTGAGAAAGCTGTCTTTCGCGGACCTTGACAGAGATTCCCGGTCTATGTATCACGTCTCGCGTGCAGGATTCTCTCAGAGTTCCGTTTTTTCTGCGTCTCCCGGTATTTTTGCGAGACAGTCCTCTTAAGTGTATTCAACACACAGCCCGTGTGGACCATGCCAAACGATCATCTGTCAAGAGTATCTTCAGCCCTTTTCTTCAGCGCCCACAAAGACGAGGATTGGCCAATCGACAGCGAAACTTGCTAAAGAGCCGCCAACAACAGAGCCTCATCAACGATACGCTCCATCTGCAGGTTCTGTCGTTAGTCCGAAGCTGGAGCGAATTCGAGGTCGCGGAGCGCCCCATCCGGTGGCGCGAGATCGAGGCCGCGGTCGCCGAAAACCGCATGCTCGAAATGTTCGGGACCGGGACCGCTGTCATCATCCAGCCCATCAGCACGTTGCTCAAATCGGACGGCACAGCTTTGACGGTGCCCTTTGACAGCGCCGAAACGAGCCGTTGGATCGACCGGAAACCGGGGACGACGTACGGCGCGCAAAAGGAGCCCACGACCAGTTTAGCGGGCCGGTTAATGCGGACGATCATGGACGTCCAGTACGGACACACGGACAGCCCGTGGAGTGTGCCCGTTAGCTGACCGTCGATGTGAAGCGGCTCGGGTTGCGACAATCATTGGTTGCTTTGCTCTAAAAGTGCGTTTGTGTAGACAGGTAGATACATCACTTTAGTGAGATACGAACCGTTTAGAACATGATCATTTAGGAGCAAACCGCATGCTTGCTCCGGCCATTCTGTCTCCAAGCTTTGGAAGGCGGCGTGTGCAGGGGCATCCCGCCTTGGCTCTTCTCGGAGGATTTACTCATGTTTGCACCCTCTGCTTGCCATTTGATTGTACGGTAGAAGCGAGAGCATCAGTACTTCCTTCACTTCAGGTTTGCTTAATTTGGAAATGATCAATTTGCATTTGTTCAATCCAACGTCTTCGATGAGTCAGACGGGGTATACCACTGATGCAAGTATGTATCGTGGAAATCCACGTATTTAAAAGAGAATTTGAAACCATTATCGAAACTTTGTCGCACGCGTGTCTGCTCACTGAAATTTCTTTGCTTTCCGATCTTAACTGAGAACTGAAGCTAGGGCATAGATTGTTTCCGATCTGCTCGTCATCGATAGCCACATACATACGCATGTTGCTGCAAGCACATGAGGCCCGGTTGGATTCGATGTACTTGATTGCAAAGTGCGCCCGAGTTGATGTTTGAATTCATGCGCTATCAATTTCGACGCAAATAATGTGCGAGCGGCGGGCCGGGGCGGGATGTTTCGAGTCTACCATGCAGCGCGCCCCCTTTACATCCCCGTTATGATGCGCGAAGTGCTCAACTCAAAACATTATGGCAGCCGATCAATATCGACAATCACATGCGAGGTTGAAATCCACTTACACCCATATGGACCATCATGAGGGTGGTTTGGTTCCGCAAATTGCCGTTGCCATGGAGTTGAGCTGGCGGCGCAGATCATGATGTCATGCTTCTCTATATACACCCGTTGATCAGTTTGTAACGTCCTCTCTGTCCATTTCGAGCCTCGCCAAGATGTCCCGCAAGCGTCGAAGCTCAGCGTCTGCGGGGGCGTGGCTGTCCTCCGGCGGTTCGTACCTGCGCGGCCAAAGAATCAGGGTTACGTCAGCGGTTGCCGTGAAACTTGTCACGAGAACATCGACGACCAGAATGGTGTGCACGATTCTGGCACTGGCGGCCTTACTTTGCACGATCTGTGACTCACGAACGCCAATCGGAACTCAATCCGGTCGAAAAGTGACGACTTCATTTTCCAGGTTTTGCTGGTGACGTCACTGATTATGCAGGGGTGTCGCACCGAGCTATCGTGCACAGCGCGCGTGCTCCGCTCGCCAGAATCGTGACGGTTTACAGGCAAACTGCTGTACAAATTGCGTCAAATGTGGCATTACAGTAGCAGTCAAACATTGCCGCAACGTAACGGACGGTCACAAGACACCGTGACCGTCCTGTTCCCCTTCTCAGCCAATTTTTGACCGTTAATAAGTGGACGGGACACAGGGGCTCATTGTCAAAGTGCAGAATGTCGGTCGAGTCTGCTGAACATTTTCGTCCCCTTTTTCATAGATGCAGGATGTTTTCCAATTCTGAGACTGGTTACTCAAACGGGCGTAGATCCATGTTTTATAGCACAGCCGGATTGTTTCCGTTGCGTTGACGGGCGCGTGAGCGGAACGGCACATGCAAAGCCCGGGTTGTAAACGCCGCTGTGTGAATATTTCCAAGCGTAAATATGACTAACAGTATAGGAATTCGACAGACACGCAAGAAGGACTCCAAGGAATTCCCTCCCCACAGTTCATGCAAAACTGGTGTTTATCGAGGAAATGCATACCGTCTTTCCAGGAGCGCCGCTTTCAGCGCCTCCGTCGTTGCTCGCATTGAACCGACAGACTGTCTTCTCCTTGAGTGGGCCTCTTTCTCGCTCGCCGGGGGGTCCGGGCCCCGCATGTTGGACCCCCCCGCTGGCTCCTCCTGGCTCGCCGTTTCTGGCGGCTTTCGTGACTGCTCAAAATGGAAAGATGATAGACCGCAATGAGAAAATATGACAAGCATCTAATAAGTAAACCAAAGTTAATCGCAGCCATCACTGGGGCCCTTCAAAAGGCCGGTTGCGAGTTTGTATTGCTGAAGTCCTCGACTTTTGAGGCTTTTCACCGCCGTTGGGGTTTGTCACGCCAATCCTTGCCAAAGAATTCATGGATATTAGTTGCAGGTCCAGAAGCATTCATTGTAAGATTCGGAATCTTGTATCCTATGCAAATTATGGGCTCCATCTCACGGTTGACCGTTCCATACGCAGTTCCATATTCGCTTTCGTCTATTGAACGAGATTGCCAAGCAACGTTCAAATACTTTCTGAAGGTCAGCTTTTATGAACCCGATCCCCCCACGTGCTACTCCTCTTACCGTGCTAACGTCACTCGAGCTGCCCCTGACGTCACCTGTTGCACCCCGCTTCGGCCACTGTGTCTCCAGCCACGCGGTAAAGACGACCCGCAGCAGCTCTCGTCCCTTGACACTGCAGACAAAGTGTTCCGTTCAGAAGGAGATCTGCCCGGAAAGCGGAACCGAAAGCACGCCACAATCAAAGAAAACTTGAGTAGGTTCCGCCAAGCCAAGGTCAGCTTAATCTACGGAACGAAGCATTGGCGAAGAAAGGCCTACGCAGCGCAAGGCCGATTTCAGTAGCTAAAATGAGTTCCGCCGAGGCGAGAGCAGAACCGGTCGTAAGCGGTGACTTCATCAAGAATAATCCTGAAGGGAGAGATGACATGAAGCGAGGGGTAATGTGTCATTGTCAAGTTGAGGAAGGATTGTCTCTCGTACCACACGTAGAGATAGTCCACTTTCATACTAGGGTCTTCAAATAAGGTTGTACAATTTCGGTAGACAGAGACGAGAGTTTAGCGAAGACCTAGCATGTATGTAAAAGACTTGTTTGGGTGTTCCACCTCTGGTGAAGAAATGGCTTTTTGGATGCGAGGTTGCCAGAACTCCGGGGATTCAGGGTCAGACCGTTGAAGTCAGGGTCAAGAAGACTATTCTTACGATCGAACGGGATGAATGCGCGCCTCCTGCAGCGCGCGCAGCGTCTCCTGCATCCGCCGGAACGCCTGCCACCGGCGGAACGCGCGCGCGACAGCTGTCGCCTCCACGGCGATCCAGGTGCTGCACTCCGCTATCGTTTCCGTCCACGTGTCAACCGCAGATTGGTCGCGGCGGAAGGCGATAGGAAGAGCGCGCAGGCCGTGACTTTTATCTGCAAGCATTGCTACATGTAAGACACCGAAATGCTTTGTGGGAACACTCTCGGGTATGGACAATCAGAAAGGACCCTCAAAGAAACCCTCAGTCTTCAACTCTCCACAGCATCTTATTTTGCTATCTTTTGAACTTTTGTGCCTGCACGGCAACATCATTTCGAAGATCAGCAAACCGGTACTCGCAAAACAACACTCGAATAATTCCAAGAACTTAGTGCCAGCATCGAACTCTTCCAGAATCGAGAAAGGCTTGGCAACCCAACGTTATGTCGACCACTTGATCAGCAGACTTAGAACGTTCCCACCTTTCTGTGACAAGAACGTGCGCAACATGCGCGCGCGCTGCACCTCCGCGTGCCACGTGTCCCAGACCCCCCAGAGCCGCTTCCGCCTTCCGAGCAATTTCGCCTCCCGGTGGATCTTCCGGCGAGCCCACATCGCCTCGCCCACGCGCGCGCGCTTGTCCCACATAACGGCGACTAACTCCTGGAGAACCGCTCTCTTAAGTCGCCCTTGATAGCGCGCTAGGCCCAGCCGAATGTACGTCAGCTGCACGAAGCGGGGTGAAATCCGTCTCACAGCTAGGACTCGAATCGTTGCAGATTGAGTGCGGATTCGTTCCTGGGTTTGCCCATGATGGGACTATACGATCTATATTGGGTAAGAGTGTCTATGCATAAAAAGCAAAGCTGTGACAAGATGTCTTTCGGACCTTCATCTAAGCATATCCGTGTCCGAAAAGAAGCACGAAAGCGGTCAGCAAATAGAAATGAGAAGATTATGCTTTAACTTCGCGTTGATACGCAGTTGCGACAAGAGGAAACTTACATTTATACGAATGCATCTAAGCGGGCTGGAAAGTAAGCCATGACTCCTTCGGCCGAGAATTACGCTTACCTTCTTCCACTCCCGGAAGGTACGCCCCAGCGTGCGCGCGTGCGCGCGCTCGCGCAGCTTCCGCACCGCGGCCGCGTGCAGATCCTCGGCGACCATTTCGTCCGTGACGCCGCCCGCCCAGCTCTTCTGTTCCGCCAGCAGAAGCAGCCGCGCGCGCGCTTCTTCCCACCGGCGTTTATGGTTCTCGACGCACTTTGTGCGGCTCTGGAAAGCAGAGATCATAAGGAGCAACGCTCAAAAAGTTGGACCCGGTTCCATAGAGGCGAGGCTCCACTTTATCGGTTGCGGGCTGGATATGAATATTCACTCCGAAATGCATCTGGTTGGGCGTCAGGAAATCCGACCATACGTCTGGCTTTTTGACATGGCATTATTCTCCCCTCTAATGCGTCTTTGACTGCAGCCAAGAACACGCAGCCGGTGCGGGCCGGCAATTCCTTTATTTAGGGGAAGCGAATCAGATTGAGGGTTCGACGCTTCGACGCTGTTGCTTTCTTCGTTCTTCTGGGCGAAGGCACGTCTAACGGAAGACTGGCGTCAGAGTGTCACGTTGAAAAAGTGCTCGATGCGGAACCCGGTTGTACTTCTGCCAGACTCATACTCATTTTGGAATGCTTGAACATAGAAGATTTTTGAAAGGTGGGCCCTTGAATGATTCCGTTACGCCTGAAATGCATCACACCGTTTAGAAACCACAGATATTAAACCCCCAGGCGGAGCATTCCCACGCCAAAGCAGGCTTGTTAGCATCTTGAAGACTTGAGCAAATTTCCCTACCTGAGGCCCAATCGCAATGTCCCGCCACGCACGGAGCGCCTTCGCCCCGCGCCTCTGCAGGTGTTCGCCCTGGAGCCTCACGGCGCGTACCATGGACTGCGCGCGCTCTTCTCGACAAACCAGTACCTGTGGTATGGAAGTGGATGTGAGCATGACCTCAGCAACCGGTGGCTAGAGGTGAAACGGACGATGGAGAACTTTTTGTAGCGTATACCTTCGTTCAAAGCGCATTCTGGACGCCCCGATTTCATTCTTCTGAAAAGACGCATTGTAAGAGGGGACCCGCATACGACGGAAGAACCCTGTGAGGGGCAGCATTCAAAACAAAAGACGAGTAGTGTTTCTCATGAACGCCTATAGTTGCCATGCAGCCGTCCAAAGTCCTCACACAGCTGTAGCCACCTCATCACTCTTTCTGTGATCGCCAAAATACACAACATCTCAAATTTACCCTCAGATAACCAAGACGAAAGAAGAAGTTTCTTTAAGCTTCTAGAGAGTCAAGGAGGGGCTATCAAACCAAATCTCGCGCGGGAATGGGGAGCGCCCCTCCCCCTGGTTCACACCAGCGCTTTTTAATTCTAGTCGGCGTACTCAAATTTGTGCAAGCGGCCACGACAAAGCGTTGACGGCTCACCGCTCCGGTCCACGCCCGGAAAGCAGCCTCCGCCACCCGCCGGCCCCGCACCGCCTGTATCACTTTCATGCGCACCTCCTGACCCGCGCGCTTACGCAACCATGACGTCAGCAGGCTCCGGACCGGCCCGAACTCCTCTGCGCGCCAGTCCCGCAGCGCTTTCCGCCCCTCTCGGAAGCGCTTCCGGCAGAGGAAGCCCCGAACGAACCGGGTTATCATAACCGCGGCCAACCGTCTGGTTTCGTCTGAGTAGCCCTGCAGGATTCCTCCCATTTCCGCAGCGAGGTCCGAGATCCGGTGCACGGTTTGACGGACCTGGGTCTGGTTCAGGAATCCGGTTACGGCCTCTGAGCTTTCGGTTCGTAGGTTTTCAGTAAAATACATAGAGGTTTCGACTGGACGACTGTGGCTAGACGACCCTAAGTAATACTCCTTTGACTGGCTCCTTGCAAAGCGACCCCCGACATACCCGCTACCTCGCATCGGCGCACCTATACTCGTGGCTGGCCGTTTCACCGAGCTTCCGCCCGCGCCGTTCGCCTTCAACTCCGCCTCGCCAAAAGCAGTATGCGGGCGCCGACTCAAACCCTCGAAACCCCGCCGTCTCCCCAAGTTGTTTGAGCCGGGCATTTCCCCAAGTTTGCTTGTTCCCGGCACCCCCCCTCCAGAAAGCAGCTCCAAGGTCCGAAGCCGCCCCTCGAGCGCGAGGCACGACCGGAACAGCCCGGACACCGCTTCGGACCTGGGTACTTGCCCGCGCGAAGTGACGTCATTCATGATGTCAGCAATGACGTCACCCCCCTCTGCCCCATGACTATTCCGATGCCTACCCATCGAAGTTTGTGCGCGCCGTTCGGATGAGACTGGGCCCCCTCTAGTGCTTTCACGGTGTCCACAAGCGGTCTGACTTCTTCTTGACTCTTGGCCGTCTGCATTGTGACTGTGGCCGTCTAAGCTGGTAAGTGGACGGTTAAAAGCGGTGGTTAAGGGCTGGTCAAAGGCAGTCCCGGGGCTTTGCAACCAGTCTCGCTCGGCCTGCACGCTCGCACACCGGAAACAGGGCCCAGCGGTTTGAGCGCGCGGTTGTTGGGAGGATCGTTTGGCTGCGGGGTTTGTTGGGTTAGTGCTGACTAATGTACCGCCATTGTTTTTGACTTCGCCCGCGCTGTGTTGCCGGATATGATCTGCTTGGGTTGCCTGACACAGGCCCGAAACAGAGTGTGGTCTTTGGAGGGGAGGCTTTGCGTGATTATTGTGAGCTTCTTTGACAGTGTCATACGTTCCCAAAGCTGTGTATGGTCGGACACTCCTTAATTGAGCTGCTACATTCCTATCCCTTTCCCCGCCAATGCTATTTTCTTTCAAGATGGGCAGAGGGGCTGGAGGTAACCCAGACGAGTGTGACAGCGGCCGGGGCTTTACCAGGGTTAAGGACGATAAGCCACTGGTTAGCCGGGGGTCTCTGCTAACTGGACGGGATGCCATGACCGACTGCGGCCGCCCGAATGCAAGCCGCCCGCCTTCCCTAACCCTCCCCCTAACCCGCTCGGGTTTGAGCTCGGGAACTGTCCAAACCAATTTCCCTCCCGCCCTGGTCTGGCGCAGCTCGGAGAGCGAGCGCCGCTCCTCTCCGCTAACCACTCGGTTAGCGGAACCCCCTTCCGAGCTCTCGTGCGATGCAGACTGCCACTCTGCATGGCGCCCGGTCTCGTCGCTATCGTCATCGTAACCTGCCTGGTTATCTGCGTTGTCTGGCAGAACAGCCCACTGATAACCCGCTTCTAGACCGGCGTCTAAACCTGCCCACTGGCCCTGCCAAGATATGGGGTTCCCCTTGCTGTCTCTGTTTTCTGGAAACCCAGCTGAGTTATCAGTAACCTCGTCTAGGTTACGAGCTAAAGCGTTTCGGATGAGCACGGCCTCTCCCAAAGTGGGGGTGCGAGAAGCAGGCTGGGGACGTGGCATGGTGTGAACAGGCCATGCATTCTGCTGTCTTTATGACAGAAGCGCTACGAGCTGGTTGCTGAAAAGCTGCCGTCTGCTATACGTCCTGTTTTTGAGCACATTGCGAGGTGACCTCTTGTTGCAAATTTCAACTGGAGAGCGAGCTAGTGAAAATTGAAGCCAAACGAACTGTTGCAAGCACTTTGGCCTCGCTCAACCTCAATTTGATCACTAGTACGTCTTCAAAAGCATGGGGCTTTTGTGAACTCATATCGCAATGCCCCGAATCTGGAGTCTCCCCCAATGAAGCCAGATGCGCCACCGGCAGCTTGATCAGCTCTCCAAAAGAAGTGCTCTCAAACGCAAGTGCAATAGATGAGGTGTTTTGTCAGTGTACAAGCTGCATGGGCAGTTAATTGGTGATCAGGTATGCATGAACTTGTCCAATATGGTCCAGTTGATGCCAGCTCCAAGTTCAACTCCGAGTCGTCATAATTGCCGTTCAAGCTCTCTGTCCGGAAACCCTAACGTATTCACAAGTAGGTACTTTATTGGTTCTTATGTCCTTTGCAGTTTCGGCTGATGACCTCTGAGATCTAACGAACATGAGCCAGAAAACGAATGGTCGCTAGATCTGAGCTTGCGGCGAAGATGTCAAGAACGTCTAGTTGGACATGTTCCGCGCATTTCCAGCTTGCGTAGCCTGGCTTGCAAGTTGCAGAGCCAGCGTCAGACACATCCAGTGTCCAGAGGAAAAGTCAATCTTGCTCAGGTCGCTGCATGGCAGCCTGACAAATCTCTACTCCAAGACAGTGACGGTTGCGCGCGCACTGGTTTTACCTCAATTTCACCGGGCTTCTGAACCGGCCGCTCAACAAGCCCCAAATATCGCCCGGGTCCCGCGCCCGGTAGATCTTTCCCCACCAGCGCCAAAAACAGGAGATTAGGGTTTGACTTGGAAGATGCGACTCGCCGCTGACTCGGAAGAAGCATTTGCTGCAAGATATTGGCAATTTTAAGTTCTCGCCTGTTGACTCCAGTTTCCGCTCTCACAGGCTCCCCAAGGGCGGGGCCGCAGCCTGCACATATGTGTCAGTTGGATCTTTGAGGCAGGGCGATTTTTACAGGGCTGTACAAAGTCATGAGGGGACTTGCACGAGCCCAGCGAACAATGCCATTGCAGGGGCAACTTTGCCGGCCTGCCTGTAAGTAGTTAATCCTTTTCTGAAGGCCACATTCAGGAGGCAATGCTGCGGCCGGGAACCGCGTGACAGCATGATGGAAGCACGGGGGAGGTCCAGAACTCCCAGGTAGGGCCGTTGCTTCACAATCCTTCTTCTCACTTCCCGAGCATCTCGCTTATTGTTGGTGCTTTGACGTATTCTTTCTGTGATCTTGCCACAGTCTCTTTACTTAGTTAAGTTGCAGTGTGCTGATATGGAGACCTCAAACGAGCATCTCCTGATGGGCATTGCGCTCGCTGGTTTACCAAGCGTTCCTCATGAGCGACAGAGTTTGCTAAGCCTTACCAAGAGGAAAGAGGTCTGCTGGCCGAAAGATGAGCAGGCTGCTCGCAACCAGAGCAGCCAGGACTTTTGTGATTTGACCGCAAGTGGCAGGATGAAGTAACTTAGATAGAGTTTGAAGTGCTGCCATTGGCTCTTACCCAAGTGGTGTGCAGTAGAAGTGAACTCAGCGATCAGACAGAGTCAATGAGTAGCCAAACGGAAATCTGACGATCGGTGGAAAAGTCCTAAGGTGGAGAAGCATGGGCCAGCCTGAGTGCCTACAGATTAGGGGAAGCACTGACCTGGAGACAGATTCTGCCCGGCTCTCGAGCAGAAGGGTAGCAAAGCGGGTGGTCATAGCACCCTGAGTCTAGCAGCACATGTGTCGAAACAAGCTGAGCACTTGCTTCACAAGACTGGCAGATCACGGTTGCACAAAGCTCGAGGTAGCACTTGACACAAGCCTCAAAAGTGAACCTTGCTGGTAATCAGTACCAGATGTAGAGCCTGTTTAAGGTGCACCAATCAGTGGACCTATCTCTATTCAACTTGCTTGCTTTATGGAGGATGGCACATTGTCTGGTTAACTTTGTGTATGCAGCCTCCGCAGGGCAAAGGGCAACTTAGGAGACTATGCGCAATGGTACGCACACACACTGAAGCAGTTTGTACGCACATGATGATGCCGGTACTGGTTCTAATCTCCGCTCTTTCTATTTTGCAGCCGGCTGGGGTCAGGGACTCAGCTCGGGGAACAGCTCTTCGCTCAGAAGATGTGAGCATTTGTCCTTTCCACTCGATTTTTTCTTTACTTCCAAACTTGGTACTATATCCGCTGCATTGGCCTTCATTCCAGGTTCCATCCCCCGTGTTTCTGTAGTTCATTTGTACAGCGTTCGTACTCGATTGTCTCATCACATTGCAAATTGGCAGAGCTCGCTCTAAGCTCAGGGACTTTTTTACTTTGAAGTGGAAGTAGGACTGAAACTGGACTGAAAACAATCCTCGTCGCTTGCAGTGAACAAAAGCTCCAGAAACACAACCTTCTCCTCGAGGCGAGGCTGCAGCTCCATCGGAACTCTTCGGGGGGGCCCTCCCAACCCCAGAGCGCCCAGCACAGCCATGGCACCAATACCCCCGGAGGTGGAGAGAATGAATCGACTCAGGGGCAATCCAGAAGAATCGGTTCGAAGGGGGGAGGAAGTGCAAGTGACCGGTCAGAAAGTGCCCGGCGAAAGGAGCGGCCGAACTCTGCACGGGAGGAGCGATGGAATGCGGCGGTTTCGAGTCAGAAAGGTGCTCGGGCGACGTCAACCGGGCATGTTTCAGCGGCAAAAGGTACCCGGCAGGATCGGTCTAGGGAACGGGAGAGAGTGATCGAGTATTCCGGGCAGGTGAAGAGCGGAAGGAGCGTTGCCGGCATGTACGATCCGAAGTACGTCTCGAGTGACGTCATCCAGTCTGCGAGAGCTGGACGGAGCCGGACTGCCAGCCGCATCGAAGACAGGGGTTTCGAAATAGGGGGGAGATCTGAGCGGGAAGAGCACCCCCCCTGGTTGTTCGCGGACAGCGGACCTTCTAGGAGGTCGTCGGACCGATCGAGAGTGTCCGAGGGGCGGACAAGTGAACGTGAGGGTTTGGACAGGGTTAGCTCGTCTGGAGGGAAAAGTCAACGAGGGACTCCGCAAGATGGGGTTAGCATGAACCAGTTAAGCGGAAACGGGCACGATCAACGGGTTAGGACAGAGAGAAACGGGCTCAAAAATGACACGGATGTGAGGAGAACGAGTGAAGCACGAAAAGGAAAGCCGATCCGGACGCTTCGAGGGCAGGGAAACCTAGACGATCTTCCCGCCGCTGCCTTCACTTCGTCAGAGTCGAGAAGCTCTAGAGTTCCCAGCGCGCAAGAGGAGATTGAAGTTCTGCACGAGCGCATTGCGAGCGGAACCGCAGGGCCGTCAGGGCGACCGTTTAGCGGCTCCCTGCCCGACGAGGTCGCCCAGCGCGAGACCGATTTGTACCAGCAGCTATACCAGCCGCTGGCCAATAGCTTGTCCCTCCGCCGGCGGCAGATCGGCAGCAGTTTCGGCAGTTCGGACGGCCGGTCGAGCGAACCGTCCGTCAGTCTGTCTCGGACAAACTCCAGCAGACTCGAGGAGCTGCTGATGCGCGTCGAGAAAGACGGCTTGCAACCGACGGGCAGCAATCACGAAACGACACGTCTCAGCACTGCGCAGGGTTTGGAGGGTTTGGACTCGCCCCAGGGGGGGCTTCTAGGGGAGCGACGGTCGCGGCCGCACGAGGAAGCGCCGGGTTTGAGGGCGCAGCAGACCTTTTCCTACGTGAAAAATCCAGGGGGATCTCTCTCTATCTCCGGAGGCGGCAGTTTTTCGACTGGGGCGTTGCTCTCCGTTCCTGCAGGGGGGGGTTTGGCGAGCCTGCTGAACGGCGGGTTCTTGGCGGAGGGTTTGGGCCCCGTTAGTTCGCAAACCCCTGAAGGCTCAGGAGCCGTGGATTCCGTTCGGAAACCCCTTTCTGCAGCAGAAACCGTTCCGACACGCGAACGGCAGGAAAGATCAGAGGGCGCCGGAAGTACGAAGTCGAAGATGGACGGCAGGGACCAAGGGTTCGGGGCTTCGACGAGCGACGGTTTCAGCCGGTCGGGCTCCGATCGGTTTGCGGATACCGGAAACGTTTCTCAGAGCGGAACAAACCAACGCAGGCCCAGCTCCGCTGCGTCGTCCAGAGAGCGCCACGTGTCGGTCCCCGAGCGGCCCGCCTCCGCTTCGGACGCCCACCGACCCGGAAGCCGGAGTGACCCGACGAGGGGCAGCCACGTGGCGCCATCTGAGCGGGAGAGGCCGTCATCGGACGGCCGGGCTAGGCTCGAGAGAAGCGCTTCGGTGAAGAGCGTTCTCAGTCGCAGCGGTTCAATGAGCCACGTGGCGTCATCTGGGCGGGACGCCCGGCCATCGGACGGCCAGCCGCGGCTCGAGCGGAGCGCCTCAGGCAGAAACTTGGGTCGGAGCAGTTCGAAGAGCGGGGTCTTCCGGATCGCTTCTCCTCTTTCCGCCCCGGAAAGCGGAACTCCCTCGGCGGAATCTTCTGCTCTGCAAATCGGGTTAGACACGGGGTTAAGCAGCGGGGCATCGGAGGAGGTATTGACTTTAGCACAGGAGAGGGCAAAATTGGCCGGGGGGATCCCCCGACCTGATCGGCCGCCGGCTTATGTGCGGAGTGCGGGCCTGGAAAGGGCCCGGAGCGTGAGCCCGGGGGGGCGGAGAAAGTTCGAGGACCGCTTCGAAGAGGAGTCGAAAGAGGTGAGATTTCTTCTCATGAAACTTCTCGTTTATGCTGGGTCTATGATCTTCTCTTCTAAATTACCAGGAGACCGTTGTTGTACGAGCGAAATACGCTTATGAAAATTATATTGCAGGTTTGACACGACCTTTGATATGCATCGGTAGATTGGTGGCCGGCAGAAGCTGGTGCAACCTAATGCAACACGCTGAGGTTTTTCTGAAGCGGCCAAAGAAGTCACGAACAACTTTCACAAACGGACAGCCATCCACAACGTTGTCATAAGCTGAGCACATGTTCATAATTCTCAGCTTTGAAAGTACTTTGGGGTTTGCTCTTCAGCGCCGGTGGCAGCAGCAGGCACTCGGGCAAGGAGCTCACGAAATACGCAGCCAAACGGCCTCATGCTAAAGAAGTATCAAAATGGAACGCATGTTCATGGTGCCCAGCTTTTGACACTTCTCAATCTCGCTCTCCAGCGTCGGCGGCGGCAGCAGGCGCTCGCGCAGGAGCGGCAGGAGGAGCGCGAGCAGCGCGAGCTGGCCGAGTGCACCTTCGCGCCCGTCATCAGCAAAACCAGCCAAGAGATGTGAGCAACGTCAGCCAGCCCTGCCCGGATGACGTCGGCGAATAGAGCGTATAGGATAATGGCGGACTCCGCGCGTATTTATTCATCACTTCGAATTGCTCAAACGTATTCCAGCACATTCTCCGTCCACTTCAAGCTGAGATCCTTGCAAGAAGACACCTGAAGGAAACTCTGGCTGCCTCAAAAATGCAGCAAAGGGCTTGTGAGCGCTACAGGATTCGTCCGTCATGAATCTTCAACCGTCAAATTCATACGAAGGGGCGAAATGTCAATGGTAGGACTTGTATTATGTCGCACATAGGCTGGACTGCTGCACAGCAGAAACGACCCACTTCGTTTCCAAAGAGAAATCCGATTTTGTCTGGATGATAGATTAGGAAGCGTGTCAAATCAGGAAGGTGGACGACCGGCGGCGATAAGAAAACGGCTGGGCGACTTCCAAGGTTGCTGACCAGGGTCGCGTGTCGCCCCGCAGGTTCGACAGCGGCAGCCGCGCCGACTTCCTGGAGCGCGTGCGCGCGTGGAAGGCGCGCCGCGACGCGCGGCTGCGCGAGGAGAAGGAGCGGCGCGCGCGGCGCGAGCTCAAGGAGTGCACCTTCCAGCCCGCGGTCACGCGCTACGAGAGCCCGCTGCGCGAGCGACCCGTGAGCATTGCGTTAGCTTTCTCTTTTCTGGATTGGTTCCTTGGCCGGTCTATCTAAACTCATGTGGCAAAGCAAACAAGTGAGCCAACTCGTCGTTCAACTGTGCCTCTGCTTTTGTTACCGACCCGCTCCGCGACGGCTTCCAAGCGGTTCTCTGAACGCCGTCCTTTTGATTCTCAGAATGTGCAGAACTGTTGCATCCGTTCTCCTAGTCGGATTGTCAGCGGCCTCGAAACGCCGATCTTCAGCCGAGTGTGCTTGGTGCCCGAATTTGAATTCGTGCTATGTACCAGAATTGATCGAGCGTGATCCCGCGTCTGCAGCCACCTTCGGAGCACGGCGCGTCGGCACGTGGCAGCTTCTGGCGGTCCGAGTGGGACGGCCTGCCCGCGCGCGCGCCCGACTGGGAGGGCAGCCTGCGGGACGGCGCGAGCTACTACGCGCTCGAGCTGCAAAAGCAAGGGGTGGGTCTGCGAAACTGCTGCCTAAATTTACCCCTGAAATTCTGCCCGAGCCCTGCTTAAACCCTGCCCACATCCCGCATCTTTGGGCCAAAAGACGGCAGATCATTGGCATTGATTCCTCTAATGAGTTCTCCGTTTTGGAGGGGAGGAGTCCTCGTGGCTAGGGTGGGCCACTGTCAGGCTGTCCTCTCTGGATGCCAAAGAGAGGGCAATAGACTTGCCACGAAAGGGGGCGGGAAACTTGGAGATCCAAGCGGAGTACCTAAACGGACCATGCTTGAAGTGTTGCGTGAAGGGATCCCAAACCATTCATGTGCAGATCTGGACTCTGGCGAAAATAGGGGCGTTCTCATTTCGAGGGTTTCTAATTCGTCGACCGCGTTCGGTCCTGGAATTACGCAGCTTAGGACGCGGTGTCCAGAAGTTTCTTTGGCGGGTGCTACGAACCTCGGCAAAAAGCGATCATGTTTTGCTCAATCCGAGAAAGCGCTCTTCAGATACGTTTCCGCTGTTCTCGGGGTGACGCGTCCGACAAAAGCGGCGAAATGGGAGCAAAATTGGACGCTTGCCACACGTGCATAAGCGATCTCTACGCGTCACCCAGCGCCGCAAACCTTTGACCGAAACAACAAGTGTTTCGAGAATACGACAATGACTGGCGGCACAATCTTTCTGTATCTGCAAAGATGTACCACAAGTCTCTTGCCCACGTTAATGCGCAACAAGAAAGAGACTGCATCCTCACGCATCCTGCTCCGAACGTGCAGACGCTCCACACTGCGCGCGAGCGCAGCACCTCCGCGCCGCCTCTGCGGCCGTGGTCCGCGCTCGCGCGCCCTGAGCCCCGAAACCTCGGCATGCGCTTCGACTACGGCCTGTCGCGCTTCGGCTTCGAGCCGGACCGGCCCGCGGCCGCGAGCGCGCTCCGGAGTTTAGGGTTTAGCCCGGCGGCGACGCTCAGCCGACCGGCCAGCGCGGCGCGGCTCGGGGAGAGCGCGCGGTTGGGGACGGTTAATGGAGAGGTTAGGGCGAACCTGAACGGAGAGATCAACGGTTCGGAGGGGCACGATGCTGACGTGGCGGACGCGTACTCGACGGCGTCTCAGAGGTGGGTATGCCGCTGGTCCCGTATTGGGCGCTGCGGGGCCGAGATCTATGCGGTTTCATATTTCGATACGGAATGTACTTCGCGATTTTGGTCCAACTAATGAGCGTTTGCGGATTTGAGGAGTGTAGAGAAGGAGCCCTCATATGCCAAGCAACTGCTTCTTCGACATCGTTAACGCAGGAACTGATGTTTTGAGATTGATAACTGAGAATCCAAGTATTTGGTTGAATCTCGTCGCACGTAATCACACCTGGTCTACTGACTTGAATTTGGGAAGGAAAAAAGGCTCGCAGGGCCGTTTTCCACCGCTTGCATTCACACCGCAGGGCGCTGACGGAGTGGGAGGCGCGGCATTACGAGCGCATGACGAGCGCGCGGCGGCACAGCACGGACTTGCGGCGGCTGCTGAACCAGATCAACGGTAAGGATCAGCGGGAGCCATCATCAACGGTGGAAGTTGAATGCTTCGAGTAGAAAGCCGCCGTCGTCAAATTTCAAAACGATTTGCCATCTTCCATCAGGGCTTACACATCCCCTACAAAGATCGAAGATTCACTCTCCGCCGAAAATTGGAGTGTCGATCAGAAAGTTCATGGCCCTTTCAGCTTTTTATTTACATGCTCATAGATTGTTTGTTGGGGACCAATAGAACAGACCAACAATATGCTTTGAATCTGACCTTTTGGTTAATGTGCTAAGTGCTGAGGCCCTGTTTTCGGTGCAGGCTCCTCATGGCGGTACCATCTCACGCGGCCCGTGGAGCCCAACCTCAGCGACAGGGCCCACGTGAAAGTGAAGGCGTTGGAGATGGTAGGTTGTCGAACCGTTTGTCTCTAGGTGTTTGAAGTTTCTCGCTCCTCAGGTTGCAATCTCTGTACTTCGCTTCATTCCACACCAATGCATGCCTTGTTTCGTTTGGCAAGGGGGCTTGGGGCGCCTCCGGGGTTTGTTACCAGTGGATGTATAGCCTTTTGTTCGTGCTACGTCCCCTGCACTTGTGATAGGTATCTATCAGAGTAGGTACGGTAAAAGATAGCCCCTCTTGGGACATCTTGGCTACACCCGTCATAGACATCCCAGGAACTATACGTTGAAAGATATCTCCCTTGTTCTTAGTTGGTGGAGAAAGTGAAGATTGCATCCGTCTCTTTTGCGCAGCCAATATCGCCGTACACGGCGCATCCGATAAACTAGCTGGCGTGGGCCCATTCACAAGAACACAGGAGACTGAAGTGCGGATGTTACTTGTTTACATCAAATGGGATCAACAATTTCAACAGCTCGCGCAGCGGAGGATATTTAGTGCCATAATGAAGATAGTAGCTAATCCCTCCACGCAATCCTGTCGAAGGACATACAAGGTTCGCATAATGGGTAGTTGTAAGGACCTGGGGAAACGTATCTAGTTGCGTAGATATATAGGAAGCTGCCAGCGATTTATCTGTAGGGACTCCGCTCCAAATCAACAAACTGCACGCACGCTACCGAAGACGCTCGCTGATCAAGATCAAAGATTCAATGACATGCCTGCACGTACGTGACACCAAACTCTCATGCAGATCATGTTGAGCTCAGCAAGAGCTTTTACCGGCCGTAGTACACTGAGAAATGTGAAGGGCAAAAAGCGGATACGATTGCCGTCCGCGCATGATTGGACGGTACGATTGGCACCAGGTGATTCGTGGCCGTTTGCATGTCAATATGAGTGCGCCTTTTGGCCTAAGTTGCATCACAGTCATTTGTGATCTCTTCGTTGACGCCTTCGGATACTTAGCGATTAAACTACTTGTTGATTGGACGGTGTTCGTCACGTGTTTTGGCGAAGCATTAAAACACAAGCGTTGTGCCGCTGCCGCCTCGTCAAATGAAATATGAGACGCGGCTTACTGAGATTCCGCGGACGGCACAGAAATTCGTGCGTACGTAATCCGGATCGCGTTTCATTACCGTAGGCAGTAGCATGTGCATGCCAGTTGATATGCATGTGGCAACAGGCTTCATGAAGCCTAAGTACTTACGACTCTCTGTAGGCTCTTGACCTTCCAATCGCTTTTCGTTGCCTCTTTCAAGGCTAATGCTACTTAGTGATGGGTGCCTCCTATTTTCTTGCAGTCAGCATCTGACTTTCTCAGTACACTACTTTCCTTTGTGGCAAAGCACCCTCCCTGTACGTGACCTTCACAGACACAGACGACCTTATAACCTGTTTAACGAAGTACGAACTGTGTTATTACATTTCCTAGACTGGGTTTGGCTGGCAAAGGCGATCATTATCAGACTATCATGATAGGGAAGCTTCCGACTGGGCTTCTCTCGATTGCATCTCAGGCTGCAAAGCAGGGAATGTATGGATAAGAAAACAGTTGACTGGGCGACAGCAAGACAGCTCTCGCGGGCTCCCTATCTTGCTTTGACGTTGTTTGCGTTTCGATTGTCAGTAAAGTCGCCTACCGATCGCGAATGGCTTGCCATATAGGGAACAGATGTTTCTTCCGCGGTCAGGCAGACTGTGAATGTAATGAGAACCTTCAATATCCATGCAATATCCAAGAAAGAATCCGGCCACGTTTCTTTGAGCAAACACTCTCTTCGTTCAGGTGTGATTGTGAGATACTCAATGATTATCGTACCACCGCATTGGATCCATGTGTTTGTCGGAAGACCTTTCAAGACATCCCCGTCAAAGCGTAAATACCAGCCCACAGTGGCGAATAGAACACTATCATGAAAACGAAGGTGGCAGTCTATCAAAGACGGAGTACGAACCTGACGTACACGCGTCAGCTTTCCAAGCTGACACGTGGCGCGTCAATAGGAGGAGCTACTGGCCACCGTGCTTAACGAACACAGACCGGCGGAGGGAAGTAACCAAAGCTCTGAACTCGAACGATTGTGTAACGGTGGGAGGAAGAGAGTAGCACCTCACTGGAACGAAGTAACTTTGGTATTGGCTCGGATACACAGCCGAGAACGTGGACGGGTTGTAGATGGAGCCCCCGCTCTCGCCGTTGTTCCCAAGTAATGCAAGCGCGCCGTCGTCGATCGGAACGCCTCCTTCTATCCGGCTGTCGAAGTCGACGGGATGGTACCTGCGGCAATCCAGATTATTCGTCAATTGTTTGGCGTGCTTTAGAATTTTCTTTCCGAACGTAAATCTAGTGGATTTTCTAGGTATACTCTCAGGCGATGGCAGGACTGCGTAAAGCCACACGGGACCGGGACGCTTCTATCCGGCTGTCGAAGTCGACGGGATGGTACCTACCACAACCAGAAGCATTTGCATGAATCTAGTTCGTTAAGTTCTTCCAATGGAGTGGAATGTAATTTCTGGAGTGATTTTTTCTGTCACTAGATTTTACGGTTGTTGATCATGTGAATATTAGGGGGTGCTGTAAGGCAATGGCATAAGTCAGCATTAAGCAACACGCGACCGGCGGGGTGGTACCTGCCGCAATGAAAAGTTTCCGCAGAATCTAATAAGCTTCTTGAACGGTTTCCAGAATGTTGATTCACTAGAGTTCAGGGTGTACTGTTAGGCGACCGCAGAACTGAGCGTAGAACACACGCGACCGGCACGCCCTCTATCCGGCTGTCGAAGTCGACGGGGTGTTACCTGCCGCAATGAGACACATCCGCAGAATATCAGCTTTCTTTGTCACCGTTTTAACGCTTTGATCCTGCGAATGTCAAGTTGTGCTGTAAAGCGATGGCAGAAACCAGCATAAAGCAAGACCCTCTATCTGGCTGTCGAAGTCGACCGGGTGGTAGAACCAGAAGAATCCGCAAAACTTTACTCCGTTGAATTCTTCCAATGGATTGGAATTTTTGATTTCTGGAGTGACATTTGTCATTGTATTTTACGGGTGTAAATCATGTGAATATTATGGGGGACTGTAAAGCAATGGCAGAATTTAGCATTAAAGCAACACGCGACCGGCAAGGTGGTACCTGCCGCAATCGAAGGTTTCCGCAGACCCTAATAAGCTTTCTAAAAATCGTTCCACACATCTTAGTTTATTGGAGTTCAGGATGTACTGTTTGTGGATGGCAGACTGAGCGTAGAGCAACACGCAAGCGCGGCACGCCCTCTATCCGGCTATCGAAGTCGACGGGGTGGTACCTGCCGTAAGCAGACACATCCGCGGATACCAACTTTTCTTTGTCACGACTTTCTGATTGTGTTGACCTGTGGATATCAGAGGATACAGTAAGGCGATGGCACAATCGGCGCAGAGCCACACGTGATCGGAACGCCCTCTAACCGGCCGTCGAAGGCGACGGGGTGGTACTTGCCGCCAATCAAAGTTTCCGGAGACTCAGTAAGGTTAATCACCACTTTCTACATTTTTGGTCCCCTGGATTTCATGGTATAGTCTTGGGCAATGGCAGAACTCAGCGTCAAGCTTTACGGGAACATGGCATGCCTTTCATTCTGCTGTCGAAGTCGAAGGGATGGTACCTGCTGCAATCGAGCGTTTAGCTTTCTTTCTCATGTCTTCGGATGAGTCGACGGTTTGAAGATTGTCGCAATAAGAGACGTCTGCAGGGCTTTCGCAGTCCCCCGCCAAATTCTTAAAACTTAATCTCGTGGGTTTCAGGGTTTGTAAGGCTTGGCAGGGCTCCGTATAGATGACTTGCGACCGGGGTCCCAGGGTAAAGTCGCTCAAAGAATGTTGCGACCGTGGACTTAAGGTTTGCTTCTTTCGGATCAGTATCTCCATCTCGGCAGCTTCAATGCGAGGTCAATAGATTTGTGGACCAGTTCATCATTTTGACCTGGTCCAAGCGTTGAAACGAAATAGTGCCGTTATTTGATATACCAGTCGAGTAAAGTGATCCTCAGATCAGCTGGCCTTCGAAACTACTATCTTATTTTCTTGTTTCTTTGCCAGCCGCAATACGAGAACTAAAATTCCTAATGTCTTTTTGCAAGCGATTGAGCGGCCGCTAGGGCAACAGGGAGCCCAACACAGCGTTCGGGTTCACGGGTTCACAGAGAAAGACAGTGAATGCAGTTCCACAGTCTGGCACCTTCGTAACTGCGAAAAAGTTCTGATTAGCGAGACCTCGTGACGATCCTCACCCGTTGTCTGCTTCCGACACCCCTAACCGGTACATCTTGACCCACAGCACCACCGAGCCCAGCCGGACAAGGAACCCCAGGGCCTCCATCGCGAGCGTGACCCGTAACGACCAGCCCTTGCGCCACCCAAGCTCGCCCATATCCGCGTTCCTGTGGTTCACCAGTATGAATTTGCGAAGAATAGTTCAGCGAAAAGCAACGGAAGCATCTCTTCGTGCAGGTCGAGTGAGTACAAATGACAATCTCTGTGAAGGTTCCGACCAAATCCTCTGAAGCTCGTTTCGACTTGGGGGATGTCCCGATCAAGCAATCGATGGTGATGAGACGCATGATCCACATTCCGGGGTTGAGCTCTTGTTGGGCCTGAAACACGTTGGACTGCAGATAATCAAGAAGCGCTCTGGAACAGGAAGGCCTTGCTTGACTCCAGAATACTGTTAAACCTGCAAGCGTCAGACACAATAGCCGACCGCCTTGCAAAAATTCGAATTTTCGCTCAGATTGAAGGCATCTCACCAGAGTTCCGGCCCGAGAATGGCCAGCCATACCACGTCCAGAAGAAGCATCAGTCCCAGGAATCCCACATACGATCGTCCTAGCCGCTGGCTGCTGCTCTCGATCGCCACAAGTGCGAACAGGGCCAGAACTAGGTTGGTGCTGTGGATTCCCAAGTATTCGAAACCCAAGGACCCCACCATTGCGCACCCAGCCTGTCACATTGAGGAGGACAAGGTTTTGCTTTCATTACACATTCTGAGATCAAAAGGGTACTTGACAGCAGGTGTGCGTACGGCTGGTAAAGTTAAAGGCCTCAGACAAGCAACAGTGCCACAGTGATCGATGAATGAGCAGATTCAGCAAGACGAAAGCTTGGGGACACGCAATCATGAATAGTTGATGGCAATTCTAAATAACGGGCCAAACAAGTCCAGAAGATTTGTGGACTTTTGTGCGTCTTTGCAGTCTTGCAAAGTATTCTTGCAAAGTATTTTTGCGCGGAGTTGGAACGGTCAGCTTGACCACAGGTGAAAGGTGGCACCTTCATGGCGATTTGGGTCATCCCAAGATCAGTCTGGAACTAGTGTTGAGATCTGGTCATAGACCAACATCAGATGCTGAGCATCAGAAGCATATGCAAGCTCAAGAAGCTGCAGTAGAAGTCCTGCAAGCGGAGCCAAGAAACACACACCAGCGGAAAGTGCATGAAGGAGATGTCAACATAGATGTCATTTGGGCTGATAGAATCTGGCACACAGAAATACCAAACACCGATGTCTCCCCCCTTCGCTTTGGAACCACTTGCCTCAGGACGTAATCACTCAAACCTCGCGCAGAAGCAAGAGGCTTGCAAGCGGGCGGACTGTCATGCAACAAGTTATCTGCACTACTACCAGAAATGTAGGCATAGGCCGACACCCAGAGTGCCCTTTCTTGGCTTGGTCTGCTATGCTGGCCCCTGGAAAACTCGAGGAGCCTCATTCAGCCTACTTCATTGAAGAGAGGCTCATTGATCAACACTGATCAATCCTGTTGAACATAAGCTGCTGACAAGGAAAACAACATTCTTTGAAGCCTCTGAATAAGCTCAATCTGTCTTCTGAGGCTGTATGGTCTATTGATACTTGGACAGTAGGCGACTCTGGTAGGAGAGCCTAAAGTGACTATTATTAACGAAACCTCCTGATGCGTTTTCCTTACCCAAGTAGACTGTCTCGTTGAACCGATATGCCATGATAATTGTCCTCCAGATGCTAGGAGCTAGCCAATGGGCTTCAGAGAATTTTGAATTGCTGTTGAGAGCATGGGTGAATGTTCCAATGAGTGTGCTTCACATTCCACGCTCCAAATATTGGCCATTCACAACATTGTGCGACCAGAAAGGCATAACATTTCAAAGAAATCAGAACAGTTGAGCTTCCTCGACCAATTGGAGCCAAGCGTTCATACCTGTACATATAGCAAAACTACCACCCACTGCTCCACCTCATCGTAGTCATTAAACCTCGCCAATATGGATACAGATCTTGACCCCAGCAGTGCCGAATCGGCCATCAGACTGCGCTTGGAGGGCTCTCTTAAGCTTCTTTGTTCAACAATTCTACCTCCAAAAAGGAATGCAACAATGTGCCCAGCACAGAATGACACGCTCGCTCAATTTCTCTCAACGCGCATGGCATTGGGTTAGCTTATGTCCTTGACTGCTTGTGCGATTCTCATTATGTTTGCTGGAGGATTTCCGCTCAACTTGCACATCCATCAACAAGGACTTCTTGTGTAAGCAAGTAATGGAATGTGCTGAAGGATTCTGAGCTCGTGACATCAGCATCCTTCTCCTTTTAACCACAGCTAGCTTGTGGAGCTGCAGTTCCCTCGTCCTGAATCCAAATTGAAATGGAGCGGAGCGCTTCTGATGCATGTACTGGCCTCCTTTTCATACGGTATGTGGCGCTCCCTCTCAGAATTGTCCCACAAATGCATACCTATTGAATTTGGCTCAGCTCTGACTCATGCGGTTGGAGGGCTAACAGGGTTGAGGAAAACCAACGTTCTTAGGTTAGCTTCGGGCGGCAAGGCTGCCGTGGCGGTTCTCCGGAAGCGCCAGGTTTATCGAACATGCCACTTCCTCTAGAGGCGCTTCTGTGACAGCGTAAGTACCTATCTCGGTATCGCGGTTTTCGCGACGATCGCAATAACCTGGCTGCAAACCACGAAGGGTCACGCATGGAGCCCGATCGGCTCAACGCAAATCGACGGCTTCCATCCATTCCAGCGCTCGCTCAACCATCATCGGACGGCACACTTAGAAGCCACCTGTTGCACGGAGACGCGCTCTGATTGGCTGGTCTTCGCGCCAGAAGCTTTGACTTGCCGGGAGTCGGGTTTTGGCTCTACTGGGGTGAGTCTAGGTTGGCACTAGAGCTTACATAGCTGTCTTCGAAACTCGAGCGAGAGCCTGCATTGTGAGCTGCGAAGTGTCGCTTCAACTTCGTGCTGCATTCTCTTAGCGCGCGCTGCGTCGTCTTTCTTGTTCACCTCCACCAGGCGACGCGGAAACTTTGCAGTGACTCTGCTTTGGGGACGCTAATCGACTTCTGTCCACCCGCAGCGTCACAACAGTCTAAGGCAGAGGATTCAATCAGGATCTCATCCGTTGCTTGTGCCTAAATCAGCTTTGATGAAGCTAGAATCCAGATTGATCCAAGCAACTGCGGGCGAGCCAGCCCCTATCCCAAAACGACGGAGACCTGCTTGAGCGTTTGTGTCACTGCAGTCGACAGAACTGGAGGTAAGTTAGCACTGAAGGTAGTCACAGAATGCACTCTTCTATGGAAACATACTAAACCCTTACATTAAAGACAAAAACAGGGACGACGTGCAGGCTGGCAACGACTGTTTGCGACTTTTCAGAAGCTGCCTGAGGCAGGCAGATGACTGAGTTGTTTCGAGGGATCCATAGAGACTTGGGACATGTATAGATGGCGAGAAAGGAACTGTTGTCACCTGGCTCAGTAAACCTATGGCAAAGATGGTCACTTTGTACACAACTCGTGCTCAAGGAAATGTCTGCAAAGAGGGGTCCTTTGCCATCTGCATAGCTGACTAAGAGGTGACCATGCTCATACAGAAGTTCTTAAGCTGTGAACCTTAGCCAATTGGTTCCTGAGGCTCCTCACGCTGCAAGTCATTCATATTTCCCGGCCCTTAATGTGCCATGGTAGACTGCTCACTTTCCGGTTATGGTGGAGCCATCCGTGCCTGTTGAAATGTGCATCTAATCATGACTTGAGTGGATGCAATAATCAGCTTGGAATGATGCAGGGACTTTGAGAATTGATACGCTGCATCGCTCAACAAACCTTTCCCGTCTAACTTGTTTAACATCGTTGATCCCACCACGTTGGTTGTTTTAATTAAGCAGATCGTGAAGCAGCACCATGTGGAGCTACGTTATTCCGCAGGCATGCTTTTGGATCCACATGAAGCAGAGAAGGAGAGCTCCCATCCTCTTCTTCTCTCAGCAAGGAAGCAACCTCCTGAAGATGTGCTATGGATGACTCTCAATCCAAATCTCCTCCTTGCAGGCTGAACCCTTCTTGCTGGCATGGATGACCATGAGGAGCATGCTGCCATCCACTTCTCGGAAAACGAGGCACCACGTCATCTGGACTACCCTTCAGAGAGTCCCTTCTTGGACAGACCTTTGGCAGGCGGCCCGTCTGAACCTCCACTCCTTCATCAGCAATCACTCATGCAACCAGAGTCACTAGAATGGAGAGAACAGCAGCCTGAGATCCACGCGAATCTAGCACCAGCAGCATCCAACCCGTTCGCAAGCCAGGAGAGCCAGTTTGCCAAATTTGACATCAGCGATGACGTAATCCCCACTCCTGACGAGCCGGAGCGCCGGGGCTTACACGCCAGCTATGCTCAGGAAGGGTATGACGAGTCGAGAAGCGAGTGGCGACGGTTTGAAGATGATGGATACGAGCAACTAGAGGCGGAACAGCATGGCATTAGAGAACACCCGGCTGGCCCTGGCTGGGGTGTCCTGGGAGACCGCCAAAGCGGAGCTTCTCAGCCCCCCCAGACCCCTCATCTGAACCCAGTTGTGCCGATCCAGGAAGCAGAAGCCGAACCCCAGGGCAGGAGGAAGGGGTACAAGTGCGGTATCTGCGGCCAGCCAAAGAAGGGCCATGCGTGTCAGGGAAGAGTAAGAGACAGTGACAGAGCAACAGAGCAAGCGACTGCTCCATCCCTCCCGTCAACCCCGCTGCTCGAACAAGGCTTCAGTCAGCCATGGAATAGCTCCAATCCCCCAAGTTGCAAAGCCGCAGACACCCCCCGACACCATCCCCCTAGACCAGAGAGGCACGCCACCCCCCCAGTAGAAAAACCATTCCCAACCAATCCTCATCAGCATCCCACCAGTCTCAATCACCAGGCGGAGACTACAACCCCACTTCATCAGACTCCCGGTGCAGGGACTCAGACTCAGGCTAGGCCAGCGGGCATGCTATTGGCTGGGGGCCGCAGCATATCGAGGCAGCTCTTCCAAGGCTCTGCTCCAGGAACTAGGATGGTGAGACTCCGAGATGCGGGGTCTCCGCAGCGGCCCGCTTTGCCGGCATCTTCGAGCTCCTCAAAGGAGGGTTTCAGGAGGCCAGGGCAGGGCGCACGTGATTGCGGCGTGCAGACTCATCTTGCAAGGTACGGCCTCGATACTCGTTCACGTTTCCATAGTGACTCCTGTTGGACTGTAAAGGACATTTCTGGACGTTGTCGGTTTTCCCAATGCCGTTTCTCATTCTTATTGAGATGCAGGTTGCGGAGAGCTACGCCAAGCGTGCTGCAATTTGTGCGAAGTGACCACTGAGCAGAGCTCCCCCTGTTATAGTTCCATATCAAACTGCCAAACCTTCAGCAGTATCAGTCGACTTTCTGGCCACACTTCTGCAAGACCTAACTGGATATAAAGTGCCGGAGAGATCGCAGACTGGCCTGGAAGTACGGTTCCTGTTTAAGGAAACTCTCTCTCTGGACGAGGTCGGCGTCTCTATAGAATCCTTTTCGCGGATTGACATCATCAGCAACGCCACTTCCCTCCATCATGCTGTGCAGTCGACAGCCATTCTTTTGACTTACTTCTTGCATGGCTGTTCGTTATCGCATGGACCTTCAACTGCCTTCCGGGACTGGCATGTTATGCTGGAACCAATCACTCGGCTTCAGCACGTCTTCCCCGTCTTGTGCAAGAATCGTAGCGGACGGCCCTTCTCCACCTTTTTGGTGCATACTTCTGGAAGGACAGAGATTTTGTCAACTTCTTCCATTGTTTTCGAGCACTTTGTCCCCGTGTTTCAATCCAAACCTCCCTCTTACTTCTGCAGCCACCCCTCACGGCGCTCCGGCATCCACTCCCTCCCCGAATCCTGCCTCCTCCGAATCCTGGCAAAGCTCCCCCCGTGCACCCTCGCCCTCTCCGCCCTAGTTAGCCGCCGCTGGCACTCCTGCAGCGACGCAATCTGGCCACTAGTAGAGCGCGCAGACCTGGTGTTGAATAACGGGTCACCGAAACCCGGTCAGGTTAGCGCCGCCCTGGGAGCGTCCAGGCACGTGACCGAGGTCCTGCAGAAGTGCGTCGGGCTGAGGCGGCTGGTTCTCACAGTGACGGGGTGAGGTTTCCGTGACTCCTTTAGAGCTGCGGCTGTTTTCGGCTAGAGAGTTTCACTCTGAGGGGGTAGATTCTGGAGGTGGACGCATTACAAAAGGCGCTGTTGCTTAGGCATCATTTCAATTGGAACTGAGCGCAACCCGGCGCGTAGGAATTGGCCCGGTCATGTATGACTACGTCTTTGTCGAGCTACGAACATACACTGGCACCCCTCAAACAAGATCCGCCAAGTAAGAAAGCAAGCCTCGCTTGTGCCGCCTGCGAGATTGTCAACCCTCTTTTCCTCTCGACGTACAATGCTTTTCCGCTGCCACCTTTCTACCTAAGGTTTTATGTTCCCCACTTACGCTGATGTAACGCTCTCACCTTTTGCGACTCACCCGGCGCTGCCACGTGGCACAACTTTGTCAGTCGGTCGGACTCACCATCTCATCAGTCTTCTTGGTCCACGCTCCTGTGCTCTCTTACTATGCTGCAAGCGTTTGACGCTTTGAGCATTTGTTTGCAGCCGCATCGAAGACGCGGTACTCTCAGCAATTGCCACGTGCCGCCCCGAGCTGACCGACCTTGAGATTCGTGTTGCGAACAACGGAGTGAATGTAATTTCGGGGTGAGTTCTTTTGACCCGGTTTTGTGTTCAGCGTTTCTCGCGACTAGTTATTTCGAATGGTCACTTTGTGCAACTTTTTCTCGAACATCTCTGAAGGAAAGCACTCTACGGATTTACGGCTCGCTTCGTCGGATGCAATCACTATCCTTTCAGCTTGAAGCTTCAGAAAAGGCCTTGTTGCTGATCTTTGGAAAAAATCCTTCGGAACGTGGTTGGACCTTGCGATGCCAATGTTTGAAGCGCTCGACAGTGATCGGCCTGGGTTTCAACGATCAGAACTCGGTCTCCCGAATCCAGAGACTATCCAGTTGTGTTTTCCTCACTCGAACACCAAGAGCGACAGAACATTGCGCAACGATCTTTCAGGTTCGAAAATCAATCCAAGATCCACACGCGAAGCTCACTCCTTGCAAGAACCACCCCTCTTTCAACAAGTTGCCCAAAAATCCTTCTTCCAAAACTCACCCAAGCGCATTGAAGCGCCTCAAAGACGTACGATTGCGTTCGTGTCAGCACAGGAAGTTTTGGTTGCTATCCAGTCTGGTTACTAGACCTGCTTCACAAATCCTTGGACAGACAGCCGAGATTAAGCCTTGTCCCAAGGCTGGTTACCGCTCAAGTCCGTTTACTGGACGATTTGCCAAGGTTCTACCAGCCCATAGCCAGCTCATAACCAATCCATGGTCAAGAATCGAAAGGTTCAGTGCAGGTCCGGTAGTTTGAAACGAGTGCTTCGGCCCGTCGTTTGTGCAGAGCTGCGATCGGCCTTCTCCTCGCCCGGTGCCAGTTTCTCCGTGTTCTGAAGCTAGACGGCTGCCGGTGCGTGAGCCGCGTCAAGGTCTCCAGCCAGACGCTGACCACGCTCTGGCTTACGGGCTGCGACCGCCTCTTGTTTCTGGTAAGCTACTGAAAATGGCTCAATTTTTTCCCACTAAGTTAGCTTCATCTTTTAGACATCGGCATTTTCGTTTGATTTGACATTCGGGCTACCCGGGCACATACATGCAAAAACCTAACCCGAAGCAGGTAAGCGATCCGCACCCCGACCCACCCTAATCGCATGACCAACCCCACCCGTCTCCCGGGCGCCTATCTTGAATCACACGCCTGTAAGGTCACACGATTGTTGCCAGTGTATCTTGTAGCTCCTCGATTTGGCTCCTTGTCTATCCGCCAGCTCTATCTTGTAGACATTCAGCTGAGCCCTTCATTAAGCTAGGCTTCTGGTTTCCGCGGGTACGTTCAGCGAACGTGTCGTCGCCGCATGAACATCACTGACCTTCCATTGCGCCCTTTCCGCTTTAGTGAACACCGCAATCTTTGCACGCTTCGTAACCACAACACACCTCTGAGGCGATTCCGCTCCTGTCTTCAAGCTTTCCCCGTTTGACGCCCTTGCCTGTTGCCTTCGTTTTCAGGAAATGGACTGCCCCCAAATGCGCGAGCTCGCGCTCGATCTAATCCCTCCGCCAGGGTTTGGCGCGCCGTCCGCGGCCCACCGCGACGCGGCCGCGGCGACCCTCCTCGCCCTGCTCAAGCAAGTGCGCGCGCTCGGCGCGCGGCTGGAGCGCTTCCACCTCTCGTCGCCCTTCTTGAGCGACCGCGCAGTCGCGACAATTTTCGCGCGCAACTTCAGGTGCGTACGTTGTATTTTTCCGATCAAGGGAGATGATCCAAGTGGATGACTGCGACTGGCAACAAGTAGAAAGGAAGAAGTCTTGACAGGGGCACAGAATAGGCACGCGGTTGAGTTGCAAACGTAAGTTTCAAGAAGGTCCGGGTATTGCAGTCAGTCCCGCTTTGAGAATGACGGCGAACGTGGCCATGTTTTATTCAAGACCGTATCAACCATGCATGAACATGATGTTGGATGTCTGCTGATTTACGTGGAGAGGATCAGCGTTTACTTGGACGAGGGGAGGGTTCGCATAAAGCTGACGACTCGCTCCGGTCAATTTCATGCCTCCCAATTGATCTACTTTGCCAGAAATTGTCCAATGATTCCTTAAAATCTTGATCAGGACCGGACTGGATGAAAATAACGATTCAAGACGTTCGTTGAAAATGGAGATCCGCGCTCGCGGACGGAAGCAATAGAGCCTCCCCGTCTCCTCTGCAGCAACATGCGGGCCTTGTCGCTGACGCAAGCGCCGGAGCTGACTGACTTCGGCGTTGACGTCATCGTGCGCACGTGTCCGAACATTGAGCTCCTGGACCTGAGCGGGTAATGAGCGTCCTCTAAATGCTCGTCTCCATTATGGGAAGCTGCATGGAAGCTGCATGAAGCATCATTCATTAACTCAAAAGAAAAGGTTTAGTTGTGACGGGAGGGCTGCTTTCCTTATAAAGGGTTTTCTGCAAGATTAGCCACTTCTTGTTAAGGAAGCCACTATCGCGATGAGGTGAAACAGCGAGAGTTTGCGTCGTGATTGCCCTTTTGCGCCACGGCTTCGAATCGCACTTCCAAGAGGCAAAAGGCGGTAGCTTGCGTTGTATCTCCTCGTGTACATCCTCATGACTGTTGCCGAGCAAATTATCTGTGCTTGTCGGGCGGCGTACCGGCCAGCCAGGAAACTGGTTCCAACTTAGATTGCGGCGCAATAAACAGGACATTCAGTGTCGTAGCGGGCCTCGGGAGGGCTGCTTTCTTGCAGCCGGGCTTGGCCATCTTTCAACATCCTTTAGTCCGTGCCGACTCCGCGCTTACATGGTCCAATCAGCCTTGCAGGTCCACTGTGACTGACGTGGGCCTACATCATCTTGCAACCAGATATGCAGAGTCCCTGAGAAGTCTGCTCATCGCGGGCTGCTCGAAGGTGACGTCAGGTGCGTACCATTGCCTCTACCTCCATTACAGCTCACTCAAAGCGGCGCTTAACCAGAAGCATAGCGAAATGCTTTCACGCGGCTACAACACTAGCGGTTTGGCATTGGGTTAAGCAGCGGGGTAGCCGGCTCGTGAGCAATTGTGCAGGGGACCCGGCGGCTGCCGTAACATAGCAACCTGCTTCCAGTTCCAGCCGCTTTACATGCTGAGTTAACCAGCGGGTCAATCAACGGGTCTCAAAAAAGGATGCCTGGCGGCCGCCGTGACATAGGAAACTGCTTTCATGCGCTCCGATATCAGCCACCTTACAATGTGAGTTCGTTTGCGGGTCGATCAGCGGGTTCATGAGCGGGTTCTTTTTTGCAGACGGTCTGGCGGCCGCCGTCGCGGGGCTGCGCCAGCTGGTGCTGCTCGACTGCGGCTACGTCTTTACCGAGTCCACCGCTTTATCACAAAGGCGCCTCCGGCAGCCCCTTCCAGACGTCTCAAGAGAGACCCGTCCCTTGACCCAAAAACCTCATAACCCGAGCCTCCGTCTCTCAGACGTCCGAAGCCCGAACGTCCAGACCCCAACCACTAGGATGCGGATTTCAAACCTCCAAAGCCGTCCCCGTGAAAGCCCCGAATCTCGACCCCACGGCCTCCGAAACCCGCAGTTTCGAACCCCGGATCGTCAAATCCCAAACCTCCAAACCCCGGACCCCGGCGCAGGGGTGCGCCGCAACCCGGTCGCCCAGCGGGGCGCGCTCTTCCAACCGGGCCCGCAAGCTGCAGGGATCCCCCGAGAATGCGCGGACGAAGAGGCTGTTGTGGCGAGCAACAGAAGCCGCCCACCGATCGAGACGGTTGACGACGACTCCCCTCCAGAAAAGAAGCAGAAGACCCAGATCGGGAACGTGGGTGTTACCTCGGGAAGAAACAACGAGTTGGATAATAACCTCCCTCTTTTTGCCGAGGAGAGTGTTCCCCCGCAAGAGCTTTCCCAGATGAGCGACACGATCCCGGCGCCGAACCCTTCCCTCCAAAGTGACCCCTCCGCAAATGATCCTCTCCAAAGCGTCCGCCCGGGGGAGCTTTCCATTCGAAGCGAGACGCTCTCGAAGCTGAGCCTCTGGGGCTGCTCGGACGTCCGTACGCTGGAGCTGGAGTGTCCGGCTCTGGCTGAGCTCAACCTGACGTCATGCACCGGCCTGACGCCTGGCAACATCTCGTTGCGCTGTTGGGGCCTCGCGCGGGTGCACGCGGCGGGGTGCAAAGGGGGGGTGGCTGAGGCTATCCAAGAGCAGGTAATGAACCCCCTTTCCAATACTGGGCACTCCGATCCAAAATTGCAAGGTTCGGTGGGCTGCCGCCAAGGGCTGACAGAGGCTACTCGAGAGCAGGCAAAAGGATCCCTCCCGTCTTATTGGTCAACTTCTCGAGCACGATTGACAGTCACTACTTCTGAAGTTTTGAGGGAGCCTTCCAAAACCTCCATTTGGCGCATGAACTTGACTTCTGAAAACAAGTTACTTTGCAGTTCAGCAATCTTTGCAACCAGCTCAGTTGGGCGTGTAACAAAACTTCGTCGGACGCCCCAGTCAGACGAAAGATGAGAGCGTCCAAAGGACGGAAGCCAAAGTTTGCATCTGAGGAAGTATTTGTCGATATCATTCCGTTCCAGCTCACTGTCCAGCTTTTCCGGTCCGCAGGTATTGACCGGACACTGGTGGGACAGCGATGCCGGGTCCGGTTCCGGTGACGGCAGCGGTTCCGTCGGCGTGAAGCGACAGGCCGACGGAAGCAAGAGAGTGCAGGCGCTGCGGCAGTCACCTCAGCGAGTTGCGTTGTATTCGGAGTGATAGGGTTAACTGTGGTTAACAATCCTCGGGCAAGTCTCCAAAATCAGCGCCTATACGACCTCGGGCGGAGTCTTTAGACGGAGGCTTTATAACTGACATTGACAAGATCTGAGGCGGGTTGTTGCAGTTGTTGTGTTGCTGCTCACGTTGCGAAAAGATCACCCCTAATGTTGTGTGGAGTCTATTGAATTGCAGGAAGCAGTTTACCCCGGCAAGACACGCACGTAACTTGACCAGGTGAATCTCGGTGAAGGTCACCCACCAGTGCTTCTTCACAGCAAAACGGGAAATGTTGGACGCACTGCACGATTTTATCACATCTTGGAAACCTTCCCCAGCCGATACATTATATACATGATCCGAACTCTTACCTTGGCTTATCAGCATGTGATGCATTATGCAGGTCGCTCGTGAAGGTCTTAAAAGCGCCTCGGAACACATTGGAAGCCGCTTAGGACGCCACGCATGTGCTGTCATGCGTGTCTGGATCGAGCCCTGATCGAGTCGAGGCCGTCTGACATGAAGTCGAAGGAAAATGAAAATTGGGCCATGCGGCCATGCGTAATGACACGCAACGCAAGCTACGGCTAAATGCAGCCTGACAATCCGTGCATGATATGCATCATGGCTCTCAGGTGCATAAGTCTGCAGGCATTCCTGATCATTTGTTACGATTGGACTACATTCTTAGACAGCATGGCTTGTTAGCATCGGCCTCTACTCAATCAGGACTCGATCCATACTGGCATGACACTGCTCAGATAGCTGAATAAAGGCGCGCGTCTCAAATATCAGCATGCTCATCGGCAGTTGCTCTTGAGCACCGCTCCTTCGCCCGTCTTCTCGTTCTCGTACCATTTCGACCAACGCCGCTGTTGCCAATTTTAATTACAGAACAGATTACTAGTGCATGACTCATGAGTACTCGTCAACCTCGAGCTAGCACTTCGTCCTCAATGATTGATCAACCGCCGGATATCAACCCGTTCATTACACATTCCGTTCGCATCTTTTCAAGTTTGACTGCTGGTGTATGACAGGATTGTGAAGGGCGCGCGGCTCCACCAAAGCTCACCACCATCGCAGCACCATGAGCAGTACGCTGCATTAGTACGGTAAGGATACGCAACGAAGAAAGCGAATAACCGCACTTGGATGTATTTGAAGGGCGCTTTTGCATGCACGTCACTCAATCTGCGGGCCAACTAAATGCGGGTCTACGATTCAAAGCCGAAAAGCCACACGGGGCCTCTAGGCAACTGTCATTCGTACATGACTGAGTTCAGTACTACGGGGCAGCAGAAGCTGTCGTCAATAGACCAGTGTTGTAAAATCCCATTCGGGCCGTTGATACAGGTCCGTGAGTGCACATTCAAACGGCAAACCATACCTACGGCTTGTCTCTTAATTCCAGTACTCTTAATGGACAGTTCTACGGGATAGCTCATCTCAGAACAGTACGGCAAAATCACCATACCGTCTGAGCCCCCAATCACGCGTACGTCAGCTTCTTTCTGGTGACCTCGTCCCCGGGACCTCGAACTTTCTAGCGAACAACTCCAGTCTACATTTCGAGCCTCCTCTGGCTGAAAGATTTCTCTCTCTTTGAGTTCTACAAAGACAACCCGAATGACCAGCATGCCGCGAGGGCTAATCCTCCAACCCAAGCTGCCTGAGGTGCCCAAGCGTCGAGCTGACTCGCTTGTGACACGTGTCCGGGCCCAGCTCGAGCCCCCGTTTGAAAGTCGAATCGCGTCTTTGCGGATCTCGCTTCCTGAACCCGGCTTCATACCGTCCACCTGAAACCGATTGAAAGGAGCCCAAATCCGTGCACGTGTCCTGCGTCACCCGCGCTCGTCAGCGAGATCAGCACTTTTGTCTTCGCCGGGTTGGGTCCTTCTGTGGGTTGAAGGGCGTTGAACAAGTTGACCTTTTTGCCTCCGTGACGCTGGTTCAGCTGCGCCCAGTCGCCATGAACACACGGGTGTCACAAACTGCAAGCCAATGTATTTCCGCTAACCCGCCACAAGGGTTACCGTTGGCTCTACGGGGACCGCGCAGCACCGCGACGACGACGCAACACCGTAACTTCAACACAACCTATCCTGGCCCAGGTTAACACAGACCCTTCTTAACCCGCCCCCAGCGTAACTACTTGGGCTTGAAGGGCACCGCGCTGAAGTCGTCGTCCCACCGCTTGAAGGCCTCGTGGTAGCCGAAGTCGCGTTGAAGCAGCTTGAGCGCGCTCGCGTGCTTCTCTTTGGCCTCGCCGTACAGGCTGTCGATCTCGCGGACAAGGCCCTTGTAGCTGCTCTCGAACGGACCGATGTCATGGCTGAAGTTTTCCTGGAGAAAATGAGTTCGAAACGTCAATCGGAAATGAGAGGCCCGTTCTGATCGACATAGTCGAACAACTCCTGATAAAGCAAGCCCATATTCTGGCCGAAATGCCAGCTCCTAAGAAACGGGATCCAGCAGGTTCGTTGGGCAATTGGGAGGCTTTTCTGAGACGGATGTTCGTCGGTAGATAGGACGGTTGACCAAGTCGAGGCCCGTAGTTGAGAAACGAGAAAGTTCACCTCGAGAGTAACTTGCAATACACGATTGCACTGTCCTCCAAAAGGTATGTCTCTTCAATTCAGCAATAGTAAGCTCTAGCAATAGTAAGCTCCAACACTAACACTAAAAACCTAACCCACAAAATCACCCGCTCCGCACCGGAACCCACCCTAACCCCCAAACTAACCCTACCCGTCCCAGGCTGGTTAGCTTACGGTATTATTGCTAAAGCTTACTACTGCTAGATTGAGGATTTTTCCAAGAGGTGAGCCAGCAAGGTTGATGAAAGAGCAAACGAATGAACGACGCAGAAGTTACCCCGAGGCGTACATGTGATTTTAAATCGTCCGTTTTGATGCATGTCAGCGCTTCAGTCCAACAGGCCTTCAAAAAAGACTTTTTTGATAGGTTCACCACGAACTCTGACGATTTGATCCATCCGGACACGGACAATTCAATGGGTTGCGCAGGCAGAGTTCAAACTAGCCCGTGCGTTTCTCAATCATGTTGTAATCAAACTGGCAATTTTGCCACCAGAAATGCAAACCGCAGACGACTAGCCCGGGAATCCACTCTCCAGTTCTCCTGAACGATGTATTGTCTTCTACCTCTCAAGCGGAACCTCTTCCCACTCAACAAAATACTTCACCAGATCCAACTCGAGCCAGTCTCAACTATCTCTGCTAAGCATCCGAAAGCAGAATTCATGAAATCGTCCAGAACATCCCGCAAAACCCGGCAGACTGGCCGCACAAACTGGGTACTTAGATGGGGATTTTTGATCGCCACTTACCATGAGTTGCTGGTTCTTCTTGATGCGGGTCTCTAGCTCTGCCTTCCGTTTCTTCAGGTGCCCAATCTGGTCCTCGTAATCCAGCTTCCCCTTGAGGTCGTCTTTGATCTCTGTGGCATAAGACGCGTTAAGTGGTCAAGTTTCTACTTACTTTGCAGCGGACGCTTGAACAGTTGCTCCATGTGTAATGTTACCAGACTGAAAGACTGCGTAACACTTGTCACTGTTGACGGATATGAGCAGAGGCAAATTTGATAAGGGCGGCAAAAGAGACGCCAAATGTCTTAGCAGAGCTCCACAAGTAGCTGAGGGACACCTGGAAAGGCAAATCAAAACAGATTGCTGGGATAGCAAAAGCTTTTGGCTTGTTGTCGCACATCTTGCAGAAATGCAGATCCTTCTCGCTGCAAAAGCTTCGCACTGTTTGATTCTTCAATGTATCCTATGTCATGCAAATGGTTTTGGTTTGAGAGCCGCACCTTGTTCCAGAAAGTCCAGTCTTTGCTTCAGGTTATGGATCGCTGCCATGATGCCCGTTGCATTCTTCAGAAACGGGCTGCTCTTCTCCGTGCTAATCACTGCCTTACCACCCCCTCTCCCAGGGCTCAAAGAGCCCGTGTTGCTGCTCATTAGAGCTAAGCCCCCCATTCACAGGAGCTCACTCGAAGCCGGGAGACTTTTGCATGGCGCCAGCAAATTTGTCACTACTGTTCCCTACCTCACGGACAAGACATCCAGAGCAGTCAAACACTCCGCTTGACTCCGTCGCTACGACTACTTGAGCTCGACATCTAAAAGCGTTCTTGAGGATGCTCAGCTATCACTTGCTCAATAGGCGCTCAATAGCTGACAGCCTTGATACACTTGCCTGTGACCACTTAGGCCAGCTATGTTAATTCCTGTTTCATCTTTTGATCTTTTAGCCACGTAAGTACGTTGCCACACAGACCTCACTTCAAAAGGTGGCGTTTACAAATGTGGGCCACCCGCCTCTCTGCCTAGCTAAGTCGAAGTGAAATCATTTCAGGTTGGCAAGAGATATTCAGACCAGCTACTGGCACCCGTAGGTCCTCAGTTCAGTGCTCAGTCTGTCACTCAGAATTCGAAGCATGTGCACGACATTGTGCCGAAGGCAAGAAGGGTTTGTCACACGTTCTGGGCATTGCTTTCCAGCCTCGTCTTACAAGTCATTGCACTACTGTAACCAGCACCAAAGGCTCCACATTCAGCGACACCTCAAGGCTCATTCTAGATATACTATACTCTATCAATCATCCCAATCGCCCAAACTCAGAGGCCTGGATATACGTAGAAAGCCTGCATAGCTGCATTCCACAAGTAATCGTCGGATTGTTCTCAGAACGACTTGTTCAAAGCTGTCGTGGCCTGCAACATTCTTTAAGTTCAGAACTCAGACGCCGTTTGCCCTGCAATATGATTCGCGGACGTTCGTTGCATTGAAAGACGATTGAGCTTCACGCGCGCACGTTCAGCGGGCCGCTTTCTTTCGAAGCCACGTCACCCACCAAACCCCTATCCGAGCCGTCGATGGACCTTTGCTGCACCTGCAAGGTTGCAGGACAGCCGTCCAAGGTGGAAAGTCAACGTTTTCACACCTAAGTCAAACTGCGCAGAAGAGACAGAGATGATAGATCTGGAAAATTGGCAGGATTTGCTTCTGGAAACTTGAAAAGGAGGAAAGAAGGAGCAAGCTGATATTTGCGCTCACCTTTACGGTAGTTTTAAATGTAGCAGGGTGGAAAAAAGTTGTATTTTGCAGGGTGGTGCAAAGATAACGGCGGTGACTTCATCTATTAGCTGGTCCAGTAGTTATTTACACAGCTTTCCGTAAGGGCATGCACGGCAGCAGATGACATAAGGTGTCAGCATTTCACTAGGACATTTTGAGCTTCACAATCTACGGGCAAGTGCTGCCTCTAAAAAGGTCTTGTGCAAATGCTTCTGAAGCCCTGGCAAAACAATATTCATTGGTGCCAACAGGGTTTCCGCGTGCATACATAGTAGAACGTCGATAAGGTTGTAAGCGCTTGAAAGTCGTGCGCTTCTAAAGATTGCTCTCTATTACAGCTCACTTTCTTCTATAGGAGCTGTCTATGGTGCCTCGTTAGAAGTTTCTGAGGTGGTACATGTGATATAACTTTCCAGCGTCTCAGGCTGATTGGGGGTCCTGCAGGCCCAAGGTTATACTGAGATCCATCGCTCAGTCTGAAAGTTGCAAGGTCTTTGGGAGTGAACAGGGAAAAGAGGTGGTGGCTTGGAAGGAGAGGAGCTATGGCGCCTTGGACCGGAGCTAGATTTTTATGGCTGGCCTCCTTATTGGCAGCACTGACATTCCCACAGGTAAGGGGAGTTGCTTATCAACAGGACGAGTTTTCGATTTTTTGCGCCGAGTACAAGTTGTTTCCGCTGCTTCACATGGATATTCGTTGAAACTGTGCAAGATGGGCATAGTGGGGGACTTTACTTACGGGTGTGAAATGATAGGCAATCGCCATGCACTTTTCTGGTGCATGCGGTCCTGTTTGCCTGGCAACTGATCAATCGAGAATCTGGGGAGTCCCCTCCTGAAGACTTAGCTGAGGTGGTCATTGCGATTGTTCGTGAAGCTGCAGTGTTTGGAAACTTGAACGGCTTGTGCATCTTATCTAGGTCGTGCAAGAGCATCACGTTATCATATTACAGTGAGTGGGGAAAGGATAGAAGGTACATTTGATAAATGAGGAATCCCCTTCCGACTTCTTGGAAACGGAATATGGCTATCCAAAGCACCACGCGTGGATCCAACAGAGCCCCAAAAGTTTGCCTTTACTTCCTTGTGCAGACCAAAGCGTTTGACCTGACAACCGGACAATTGTTTAATTTTGCCCCTCTCCCAACGGGGAGCCTTCCAAACGAGCCCCTCTTCACCCCAGATCTACGAGCATGTGAGTCGGCTTGTTTCCCATCATTCGGCTTTAAAGTTTGGATAGTTCTGCCCTGGAGGCGCACGAGTACGATTCATATCTGCTCAAAAGCTTGCCAAGAGACAGAAAGTGAAGCACTGGTAGTCCCCCATGCCACTTCCCTTGCTTTCATGGGTTGGAACTCGATGAATCTGTGGGTTTTGACGCCGAGGTTATCTGTGAGGCAAGAGATTTTCTTACTACCGCAGGAGATTGTCGTCTTTGCCGAGGTCAGTTGTACATCCAGAAAGTTTGCCAACATCTTTTCAGTCGCACCATGTACGTTCCATTTGATCTTAAGCATTGCTGCGCCTTCTCAGGAAACGAATATCCCAAGGTCTCTCTCCAGCGGCGCACATCCTTTGTGATGTGACTGATTTTTCTGCAAAATTGGTGATCACGTGCTTTTCAGAGCGACCGCTAGAGCGAAGCTTCGGCGAAAGGCAGGTTCACTCAGTAGGTCTTCCGTGCCATCTTAACCTCTTTTCACCCGTTTTTGCAGGTGTTTTTGCAAACATCCAAAGGAGCCTATCCAACCTGACACTGTCAGACTCCCAAACCAACGCAAGGTTCTTGAGATTGATCTTCCATGACTGCGGTAGGTTCCGAGCTCTGGTTCCAAAATCACCCCATTGCACTAAACTCCCTGTACAGCCTTCCGTTTGCTGACCAGTAATACTCTCGGGGCTGCTTCTGGTCGGGTCCTGTGAGCGAGTGCAGGGGCATGCACGGCCTCCAAAATCACACATCTTGGTCGCTTCAATTGCTTATCGCAATTCATCTAGCAAAGGATCTACAACTCGTGTGAGTCGAAGTGCATACGTGGCCTCAGGTTGATTTGGTAGATATGCTGCTTGATCTTCTGCCTGGTCCTTGCTTCTCAGTAAAGTCCCAGCGACTCGAGAGCACTTGTTGGCTTGAACAATCGTAGCAATCGTGAATCGTCACTCAGTGGCACCTGCTTGAGCCCTATGTTGCGAAGAGCCAGGATCTGGGAAGGCTTTGTAGAGTGTAAATATTGCTGACACCCCCTGACAATGATGCGACTTCGAAATGGCACGTGTCATCATCTCTTTGCAGCATCGGGCGGGTGCAACGGGTCGATCATGAAGCTACAAGAACAGAAGGCCTTTGTCAACACTTTCCTGTCGGTAAGTGTGCCCACTGACCGGAATACATGGTTGATTTGGTCTTCAGCTGCACGATTCAAGCGCAGGCCTGTGTCTTATGCCAGCGGTCGGGTTCCGTTTAATTTCCCGCTAGTAAGTTTGGGATAGGCATATGGATTCGTCACTGGTGTGGAAGTCCTTCTCTGGAAATCTCTGCTCTTGTAAGTTGACAGGCGATCTTGTCAGCCGTTCAATGCGTGACCTAGTATGCGCAGTGACTTCTGCTTTGTACGCTCGCCGCTTGTCTCTCCCAAGGCTTTCGTTGTGACTGCTCTATTCCAAACGCCGCGAAAATCAGGCCTCAGGCTGACCACATTTCAAGTGGCTCTTTTTCAGGGTTACGACAAGGTCCAGATCGTCAAAGCTGCAGCGGACGCCGCCTGTGGCTCCAACCTGTCTGTAAGTCTCTTCTCCAACGTCCGATATTAAAACTGTCCGTGGAACGAATCTGAAGAAGCCGGTTGAGCGATATTGCGAGGTGATGGTATTGTGAGATGATAGTAGAAGGAGTCAGGTATTTTGTTGCTGATTCCTGGCAGGGTTGGAGTGCGTTTTGCGTGCCTGCGGTTCAGCGTGATTCATCTTGGCGAGTTTCCGCTACGTTGTTGGTCGGGCACAAGTTCGCTCAGGCAAGGAGGTTGATCCTGCGCAATTGCCGTATGACAGACACCAACGAATCCTTCATTTCAGGTCTCTCACCATTTCATGGGGACACCTTCTCAAAAGTCGGTCATCTGGTTCTTGACCAGGACTTTTTCCGGATGTCTCTAAACGAGGAGCAAATGAGATTCATACGCACCGGAGACTCCTGTCTTGAGTGTTTTTGAAATCGTTTTCAGAGTACACACTCACTCTTGTGTCTCCTTTTCTTTCGGACAGTATGCGGACACAATCGTTGCTGGGGCGTTCATTGGGGTGTACTTGTCCGGTGGTCCGAACGTCACGCAGTACGTCAGGCTGGGGAGAGCTGACACCGACGGGTTGGACGACCCGGAGAGGGTGAGCGCTCCGATGAAAACGTCTGATTGTTCAGTCCTGTTTCTCGCTAGCGGCCTTTGATCATTTGATGTGGATTGTTATCCACGTACTTGTATCCAACGCTGATTGGAGAGCTAAGCCCCATGCCTTTGATGGACACGGGCTGTGGATGAGGATTTCCCAGCTAGGCTTCGTGTAGATTCCGTCCTTTGATGCGGCCGCTGTGCAATGGCGTCGCAAGGCATTTGACTTGTCGCCTCATTCTCTTTAAGCTTAGCTGGAGCCGTGGTCGCTCTTTGCTTGCTAGCTCAGGGTTCCCCTTTATTTCTGTATCTCCTTCTGCTTCCGATTATCTTTCCTTCTTTGTCGTCTTCTGCTTCGCGAGCCGTTACACTTCATTGCCTCTTTTCAAGTTTTCTGTTGGGCAACGTCCCTTTCTTGCATAAAACAGCAAGGATCCGGCTTTTATGTCTACCTGAGGGTATGCCCGCTTGAGCGTGACGAAAGCATTTTCTGCTCCCCCGTGTTGGAACTCTAAAAAATTGCGATCTATCAATCGACGGGAAGCACTGTAACGCGAGTTCGTCAATTTTTGCATTTGCCAGCCAGCTGTCAAAGTTTTTATCAACGGGTGCTGTCGGATTATGAAGTCCGTTCAACTCAGTCGTCTGGTTGCGGCAGAGACAATGCTATCATCGATATAGAGACTTTCTCATTATTTGCGGTGCTTGTACGTCATGCTGGACCGCCAAGATGGTCGGGTGCTTATTTTGGCTAATGGTTTAGAGTACGTCCCACGCTCCGTGCCTTGTTTTGTTGCTGAACCGCCTGCGTCTAGGTCGACTCTCAGCGGTTATGAGCACTACTGGTTATGACGACTTCCTGCACAATCTTGGCGCCTGAGCTTGGCCTCTTTCCCCCGAAGGCTATTTGGATTTGGCACCACCTTTTGAGCTTCTGCTTCCTTATACTACTAGTTGAACGAGGAAGGGTGGAGGTACGTTGCTTTACAAACAGGCCACGAGATTTATAATGGATTGTAATCGAGGAGTGGAAGTTCAAGCTAGAGCAGCGGTTGGCGTCTGCAATGTTGAGTTGTGCGTTTGTTTTCAACAACATCAACTATGGGAGCTTACATCTAATGTCGAGATACTATGCAGATGTGGCACGGGCACTGAGGATCTAAAGCGCCGAGCTCTCCTGCGAAGGGAGTTTACGGCTTGTTTTTCTGAGCCGCTTTTTTGTAACGCTTAATTCCTTGACGTCCTTAAAAGGCGAAGGTGTCGAACAAGCGAGTCCCAGCGTAATGGTTCGGGGACCTTTTGTTCTCATCCAAAGCCCGAGTCACGCTGGTCGTCGATCTGAAATGTTCCACTGAAAATCTTGAGGCCTTCGAACGATTTCCCATTCGATTCTTTGCCCAGGAAAAGCTGCCAATAGTAAGTGGTAATGAACGTCGGTTCTTATCGGACATCAACGGCGTGTTATTCCAGATGGCACTGTAGCAGCAGCGACGTAGGCTAAGGCTAGGAGGATTGAGTGTGTGGGCTGATTCAGTTCCATACATCCTTCTAATGATCCTGAGCCAGCGTGCATACAGAATGTTGCAGTCTCCTTATCTCTCGTATCTTTGCAACCCACTTCGCAACCTGAGCGTCGAATACTGCCGACTCAACGGTATTGGACCGATGGTGCACGGGCTATGAGCATCTAGCAAGTTGTCTCGCTTGTTGAGACACAGTTTTTGATCTACGCAAGCCTGATACTAAGATACTGACTCAGTTGGATTGGGGCTCACAATCACCCACTGTTGGCTTTATTCAGAGCGTGATATACGGAAACAAGGAGGTGCATAGGAAAAGACACGTTGCAGCGTTAGGCTGGCTTGAAGTGTCGCTTCAAGGGAGCTTCTTGGCGGACCTTTTTTCGCTTCTGATAGCGTGCTCGACGCGTTTCTCTTCTGAGCAACTCTTCCTTCCATAGGTCGTTTTGTGCGGTTGATTGGTATTTCAAGGCACTCATTCCCTCATCAGGGTGTCGCTTTTGATATGGTGAATGTTCCTGGCTGCACAAGTCCATTTTGACAGTACTGGGGGTTGGTACGTTCAAGCACTTGGGTCAGGGGGCTCGTACGCTCTGGTTTGCATTCTGGAACAGCCTTGTGTTGAACTTTGTCTCGATGCAAGTCTTTTCTCAGCGATGTTTTGATTTCAACGGCAGTTTGTCTCGAGCCATGCCTGTCTTGAGGTCTCGTGTGCTCCCTTCAGACTTCAATCATGCAATTCGTTGTTGTGAGTTGAGCATCTGAAAATCGCTTTGTTTGAAGATTTTCAGTATGTGGTCATGGAATTTGCCTCGGTCTACTTCCTCATCTGTGCCCTCATTTGCTGGGCCAGTGACGCAGGGATTGGATTTTCGGAACGTTCAAACGGCTCAGGGTGGCACTTCCGCTCCCTACAAGAGCATTCTCCACCCTATTCCGTTCCTCAAATGGGAAGCTTGCTTATCGTCGCTATTGCAGTTTCTGCTGATCATCCGAGTCAACGAGGCGCTTTCTCACGATGCCAGCTTCTTTGTAAAGAGGATTGCTCCTGTACTTTAAGCTACTGTAGGTGGATTCGGGTCCTTACTTTCAACAGTGGCAGAGACTTCCATGTGCATTCGATATTGGAATACTCAAAAGCTGTGAAGCAAATAGTCCCGTTTGAACGCCACTCCTGGTCGTCACAGCCAGCAAGAAGGCAATGAAGCTGTCAACGTTGACATCTGTTGTTGGGGCACCATCGAGCCACGTACCGACGTAGTTTTTTTCGATTTTGAGAAACCAGACTTCTTTTACTGTTTCCTGTGATGTGTCCTTGGTCCAGCTTGCGGATTTTTGACATTTTCTTTGCCGGTCTCCAAACATCGATGTCCTCCCAGGGATGTTTCAACGTTGGGGTTCGATCCTTTATGATGTTATTCATGGCGTGTAAGGACCGGCGACTATTCTAAGATGATACGCAAGATGGTAAGCACATCAATGGAACGCACAGTGTCAATATTCTGTTCTGCAGAGGGTTGTGCTGCGGCACACACAGTCCTCTTGCAATGCTTTGATGCAGAACATCTGGTTGACAAATTCTCCCTGCTTACAGCTGCCGTCGGCGTTTACCTTGAACGACGACCTGATCAAGACCTTTGCCGTGCTCGGTAAGCTGTGCGGATATCTTAGGATGTCTCTTGATGCCGGTTTGACTCGAGAATTCGCAGTCCTTCGAGACATTCGTACAACGCTTGACCTTCTGAAACCACGATCTTGGGGGCCGCGATTGCTAGCTTGATTTTGAGCCTCCCTTGAACCCTCCAGAAAGTCACTCAAAAAACGCCGCAGGATTTGCACTTATGACAGGTAATCTTGAGCTTCTTCCTCAATTGAGGACTGACAGCATGCAAAAGGCTTGTTTGGTAAAAGTCGGCTATGCTTCGATGCTCTGAGCACGGCAGACTTGGCCCTTGTGGTGCCCTTTTTCAAACGCGTTTTTCGGCGTTTCTGCAGGTTTGAATGTGGAGGAGTTGGTCGCCCTCTCCGGGGCCCACACGCTCGGGAAGGCGACGTGCGCCAATGTCACGCCAAGGTGAGGCGGTTCATGACACGTTGCTGGACGATCTAGGGGGCCCAACGAATCGAGGTGTCACAAAAAGAACACGTTTTCTTTTGAATCGCAGTTGTTTTCCTTTTCGAATGACTGGCATAGCCTTTCAGGACCGAGGGCGGCCGTTTCTGCTTGCGAAATAGTTTTGTTAAGCCGCCCCACTCATCGTTCGACGGGACGCTCATACTTTTTTCTCCCGCAGACTCGTAGCATCATTTCGCGCTTCACAAGTTGCTTATCAAGTCGCCTTTTTGGTAATCAAACCGAAAGCACTTACATTCAACTTCAGATCGCCCCTTTCAGCGTTTTTCTTGATCACGCAGTGGTTATCCAGACGTCTCTTTGCGCGGAATCCCGTGAGAGCATTTGTTTAGCAGATTTTCTGGTCTGTGCAGGATCGGCGGGGACCCATATGCGGACCCACAGTTTCTGTACGGCCTGACCAACCAGTGCCGGACGTTGCTGCAACAGCTGTCCATGGACCTGTCGCCGACCCAGTTCGACACCAGCTACTACAAGGTAAGCTATGTTTAAGAAAGTCTTTGTTGTTGTTTACCTGCTCTTGGAGCTAAGCGTGACAGAAGGGGCGCCGGATTTGAAGTTGTATTTGCCTTCCATTTGACATCGTAATGAAGCCTGATGTTTGCAAAGCTTCTGCGTCGGCGAATAGTGTGTACTAAAAGCTGACCAAGTAGAGATGAGTCAGTGTACGGACGTGTACGTCGCCTTGAGCAGCGGTGGTGCAGGGGTTCTGGATTTCAGCAAGCTACGTGCTGCTTGGAATGGGCGAACTTACGAGACCTTATCAGAGATTGAATCTTTAGACAGAGCCCATTCTTTCGTCCGGTCAAGCATCAAAAGCTCTCTGAAGGCCGGTAGACTATTCTGACCGACCAATCGTCTCTTCGGTTGACGAGGCCTCTGCTCTTGCTCACTTTCAGGTGATGCAAACCGGGAAAGGCATCCTGCAGACCGACGAGGGCCTCTACGCCGAAAATACAACCAGGGCATACACCCAATTGTAAGTATCCGGCGCGAGCTGTCGTTCAGAAGCTTCCTACATCTCCTTTCCATTGTCGATGTATTCTGATTTCGGCAGCGGGGATTTGCGGAAGATTGTTTTGCGCCAGTCCAATCCTTTCACCCGCTCACTTGGATTGTGGAGCCGTTCCGTGGCATATTATCGCCGAGTTGTAATGGCCAGAGTACCGAAAGGGCCACAGAATCGGTTCAATCAAGCAGATACAGCAAGCTTTTCTAATCCGCTAAATGGCAAGCCGCTCAAAGAGGTTCTTCAGCGAGTTCCACGTCCCAAGCGAGCAGTACTGCGTCCGCCTCCCTTGTCACTTCTGTTGTCAAACCGACGAAATGGGTGCCGCGTTTGAGTTTCCACCGAAGCCTGACTGTCGCGCTCGAACAGTGAATGAGTACCCTTTGCCCTCTCAATCTTTCGGAGACTAGCGCTTTTCACTGCGCTGGAAAGAAAGGTCTTTTCTTGTGTTGATCTGTAACCTAGCACTAGCCACACCGAGTTTCAGATTTCTTTGTACGGTTCATGTTGATCTGACCGAAGCTGACACTCGAAAATTGCAGGCCTGACGCTGAGCAAGTGCTGGTTATGCTGCAGGTTTGCCAGCAACCAGACCGAGTTTTTTAGCTCCTTTGCGGTAGGGCTCCTCAAAATGAGCCTTATCGGTTTGCGGCCGCCCAGCGTATCCAACGTCTCGGCGGGGCTGGATCGAACAAGTGAGTTCGGTGCTTAGAACGGCTTTGATCCATGCATTCTGGCCGAAGTGCCGTCGACCGAGTGAGCCTAGAGTTGCGTATTGTCCCGCACCAGCAAAAATATTCCCGCGGCGACCGCTGCGGTTGACCTCACATTGGTGCACCGTCCTAGTCCTCACACTAGCTTCGCCATTCTGCTCTCGCTCTCGCTCGTTGCGTTTGTGTGAGCATACCGGATTTTGGAGACAATGCTTCAAGTTCATCAGCGAAGTTAATCAGCGACTCATCTGTGCAGTTCGCTTAACGTAGTTGACGGAGTGCGGGTGCCTAGAATCAGAATCAGTACTGCAAGGTTTTCTTTGTACAACAATCAGTGGTCGAGTAGGCTGACCCTTCTTTTCCATTTTCTTCGCGGTGCCCATCAACGCGTCAATGATTCTGAACGGCACAGCTGCCACGTACCTGTTCCGAATCGAGGATCTGCAAGCGGCGCTGGATGCGCAGATTGCTACTCCAAACAGTCAGGTGAGGCAGACCGTTTGCTTAGAATTTGTGGAGGCTGCCAGAAAGCTGCATTGTGAGCTTCACAGAGCATCGGCACCTGACAAAGAGCACTTTCTTCCTCCGGCGTCTTCCTTCCGAGTGTGCTTCCGGTTGCTTTCGCTTCAGAAACATTCAGATCATTCTGTGCGTCGAAGTGCTTAAATGCTCGACCTCTGACAAACACAAACTTTCCCTTTCCATCCAGGTTGTCGTCACTTCCATTCTCCCGGCGGATAACAACCCCGACGTCACTAACGTCACCTTTTGGGTCGTCCCCGCTGCCATCAACTACAATGGTACGATCCCGTTGCAAGAGGCGGCCGTTATCGTCAGTAGCCTGAATGCCACGTCAGCGGACCCGTCCAAGCTGATTCTGAACAGCACGGGGTTGGGACCGGTCCAAGGACTGCAGGTGCGTACCGCGCTTCCTCCCTGATTCGTTATTCCAGCCAACAGAACTTGGAAACCTGAGGCGATCCAGTAGTGAGGATACGAGTATCACACCATGGTCGCCGTAGGTTTCGGAGTTATCGAGACTTGTCTTCTCTCGGAAGCTGCAGACACGGCCAAATGTAGGGTTCCAACTAGCAGCAACTGATGTGGTTTGCGAGTGAACCAATCCTGCTTTTTATTTAGATCTTTGATTCGTCGTTGTCGGCCGTTTCTGTTGGAAACAAGGACTTTTTCACCTCTCCGAGTTCCTGCTGTGGCTTACTCACCCTGCAATTATCGTCATGTTTGTTCAAATGCTCGAAGCTTCCGCCATTGCTATCGACCATTCCACTTCTCAAACGCTTTAAGTCGTGTTATTACCCCATTTACGAAGATTCTTATGTAGGAGCTTCTCGAGCGTACTTTACCGTTAGCATGCACCGGGACTACTCAATCGACTCCTCGTCTGCCTGCAGATCTTGTCATCCCCTCTCGCGAACGTCACCCTGACGTCACAAACCTTCTCCCTAGCCTCGTTCACGCTCGCCCAAACCCTCGCTACGTTACAGCAAAACCTCGAAATCTTAACCAGTCAAATTGCTCGCGCACTGGGCCTGCGCCCGAGCGAGACGCTGGGAGTAACCCTCTCGACCCCGGTCGGCGCTTCTGGGACGTTGGTTACGCTAACCGTGACAGTGGTTGGGGGTCCTCTGAGCTCGGGGAGTTCTACCGGGCAGCAGAGGGTGGGGGACTTGCAGTCCCTTCTAGGTTATGCGGTGGGGAATCATACTCTGGTTAACGAAACCCAGTTTGGGATTCCGGAAAATGTGTTGCGAGCGCCGGAGAATGGGACCACGATGGTACGAGAGACCGGGGCAAGCAGCCCGAGGAGCGACCAGGGCGCGGTAGCACCCGTCGGGAACTCGGCTTTATCAAGTGAGCAAGCTTATTTTGTTCTCTATATTTGAAAAGGCTCCTTGATCAAAATCTAGCGTCGGAAAGACATCTGCTTGAGAAGGGTCTGGCGGTTCTGTTCGATGCTACTTCCGCTAACTGGAATGCTTGACCTCAATTCTTCTGCTGGTCCGGCTATTGGCGCGGCGGCATTGGAAGCGTTATTCCTTTCAAGACGATTCGCAGGTTCGTTGTTGAAACAGGGTTTCTGCCAATGGTATGTCCCGAAAGCGCAAAATGCATATTCCTTCGTATCGCTTTGCTCATTTCGCTTGTCGGCTTTGCAGGTGTTCCAGGCTGGAGCGTTCACGTTTTCATTTCTAGCGTTGTGCTTTTGCTGAGCGTCCTCTTATAAGTTATGTCCACGTCCTTCAGCCTGCAGAGAGTCTCGATCAGTCGCAGCTAAATATTGACAGCGGTCGCTCACAAAGCCGTCAGTTAGAGTCCCCGTGTTGCATGACAGCCAACTTATCACTGAGTCAATGCGATCCTCAAATCAGGGTATGCCAAAATCCATACACCGGCAGCTGTAGTTTAGTACGCCAGACAATTTTGTTTCGGATCCTGGTCCCGTCAGCTGTGCGCGGGGCAACATAGTTAAATCAAAGTGTACCCAAGGCTCCCAAGCAACCGTCTGAAGCTTCTCTCGAGCTCTCGCATGTGCATAAGAGAGCACATGCCGCTGTCGATCGGCGGTCGAACTCAGTACTCACTGTCACTCAGTAGCTCCGGCCGGCCATACATACATACCTACACCACATGCACCGGTACGTTGACTAACGGCTTCAACAACTTATTCGCGTACACCTGCTGACGTATGTGATGCATGCATGCATGCATCATCTTGAATGCCTAGTGCACTCCCCGACCATGCGCAGTGCACGCATACGGTATGTGCAACGCCGGCCGGGCATAAAAGGTGCGGCTTTCAATTGATGATACTGCACTATGCTTCTGAATCTGCAAAACCCACACACTGCAATGCCTCCCATTAAACCACTGGCTATACTATGATAGATGGCGGCATGCCCGGCCCTAGCCTCTAGCCGCCTAAGTTGCATAGTGACTAGCATGTGGCATGCGCCTCAGTGCGGCGTCGCGATACCTATCCGTAGATATTCTCTTCGGTTGTGATCGAGGATGCGACCACGCTGGTCCGATTGCAAGTTAATGTGTGCAGATTCAAGTGAAATGCCCGCTTTAGGCTGCAGCTCATGCCTTCAACCGGCCAAAGGCCTCTTTCTTGATCTGGGTGAGCCTGTTGCTGCAGATCAGGGTCGCATCCAACTATACAGTATATACTACACGGACTGAGTCGTTGCAGATTGCAGCTTGGAGTACGCAGTCACACTAGACCGTTGGTCGACAGAGCCAGTTTGCTTTCAACGAACTTTTTCAACCTCCTTTGGCTATACCTATAGTACAAATCCTGGCAACTGAGCCAGCTACTTGTTTTACATGACCACAAACTGCCTATTCCAATGCCCGACATCGTCTAATTGAACAGTAACTCAAACCCACTTATCCTGAGGTTTTGTTTGTCAAAGCGGATGGATCCAGCAATGGTCTCCGGCCGGATGGTCTTGCCTTTGCTGCACACGCGAAAGGAGTGAAGGAAGATGTCAAGCTCCAATCCGTGTTCCTTTCAAGCCCGTTCAGCAACCCCAACTGAGCTTTCAAAGTCGGACGCTTGTGCAAAGAAGCACCTTGACTTGCCTGAAACAGCACCCAATCGAAACAAGCACAGCATCGTGCAAGGACCGAATTTCTTCTAGACAGACCAATATTATGTGATCCCACGCTACGCACCTTCGGTAGGCCGTGAGCTCCAGGTCCGCGGAGCTGTCGGGCTTGGCTGCACCGCCTTCCACGCGGCTCTTGACCACCTTGAGGATCTTCTCCTCCACCGAGTCTGCCACGAACATGCGCTTCACCGTCACCGGCCGCTGCTGGCCCATGCGCCAAGCGCGGCCGACGGCCTAGTCCTCCAGCTGCAGCAGAAAGATTACGGCTAAGTCTTCCCCATAACAATCTGTTGAATAGAAGAGTAGCCTGAAAAAAAGGACCAGTGCCATTGTTCAGACCGATTAGGGAGTATACAAGAAAGGGACATGAAAGGAAAAACAAATTCTTGCGTTTCTTCAAACATTTCGAGGACGCCTCGTGAAAGTACAGACGCATCAATCCAGGTTGAACAAAAAGCAACAAAGGGAAGCGCTCTTGAGGGCGGTGCATTCAAGATCAACACAACATCTTAAGACGCCTCTGAATGAAGGCCTCCCAAGGTATTCTTGTGCAGAGTTTGAACTACGTGACGGAGAAACTCCCCTTTTCGTTCAGAAAATTTCAGTTCCAAATAGGTCAGCATTCCAAGCACTGGCTGTATTAGACCCCCGACCTGAAAGTATTCATGACGTGTGGATGTGGCTCTCTCACGTCACTGTTGGAGAAGATTCGCAGCCTTGATAGCAAGCGAGAGAACAAACGACCTTTGTACCAACTTTTATCTCAAGGATATGGAGTTTGCAAAGAAGTTCAACGTGATTCTCCTGATCCACGTGCCGCTTGAAGGCGGGCCGAGACCACAGCCAAACGTACCGCAGGGTTCAAGACGGGCTCCAGGAGGTAGACTACGGACGCTGACGTCAGGGTGATGCCCACGGCGCCGGTCCGAATGGAGAGCAAGAAGACGGTCGTGGGCGGGTCCTGCAAAGGGCATGCAGCTCAGTCTAAAAACTTATGAAAAGCTCGTGGTCGAATCAAGGAGAACGGAGGGGAAGTTGAAAGCGGGGGGAGCCGATCGGGAGACAGGGCGGAAAGAATGTCCATAAGCCGACAAATGAAACAAGGCGGGAGGAAAGCTGCGAAAGATAAGCAGACCGGAGAAAGGTAAGCGAAAACAACGGTCAAGAAGGAGGAGGCTCGCAAAGAAGCTCAGTCAACGTCGATCTGGTGGCAAGTCGAAATACAAGCAAATGCAAAGCTCTGAGGGGCAATTTCGCTACGAGGACAAAGCAAGCGTAACGAGCTTTGTGAGCAATCGCGTCGTCCCTCCGGTTGAACAAAGCTGTCCGAAGCGTCGTTGCAACAAGGGACGGCGCAACAGCTGAGGTCAGCCGTGGAATTTGGGCGGGCGCTCTCGCAGGTGTCTAATGCATGATGACGTCAGAATAAGCGTCAGCGCACCTGCTGGAACTGCTCGATGGCCTGGGGGCGCTTCTTGAGCGGCATGTCCCCGCTGATGTAGCGGTACGTGACGCCAGCCTCCGTCAGCCGCTTCTTGAGCCAGTCGATGGTGCCCATAAACTGGCTGAAGATCAGCGCCTGCGCAAAGCACGTCAGCATGACGTCAGCAATCTGCCCGCTGACAGGATCGGGGTTACGGTAATCACAGTCATCGGCTGCAATACCAGAACTCAGAGACCGGCTGAAAGGGAAGAACTTGCTAACGAAAGAGATGACGTCAGCAAGGGGTCAAAAGTGGATCGTGACACAGTAAACTTGCATTTCGAGCTCGTAGGGAACTTAAGAGTCCACACGCAGCTTGTGCTTGACCTGAGAGCTTGTCGATACTTTGAGGATGTTTGTTGACAGGGGAGGATGTCTGTTGACACTAAGCTCGTACGGATACGCTCCTGTCAGCACCGCACTGAGGAGCCCGGCTCGGCCTTTCTCTTATGCAGCGGATCTTTCTGGGTTTTCAATCCGCAATCTCACAGACTCTGAAACTAGACTGCGGGTCTCGAAAGGCTGTCTGTCGTCCATGTGCGCTTACCTTAGCAGTGGGATCCGTTTCTCTGGTCTTCTGCAGATCCTCGAGCAGCGCTTTCAGCTTCGACTCAACCAGGAAGGGAGCAATTGCAGGAGCAATGCCAGTGCCTCCTTCGCCTGTAGCAAATAAAGAATTAGGAATAAACAGGGTTTCAAAATTTTGACTTTCAAGACGTCAAAGACCAGCGTCAAGGACCTGGGGGAAGGTCTCAGCAAAGGAAATCGCGTCTGCGCGACATATTAGAGCGACGGTTACGATCTGGGATTTGTTGTTGTCAAAGGGACGAGACGTCGGCTGTCTGTTTGCAGCTTTAACCGATCAATCAACTGCTGAGAACGTATAGATTAACCAGTGCTGAGTTCAAGCACTGGCTTGCGATAGGTAATTCATTGGACGGACTGCTCTTACTTAACAAGAAGGGCTAGTGGGCAGAGAGACAGAAGGAGGATCCAAGAGGGAAAAATCGACCTTATGTTTGTCCTCTGGCTTCATTCTTCCTGTCCGACGTAAACACTGAGATCTTCAATCTGAGTGGACCACTCCTTCGCTCAGCACAGCTGCGCAATCCAGGATACTAGAAGCAGATTGAGCGGAGCAGAATTGGAACAGAACTCTAAGAAGCGCATCACAATCTCAAACAGAGCAGACGCCTAAAAGAGGAGGTTTAAAAACGCGGCGTACCTTCGTCAGCTCCCAGGTACGGGCCTACCGCTGTGCTCGTGCCGGGAAGCTCGCCTTCGATGACGTCATCAGCGGCCGTCTCCTGCCGGCAGAGAGGGCACCGTCCCTGGGACGGCCCCGAGTCGAGCGCGCCCGTCAGGCACTCATGGCAGAACCTGCGAAGGTATAAACTTCGGCTTAAATATAGGTAGTAAGCTTCAGGTATAGTGAGCTACCAGCCAGGGACGGGTGGGGTTACTATGGAGGTTTAGGGTGGGGTGAAGCAGGTTACTTTTAGGGTTGACTTTCTTGTGTTACAGGAGCAGCTAACTATGTCTACAGCTTTTCAGGAATGATTCGAGCGACATTGTGAAAAGCCAGAACTGTGGGAAGCGTGAATATTCTCGCCGTGATGGGTTTTCCGAGTCGCAACAATCGAGAACTTTGATACATTTGGGAGAGACTTTGCAAGGGTGTTGAGACTTGTATAGAGAACCGAACTCCGGTTTGAGGATGAGGGAACAGGCGGAGGACGAAGTTCCGAGTGTCCGTTGCCCTCGCTCTGTGATCCCTCTCGATAGAGAACGCCGCAAGAATCAAGTGCTCAAAAGCATGCGCCTAACGAAAGCAACTTCAAGGACGGTCCCTGCCAACCGTATGAAGCATTTGAAAGGCTGGCAAAAGAGATGGTTAAGAAGAATGCCAATCCTGCAGCTGTAAAATTACCAGTGGTTGCATGGCGTTTTGGCCGGGCGTTCCATGACCTCGAGGCATATGCCGCACTCTGCATCCGGGGGGGTGTTTGTAGAACACGGCACTGGTGCTTTCGGGAGCCCGGCGATGCGTGAGCCTTCGTCCTCTTCCTGAATGTTGCCGTCCGAGCTGCTGGGAAGGACGATTTCGCCTCGGTTACAGATCCTGCAAAATTGAGGAACCTTTGAGTGCGAGAACGCAGATTGCAGTCAGAATCTCGGCTTCAACTGTCAATGATCAGATCATACTCATAGGGTCTGATTCTGAAAGAGTGGTGTGGTTCGTAAGTAGTGGCCGCGACCCTTCGCAACTCTCACAAAGCTCTTGCTGGGGCCAAAAATTGACAGCCGACTTCAACGAAGCATGCCCTCCAGAAAGCTGGCTCCAGTTCCTGTAAGGTAACATATGAAGCCCCCGCGCAACCGCGGCGGGGTCTGATCTGCTCAAAAGATGGCAGACGAACGAGGTCCGTTTCCACACATCCAATGCATGTGAGCATTGATAGATAGGTCTAGGGTGGGACTCCGCTTTAAGATGGAGTCTCCCGCAACAAACACGCACCTGACAATGAAAGCTACCCACACGGCTCCGGCAAAAACTTCTCGTAAATTCGATAGTTGGGAGGTTGAATGCCAGAAGCGATTGTCTATTATTTGATTCTTTCAGAGTTCGTGACATATTTTGACTACATTGCGGAGTGCTGTGCTGGAACCAGAGTGACAGGCCCATGTCTAACCTGCGCAGCGGGAGAAGAAGCGCCATGATCTTCAGCATGTGCTTGCTGATGTACTCCGGCCCGAGGAGGCGGTATCTGGCGAAGCGCTCCTTGGCCCCAGCTGCCGCGGTATCGTAGAACGTGCGCTCCTCCGGGGACAAGTGTACGGGCATATCGACCTGAGTCTTCGGCGGGAGGACGAGCAACTTCTCTCCGGCGATCGTCTGGGTCCTGGTGTGGCGGACCATTACCTGGGGCGAGACGAGGAGCTTGTTGACGGTACGTAAACAAACGTCCCTCAGAAGCCACATGAGCTGACAAACTCGAATGCAGCACAAAGACCTTTCACGCCGCAAGCATGTCGAAACAGTATTCACTTCACTTTGTGTAAATGATGAGGCGCATCTGTATGAATCTCTCTAGCGATCAACGGAGGCCACGACTCTCGGGCTCTTCTTTCCGTTTCCAAGATGGAAAGACTCTGGCTCTCCAAGCTTTCTTCCAGACTCTGGTTCGAAGAAACTCCAAGACACTGGTCTCAAAGATCAGCTCCAAGCGGTTGCAGGAAATCCTTCTAGGCTACACAACCAGTACGTCTGTAGCTCACCTTCCGCAGCAGGAACACGAGCGATGCCTTCGACTTGTTAAACACGTTGCACCCCGTCAGAAGAAGCGACCTCTCGAAGGGCCTGCTGATCTCGTCCAGAAACGTTTGGCGGTCGTCCAAGGGGTCGAGCCCCAGGAAGACGAACTGTCCGTACAGGTCCGAGATGCTGGTGTTGATGGGCGTCCCGCTGCAGCACCACCGTCGATCGGCCTTGAGCGCGGCACAGGCGCGCGACTGCTGGACTGTTGGATCTTTCACCTGCACGCAGACCGAGTAGAGGAGGTCAACCGGCAGGTCGAGGCAGAGCGGGCATAGAGAACGTCTATCAGCGACAGTGTCCGTCGAAATATGAACGGTGCCTTAAATCAGAGGCGGCACTAATCGCACTTAGGTATATTGATTGCACCTCTCCTTACATCGTCAACCGCAAGTCAGGATAGCTTTTCGAACTCTCGATGAAGTCAATTCCATTCTTCAGAGTAAGGGCAACACGCCTCCAGGACTGGGCCGGAAAAATCGCTCACCGTGTGGCTCTCATCCAGTACGACCCGCCACCAGTTGATGGCGTGGAGGGGCGACAGCCTGGCCTTGTCCTCCTCGCTGAGGCGCTTGCCGTCGAACATAGACCCCACAACCTGCCCAGTCAGAGCACCGTAGTCCTTCTCGAGAATTCCGTACGTGGTAATCACCTGCAGCGGTAGGACATGCGGGTCAAGTTTACAAACTGAACATGAGGGGCTTTACGCGCCGACTGGCGAGACACGTCGAAGCCGTCTGACACCTGGCGTCACGTCATTCTTGCCAGTAAACACGAAAGACCTCAAGGGTGGCAACTCAAGCAGCTATTGTAGAAGAGATCACGATCGAGACATGGCCGCTGCTTGAAGCTGGTCCTGCGGATCTCTGAGTGCGTATACAGCCGAGAAAGTAGAGGAAGAGCGAGAACTCTTCTACAGATCGGATCGCTTGAGAGTTTCAAGATTCTGGTACACAGAACAATTACCGCAGTCAAGTACACATGCGAGAACAAAGTCGAGAAGGAAATGAGATGCTCTCTCACGATGTCGTGACCGGCCAAGAAGAACGGGTCAGTATGGCGGCTGGATCCGTGATACTTGTACATGCTGATGGGGCCTTTGAGCTTGCTCTCCGCTTCGTTGATCCACTGGCCGACCAACGAGACCGCGCAGACCACCAGCGTCGCTTTTGACGGCACCCCGCCGTCGGGGATCTGCGGGAGGCGCCTCCCCCGCGAGAGGGGGGGCCCGGCAGGGGGCGGCGGGGGATTGGGGTGCGGGTTGGCAACGGTGAGGGCCAGGACCTAGACGGTCTTTCCAAGGCCCATTTCCTGGACAAGGAAGGAGTTCGATAGAGGTTCTACCTTCGTTGTGTGGCGGCATGTCGCTGGACCCAGCTTCGACCAAGATGCATAGAATTGTTGTCCAAATGATTTCATAACAAGCAGAGGCGTGTCACGTGGGAGAGCTTCGGATGTCACTTCAACCGGAAGTTCCCTGGCACTGGCACGCTTGCGCATGTTGTTTTCACTCGGTGACGCATCCAAGCTTTCCAAGAGGCGCTGATGCCGCATCAAAGAAGACTTCCTTTCAACATAACTCTGATTCAACGTGAGGGAGACACTTGCTCCTTGCAGGCTCCAGATGCGACTGTAGGAACCCTCACCTCGCACAGGAAGCCACCAGTGGTAGCCGGCCAAACCTTGCCCTTGTCTTCCAACTTCATCAACCGCAAGGCAGGACAGAAGAAGACGTCCTTTGCAGGCGTCCCAGCCCCCGGGATCTTGTGCCAGAGGAGCCCGCGGAAGCCCGACCCCCGCCTTTCACTGCAAAACAAAACGAACAGGGAGTCAAATTCTGTAGGGGGCTTTACAATGGATGAGCAACGAGTTTTGAATGCAGCCAGAATTCTCGCCTTCTGACGTCAAACCAAACGATGCGCCCCGCCACACACGCTATAGCAGCTTGAAGGGACCGAGTAAGACAATCACATATTTGAAAGATCTTGAGCTCATCAAGTTAACCGCAAAGCTAGTGTCACACTTCCTAGGGCAAACTGGGGTCAGAGGAAGCTTTGAAACGGGTCAGGTAGACCATCAGGAACTGGAGCACGCTAAACAACACAGCTTGTCAAGGGGCCGACATTTGAAGACTACAGCAGACGCTATCTTTGAAAAGGATCTAGGTCAAGACAACTGCATGGGGCTGAGATGGACAGTAAGAGCCTTACCTGTCCAGCATGAAGCACAGACTCTGCTTTTGGTATGGACGCAAGGTAACGCCTTCGGCCAGCCCGTCCGGCTGCTCTTCCTCAGACACGCTGTTGCTTTGTACCTTCTCTAGCAAGTCCGCAAAGCTCTTGATATCCCCCGCAGCCTGCTTCACTTGCCTGCAAATGAGGGTAGAAGAGCTTTATTTAGCATACTGCAGGAATACATGCTGGCACAAGCCTTATGATTCAGGGATGCAACGAGAATAGAGCAATAGTTGCCAGGGAAGGGCAAAAAGATACAACAAAAATGATTACCGGCAACAAAGCTCTCAGGTGCATTCAAAATTTGGTAACATCTCCTACCTCAGCTCGTCCACTCGTTCTTGGAGTGCAGGATCAGTGTCCTTGCAAAGGTAAGCCAGGACCTTGCCAAGCTTCAACTTCTCGTCCCATTCAAGTGAGGAGCGCCGAAGGGAGACCTTGATCTTGACGACGCCGAAGCGAGCAGAGGTCTCATTGGGATGAATCGTCAAAGCGACATGGAGCTCTGTGCTGCAGTTGAGACCTTCAAAGGGTGCGAGGGACCTGCACATCCAACAAAAGCTTTCAAAGATCCTCTACTCTCTTCAAAATCCTACAGAGCTCTGTCTAGCTGAAGCTACACACGACTCCTTTCCGGAGGCTGCCACTGCTGCCAAAAGTATCAGATTTTGACATGCTTAGGAGGCATTAGTTAAAACGGCAAGCGGAATATCTACATTGAGCTAGCTGGAATCATAATATAGGGCACATGAGTAGTTGGATTGCAAGCCTTGAAGACGCCTCTTGGGAAATCACCAAACTTGAGCTGACTGCACTTACCTAATCTCCTTCAGAACTCCTTCCAGCTCCTTTTCCTTGGGCCGCTTGTCATGAGGCAGGTCTTACTCGCCAGTGTCAAGGCGGAAGTAGCTACAAGCACGACACTGTTCTCAGTCACACACCGAGAATGCTCAACAGTCGCAGCTGCAACATCTGACTATAAGCTTCTGCATTACCACTTGATTCAAGACCAAAGCACCCCTGAGGCCTCGATACATTGCTGTCTGCTGATAGTTCCAGAACACTTGCAGGAACTACTTGATGGGACTGGCCTTCTCCCCCTATCTTGTGTGGACAAAGTACTTCTTCAAAAAACCACCTGCCAACAATTCCAAGGAGTCAAAATGACCGTGCACATGCACATTCAAGTGTGGCCCGCTTACACCATCTCCTTCAGTGGTTGAAACTCCCCCCTCTTCGTAGACCACTCCTGGTCAAAAAGGCCCATGGTAAATTCTCAGAGTGGGTGGGGGGCAGCTTGACAAGATCATGCTTCCCCTTCGCAGCCAGAGGGATGCAGACAATACCAAGCGGGATGTACCTACAGAGTGGAAAGATATCAGGCTCCACGAGTTCTGCATGCGGCTGTCTACTGCCCCATTCATTTGATGTTTTGGCCAGGGATGCTCTCAGAAAGGCAACTGTCTGATCGCATCCGAACAAGTTTTGAAGCTTTCTAGATTCATCCTTGGGGACTAGTGAATTTGACAATACAAAATCAGAGAAGTTGACGTGAAAACGTACCAGGACCGAGCCAGGCAGCTCCAGATTAACAAGAGAAGGACGGTTTCTACCTCTACGTAGCTCAGAAAGAGTGCTATTCGGTCGTCAGTTGGCATGCTAAAGGCAGTCTTGCAAGGTCTACATGGTCATCTATTGAGGGGCTTCAGTGAAACAACAACTCACTCATCATCCATGTTGTCATCTTCTTCGTCATCTTCTTCGTAATCAGAGTCCTCAACGCCAGTGCTTCGTCCCATGGCCGCCCTCCTTAGCAGCCACTCCCAGGAGTCATATGCATTGCAGTGGTCGCTGGCTTGGCTGCCAGTCCCCCACTTGATGCACTCCGCTTGAGGCCTATCGCAGACGAAACAGTAGCACTGCAAGCAAAAACATGGTCAGCATTGATAAGAGGAACAGCCTAATAAGTTTGATCACATAATTGTCTGAATCAAGGTTGGCAAGCCACATTGCAATGGAGTCCAAGTGCCTCGTCAAAACTCAAAAGAACTGTTTAAAACTTCCTCAACCAGACTACTACTTGCAATGCACTGGAGTCTCATCTGCTGAGGCTCATGATACCAAAAAGCTCTCTTGTCTTCCCTCTGAAAATAGTCTCATACGCCTTTGGTCCAAGACCCTCAGCCAAAAGATGTTCAATTTGAGAGATATCTTTCTGGATTTTCAAAAGGACGTCAAATACTATGCGATCATGCAAAGCCAGAACTGGGCTCAGAAGCTCAAAGAATCGATAAGATGTTGAAGAAGATGCTAACCTGCTTGCAACAGTTCTGATTGTATATAGACGTTTTCTGCAGAAAGGGATATTTCGTGCACTGATCCCTTGAATGAGGCAGATCAAAAGCCCACAATCCGCTGACTCCAGTCACCACAACATCGTCATCATCGTCGACGTTCTCGTTCAGAGGAAAGAGTTGCTGTCCGGGCTGCCTTGTCAACACCTCACAATCATCGTTCGATCCCCCTAGAAAGTTGCCACTACCAGTCTTTTCCACCCGTGCTTTCTTCTCGGTCTGGGACAAGGTATCCTGGAAAGGTCTCTTATTCTCTTTGCCAGCAAAGCTGTCATTGCTGTCGATGTTTGCACATCTATTAGTGGACATGGCAGAGTGTCTTTTGATGTGCCCCTGCAGATCCATTTTGCCCGTCGTATTTAATGGCCAGCGCCTTTGCCTGGTTTTCAGCGGCTCCGCCAAATCCAAGTAGGCCGGAAGATGCAGGAAGTGCTGCCACAATCACTGTCAGCTTCCTTCCGGCCACCAGCCCTGCTTCCCTGCGTCTTCCAGGATCCTTCCAGGATCCACTTTTGAGATTGAAAAGCTTCTAGGTACCTACCAATAAAAGCTGACCTTGCATCGAGTGCACTGTGGCACCGTTCTGAAACTTCGCTTTTGAATTTGGAAAGAGCTCACGATCGTTTCTTTCCGAGGTTTTCCTGTCATGGAGGTTAGCAGGTGTAAAACCCGACTGCCCCAATTCCTACATGCTACAGGGGGTCATGGTACACGACCGAGGGGGTTTTAACAGCTCCAGGTTGTGACACGGTTGACTAGCTGTCAGGAACTGTTGCATTGTTCCCGCCAAAATTTGAAAGCGTCAAGAAACCCTTCGACTCGGACTTGCGCGGCCGCCCAACGCATAAACCAGTTGGCGCGACCTTGCATTTCCACCCAACTCCACCCCGGCCAAGTCCATTTCGCATAAGCTATGTGCCATGCGCTCATACGCGCTCCAACCGTGCTAGACCGTTGTCATGTGGCAGGCAGGCAGCAATGAGCATGGCCAAGGTTAGAACCGAATGCAAATTTGCGCTGTCATCTCTTCTCCACAGCGCCACAATAGGCAATCATTCAAAGGCGCACATGCAGGTTCGACTCAGACACAACAAGGCGTGGGGGAGCAGAGCTCACTAAAGACGGGAAAGCGCTGCCCAATTTTGCATTTCCAGATTCAGGGTCTTCCTGATCTTTACTGGGGTTGGGCCAGGGTTGCTGAGTACTCTTCTTAAAGGCGGACAGGCGGCATCTTATTCTGCAAGGGAAAGCAGGAGAGGGTCGAAAATGAGTTCCATCGAGGGTGTTGAGCTAAAGATCAAGCAAGTGGAAGCAGACATTACGGAAGTGAAGGACGAGATCAAAGTTGTCAAGGCACAAGCCGATGGTGCAGCACTGCGTCTGGCTCTGGAGCAGCGTCTGGCCTCCCTGGAGCAGCGTCTGAACCTTCTGCTTGAGGAGAAGGCTCGGCTGCAGCCTGCAGGTTGGTTTCCCCTTTATGCAATAGCAATCGTGCATGCCTGCATTTGGGCAGAGTGCCGGAGCTCTCTGGTTCATAGGGGACGCAGTGATACACACCATCCCTCCGGTGTGTTGGTGCCTGTTTGGAGCATGTTCCTCTGCGTCAAGGGTTATTTCACCTGTCAGGCCAGAATGAGAGGTCACATAATCCCTGAGCTGGGGGTTTGGTATGGGAATTGTCGGGTTGCAGCATCCATGGCAGCCTCTGCTCGGGATAAGACATTGCTCAACATGTTTCTGATCAGTCCCATTTGCAACAGAGCGCACAATGAAGGTATTGTCAGGGTGGAAAAAGTTTAGCATCATCAATTGACCCCTCTTGCAAGCTTTATGCCAAGATCTTTCTATGGTTCGGGCAGGTGCAAGCTTGAATGCTTACTTGCCTGTGATCCAGCAGAGAAAGTGCGAAAACGATGATCGCAAACAAAGAGGCAGGAAGAGTCTGTCAGCATGGTCGCTGCGTCTTCAAAAACTTTGCGCATCTTTGAGCATATCATCGCCGTCAATAATCAAAGCCAACACTGACAATTTAAGGAAAATCGAGTCGCCTGAGAGTTTTGCCTGCTCTTCTTGAGCATATCAGAAAAGACCCACTGGCGTGCTCTGAGGACTTCTGGCCTGGACTGCTGCCTGCTGCTCCTTTTCAAAGATTTTGATGGTTGGCAGACCCTGCCAAATTGCACAGCATGGGGGGGGCTGACAGAAAGTTGCTTATGGGTCGATTGAGGCTGGTACCTCAGCAGTGCTGGATAGTGCCATTTTTGTATGACAGCCCCTACCTGCTTTTCGTGCAGACCCACAGAAAGAGTCAGCGCAAGCTGAGGACTTTCAGCGGATGCAGGCGGCAGTTGCTGATCTACAACTCAAAGTGTACACCTCCACTCGGACGTCAAAGACAGACGCCGACATTGGCAGAGTAGGTTCTCTGATCAGGTCAGGTTTTGAGATAGGCACGCCAAGCACTGTACCCAGTAGGTCAGGTGTTCATCAGTCTGTGAGTTAGTTTTGTATGGCTGAACTGGTGGGCCCCTTATATGTTGCTTACGAGCATCTGTGCAGAAACTGACTCTTCCACTTCTGCATGCAGATCTGGCGGGCAAAGGCCAACAAGATCAAGGATCTCACGTTCCTGGCTGCTGTTGCTAACGACACCCTGGATGAAGTAGCCGACGCTGTGCTGGAGAAGTTCCCGGACAAGAAGCAGACGGGCCTAGCGTACGTCCCTGTCACGTCCCCCCAGGCTGACGAAGACGAGGCTGGACCTTCCGCTCCTTCAAGTGAGTCATCAACTTTTTGCTGTCATATCAGCAGTGGCAGTGAAGGATTTGTTCCTGCAGGGATTGGTTGCCGGCTTCCTTTGTTCACAAGGACTTCTGTCGTCAAAAGACAGCAGTTCCCACGCAGGCTTGCATATGGTCCATTGAGCACTTAGGCCCGTCATTCTTTTGCCAGAGTCTTCAGCTCTGCCTTGAGAAGCCTTGCTTAATCCAGCTAAAACGGGCGTTCCTTTCTCTACAGATAAGAAACGGAAAGGGCCCAGCCCTTCGCTCCCTATTCTGTCAAAACTGCCCGGCTACACGCTTGCAGACTGCATTCCAGCTGCCAGACTCCCACGGTTCAAAGAAGATTCCCATATGCAACCAGCGGCAGTAAAAATGATAGAAACCGCAGTCGAAGTGCTGAAAGCAAAGTTCATCGTCAGAGACACTCATAGTTCTAGCAACCAGTTCATCCACCCTGTTGGCAGACCAGATGTGAGCATACTTGCAGCAGCTCTAGTCGCTTGGACGCAACTAGTTTCTGTAGGGGAGTTCAAAGTTGGGGGGGGCATGGATGAGCTCGACAGCATGTTTGGACAGCTGATCAGCAGAGCAACGGCAATACTCGACAGTCAGCCTGACAGGCAGCGGGTTGTTTCGTTTGGGTTGACGATGAACTCAATCGAGTTCGTTCAGGTGCAGCGTGGTCAAGATAAGAGCTGGACGGTGCAGACCACAGGTTCTCTTCCTTTCAGCATAAGCCCTGAGTCCATGGGTTTCAGGTTCCTGGTTAGGCTCTTGGCAACGGACATCAGCGACCTTGGCTTTTTGCAGCCAGAGATTCCGGTGGTGCATCTGCCGAGGGAAGTCTCAAATCTGGAGCTACTGAGGAGGGGAGAGTTGCGGGCAGTTCAGGGTACTGCACCTAACAGGGTGGGGAGTGTAGTGTTTAAAGCCTCGACCCCAGGCTACGACAACTGCATCCTGAAGCTCTGTCACTCTGAGCACGAGGTAAGCATTTCTGGTACCAAGCGCACCAAGCCCAAATGGCTCTCCAGACCCTATCCTGCTTCGTCTCAAGCCCTTTTCGAGTGGTTCAGAGCGCCCTTAGCCGCTGTCTTAGTGGTGAAGCTTCCAAAAATTGGTCTTCCCTCCCTTGTACCGTTCGACGTCCTCCTAAACCTCTTGCCAGGTTTGGACCCCCATGTCATCTGAAGAGAACAACGGCCAATTTCGATTGCTTCAGAGACACCTTCAATATACTAAGACTGGGGATTTCCAGCAACCTAGACCCGTACTCTCGTTCCTGGAATCAGACCTTCACCTTCAAGTCGAGTTTCTAGCTTCGAGTGTTCTGCAGTGTAACCATGAGACCATGTCGAACGAGCCTGCAACAGATTCTGAATGCGAAGAAGGCATGAATGACCGTCGACTGTTGTAAGGAAAGGGCACAAGTGTGGGAGTTTGCGTCATCCGCGTGTTCCATTAGCAACTCCATTGTAGCTTCTTTGCCCCGAATGCTCAAGATGCTTCTCTTCCGACTGCAGGGCGACATTCTCATCGAGCTTGGGCAACGGGAGGAGGTCTCGCATGTTGTAGAGCTTCTCGCGCGCGGCACGTGCACCTACAACGATTGTGAGTGGGACGCGCTGCTTCTCGTCCCTGTCGCTGTCAGACTGACCCGAGAGCTACCAGTGCAGACTTTGGCGCAGGTACGTGACTGCAACATGAGTCTGACTCAGACCCAACTGTGTTTATGCAACTTTCAAATTGGAAGGTGGCTGAGGTGCAAAACGACTCATGAAGCTGCCAAAGGTCTTGATTGTGTGCTGGGCGTTTTTCAAGTATGTACAAGAACTTTTGGTGCTCTGAAATTGCTGCCTACCTTAAAGGGTTTCGACATCAGCTCCAAGGTTCGAACAAGTATGCTCTAGGTAGTTCTGGGGTTTTCCCGTGGCTGGCAGCTTGGTACTCGTGGCGCACAGATGCGTGCGACTAAAGAGCAGCATTGTCTAGGGGGAGAAAGTATGTGGCAGATTTGGCCC